AGTGTTTCTTCCTGACTTTTTTGTCCGGGGGGTGCACTTGAAATTTTTTTTTGGGGGGGGGGGGGGGGGGGCGGTAGACTTTCTTCGGGGGGGGGGGGTGCGGACACTGTTAAAAGTATATATTTTCTCTATAAATTATATAAATTTCATTTCGTTCGGGGGGGGGGGGCGGTAAAAATTTTTCGGGGGGGGGGGGGGGCTTTGAAGAGATGCCTGGAAGAAAACTCTGCATGCAACATGACACCGTTAATATGGATCATCCATATATGACGTCACGCTTTTTTGACGATTTTTACCTCCCCCCCTCCCCTCCGTCACACGTCGTCGCAAAAAGCCAGACCCCCGCCCCCCTAAAATGACATCACACCTCAGCCTACAACCACCCTCAAAATTGCAGTTGAATTTTTTTTTAACATCAATATTTTTCCAAAATCTTGTCTGAAATATGTCGAAATAGAGTATTTTAATCAATTCCTATTATAATTTATTAAAACTGTTTTCTAAAACTCTAAATAATGTCTAAAATTCGTCTCCTAACATTTCTTATCTATAAAGCAAAAGTGTGACGTCGCACCATCTGAACCTCCCCTCCCCCTCATCACACATTGTCACAAAATTACCGACCCCCCCCCCCTCCCCCCTACTAGTGTGACGTCATTTATGGACGACCTCATATCTGGTATCGTTGCTATTTTTTTACGGGGATTCTCGATTCCAAGCATGTCACGTGGTTTAGCTCTTAATCAGTGTTTCTTCCTGACTTTTTTCTCCGGGGGGGGGGGGGGGGCACTTGAAATTTTCGGGGGGGGCGGACTAAAATTTCCGGGGGGGGGTGGGAACACTGTTAAAAATATATATTTTCTATAAAAATTTCAGTTCGTTCGGGGGGGGGGGGGTCCGCCTTCCGAAGTGATGCCTGGAAGAAACTCTGCTCTTAATTTGGAATTCAGCTGACTAGAGACTAAGTCTTTTATTTTTAGTGAGACAAAAACTATGTAAAAGTAGAAGAGGTTAATTTCTAAGTAAACAAAATTTTAATATAAAGAGGCGTTAATAGTTAAAAAAAAAAAAAAAAAGTAAACATATTAAAATCATTCACAGCAAGGTATGAAAACAAGAAATAACTAGATCTGTTTAAAACTTGTTTTATGTTTTAAATTGCTACACCCTGTCAAGTCGGACTGAAACGGTAAACTAGAGGAAATCGGAGCGCAAATGGGGTCATTAGCTCATTAGGGAGTTTCCAAACGATTGCTTTTGTGTACTTTTTGGGGATGACGTCACATAGCGGACGCACTGGCACACGGCACTCCGCGGTATAAAGGCAAAGCGGATAAGTGAAAACACTAGTTGGTTAGCGGTGATTAGCGATAAACTGCTGGCTACTTAGACTATACGAAAGTTGGATTTTAAAAAACTGAAGTTTTAATTTTATTTTTATTTTTTTCTGTTTAAATATTGTGAATTCAAGAAAGTGTTTTCATCTTCAAATGTAGACCTAAGTGTAGGCCAACAACAATAACAATCTGTGTATAAAGGAGAAAAAATATTTCCGAAATAGTATGTCTAAATGCTTATCATATATGTGTTTAAAAACAGTGATATAGACGAGGCCTATTATATTGCTTTTACTTTACTCATCTTTTCTCATGTTTAGATGTATTTTTTAATGACAACAAGTTAAATGTTTAATACTTTAAAAAGTAAGCTGAAATAATATATCAACATTGTTATTCCATTGAGTTTGGATTGTTTTATCAATTTTAAAAAAAAAACTCGAAAATCAACACCATGCTCCTAAAAAAGCAAAACGACTTCAAAACAAACGTGAAACAAACCACATCAGATGATGGCGATTCGTGTGGTATAAGTGAGTTAAGCGGACGTGAGTACGCTTCGATGTCATCAATGAAACAAAAAGACAAAGATAAGTTAGGGTAAGTTTTTAAACTTAAGTAATTTTTTTTTTAAATTTAAAATAGCTAGAAAAGGTAATTAAAAACACCATGTGTCAATTTATTTCTCAAAGTATTTCAGTTTTAAAGTTAAGAAGTGTTCTCGCTTCTCTAACTGGAGTTTTACACTAATTAAAGTATCGGTTAAAGTTAAGGGCGGTGCGTGCCTGACTAAAGGCACGACACGCAACATTTAGCCTTGAGGCCAGTTACGAGTCAAGGGGTCGTGTGAGGTTAAACCTTCTTGACATCGTGAATTCACAGATGGATTATACGACTCATTGAATGATTTCTTAATACACCCAAGGAATAATTCTTTTAATGCAATTCCTATTTAATCGGTATTAGGCGGCAAAATAATTTGGTAAAACATTTAGGGCCCATTTAATACATATTATTATCTTGACCTGGACCTAGCCTAGTTAGCCTATTTAAGTAATAAAAAGTAGCCAATCAAAATACTCCTAACACGGACATCCAAAGTCATTACTGTATAGGCCTATTGCTATTGGATAGTTTTATAGCCAGTTATAATTTACTTCCTGTTGTTATTGCTCAGTTACGATGTGCTATCTGTGAAAATGGAAGACTGTGATAGAACCAACGTAAATTTATGTCAACTTCCTTATGCGGTCACTCAGTCCCTAATGAGGTCAATGGACACAGACAAAGGCTGGGAGACGTTAGGTGAGTTATAAATACAAGATCAGTCTTAAATCCGCCAGGTCCCCTACACAACACGCCCTGTTCCACACGTCGCGATAAACAGCTGAGTGCGAACGCGGTGAAAGTGAAACTGTGACACACAGCTGTATCATGTAATTACTGTAACTATCAGTATGCCCAACGCATCTAACATGAGAAAAGTTACAAAAAGTATGAGTGGAATTCACCAATGTCCGATAATGGAACAATAATAGAATATTCTTTTAAAAGCCTTGAAAGAGGTATACTATTAATGAATGTTTTGTATGTCAATGCTAACAGTACCACTATTTATACTATTTAACCCTCTTAAGACGTAGCTTTTTTAGAGAGCCGGTGCTAAGAAGACGGAGCCTACTTTCAAGTTTTGCACTTGTATCACAAAAAAATTTTGAAAAAAATAAACTAATTATTTTACATGCATAAAAATATATATTATTTATTAGGAAATTGAATGAGCTAATATGATTTTTATAAATCTAATAAAAATCTCAACATACATATATGTGAGCTTTCTGATTTGCATAATTTATGCACGAAAAAAATTTGAATGCACTAAATTACAGTAAATTTGTATAAAAATACGTTTTTTCTCTCTGTAATGCTAATCTAAATAATACACAAACATCTATTCAATAATCTGAACTAATTTACTGATTATTATTTCTACATTAGAATTTCTAAGTATATTTTGATGACTGGACTGTTGGACATAAAAAAATTTACGATAGGACTCGCGGCACTAAAAAAAATCGATAAAAAACAAAAAAATGAGGCAAACTTTCAATGGAAGTCGCCATTGAAGTGCTAGATATGTACTATAACAGTTAGAAGCAATCTGATTGGCTGATACGATACTAGAAAGCCAATCGTGTGGCTTCTACTATCACGGCTGAGACTCGGCCGATAGATCGGCCGGTCGTCTTTTTGGCTATAAAACCGGCGGCCGATAGATCGGCCCGGGCGTCTCAAGAGGGTTAAGCCAATTTAATATTTATTGAATTTAAGGCTTAAGTTAACGCCTTACTACTTACTACTTACTGCTAATGGTATCCAACCCTAGTCCAACCAAATTTATTTTAGCCTATTGCCTAACCCTCTAACTAGATGAAATAACAATACAATACTATTTTAGTTGCCTACTACATACCCACCTATTTACTATTTTCAGATGAGTCAGTCTAGTGACCTAGTCTATTAATATTATCATTATTATGGACATTATCCATAAAGCCTTTGATTTCCCTAACTGTGAGTTAGGTACCCATCAGAGTTGGGTGGACTCAGGGACGGTCTACTGACTTGAACTAGTGTATAGACTAGATCTAGTAGTATATAGGTGTGTTTAGCAGAACTTGCCTTAAGCTTAGGCCAAAAAAAAAAATATTAGTGTTAGGTTATTAGTATTGTAATATCAGTGAAGGCCTGAGTCAGAAAGTAGAAAATGAGTGGATAGACTTAGCATTGACATTGAAACACATTGACAAGTAATATTTCTATTTAGTTAACTTAGTAATATAATACCTTTTTAAAATTTCATTATTGTGGTATTATGAGTTACCGTACCAGATAACACCTAGTGATGCTGCTGGGTACAAATATAATTGCCCAAGATCTCTGTTAAAAAACACTCACAACCTAACAGATTGTGGCCATCAGCAAATAGAAATAAAAAAGACTATTGTTATAACCTGGTATATAAAATTGCCTCATATTTCTTTGGGGCAAGAAGTCACTCAACAATTTACTGAAAAGTGACTGAAGAAAAGAGCATGGCAAAAGATGTATAAAAATATGCTTTAATAAATGTGCGTTTGTTTACTCACCAAAATTTTTAAAATTAAGGAAATCTCCAATTTATTGCAATTAAGAACAAAAAAGAAGTATGAAAAGTTTTTTAAGAGATGAGATTTCACTTGAAGCCCACACTTCTTATTTGTTAGGTCAATTTACTTTTCCTGTATAATTTTAGCAATGTTTTAAAGCGGGAAATAATTTTCATTTACACAGCTTCAGAGGCAGAGTACACATTTGAACGTATGCAGCTACTATCCCTGAAGCAATTCCAAGAAAGTGGGAGTCCAACCCGCTGCCTCCTGTGGGAGCTGGGTTGTGCAGGCTACAAAGTCAGAACCTTGTATGAAAAACTGCAAAAGGCTGGAAGACGTAGAGAAATGCAAATCTTGGAGGAGTATGGTAAGTATTTTTTGTCATTTTATGTATACGGGAATTTTCATTTTATCAGTATAGTAGTAAAAGCTAAGTTTAAATTGGACACTTAGGTATTCCGATATCAGCATCAATCAAGTACCGTTCTCAATAAATTTAAAAAAAAACTAAAAGTAAATGTAAATGAGGAAAATTGCAAACTGTACTCAATTATTTATAAATCATTGTTTCCATAAAAACCTTTAAATTGTCTTTAAATTTAAATAGTGATTTAGAAAATAGTGATTCAAGAAAATGCTCAAGTTCATTAGCATCTCCAGTTCTTGATAAGTCAGTGTATATGAGCACAACATACACATGTTCAATTAAGCTTTTATGACAATTGTATTTACTGATAGTCTTAGGTGTATATGTCATGTTTCTACAACCTGCTCATAATTATGTATATGCAGTAGTAGAGTCAGCAAGAGAAACAATGTTCATCAAAATTTGAGAACCCCCCCCCCCCTTACATTTTCACCACACACCCACAGTTGAGTTAACCCTTGTACATGTTTAGTAAAGTCTATAAATAGGTCAGTTACTGGTAATAACTAGAACATGTTATGCCAATTACTGTAAAAGGCAGTATTTTAATTAATGAGTCAATATAGCTCTATGGTTTCTTAAATTTTCTTGTTTAAGATGTTATGCTAGTTTACTGCTTTAGACTGTATTTGGTGGTGGGGATAGCATAAACTACTTGTAACTTGTTTACACTCTCCCCTTCCCCCCATCCTTGTGAATTTATCCTCTCAGCACTAAAAGTAAAGTTCCCTTTTCAAACATGATGGTCTATAGGGCAAGTGAAGTAGAGTTCACTTGTTTCTGTGACCTCAGCATTTGAAGAGATAGTGTGATCAGCACTATGCTCAGCCGCCTTTACTTTCCCTAACGTGAGTTAGGTACCCATCAGAGTTGGGTGGACTCAGGGACGGTCTACTGACTTGAACCCTGATTCGAACTCGAGACTTACAGGCTAGCAGTCCAGCTCTCTACTGCTAAACCACTTCGTCCCATCCTCTCAGCACTACCCACTACCTAAATATAGTATTCCCCCCCCCCTTAGCACTACCTAAATATAGTATTCCCCCCCTCAGCTCTACCTAGATATGTTATTCTCCCCCCCCCCCTCTCAGCATGACCTAGATATGATCTCCCATTCCAACACTACCTAACTGATTCCCCTTCACAGCACTACCTAGTTATGGTGTTCTTCTCCCCCCCCCCCCCCTCAACACTACCTAGATATGATCTCCCCTTCCAACACTACCTACCTGATCCCCCTTCTCAGCACTAAATACATACGTGATCTCCCAGCACTACCTAGGTGTTCCTCGCTTCTATTGCTACCTAGATATGACCACCCCAACACTACCTAGTTGTGATTTCCCTTCCCAGCACTACCTAGTTGTGATTTCCCTTCCCAGCACTACCTAGTTGTGATTTCCCTTCACAGCACTACCTAGTTGTGATTTCCCTAGATATAATAACCCTCCCAGCACTACCTAAATTGGATCCCCCCCCCCCTTCCCTCCCCCACTATGGTGACACCTGTATGTATCTGTGCTACTCAGTTTTTTAAACACGTTAAACAAAAAAAGCTATTCCACTAGTGTGGTTTTTGTTTTGGTTTTTTTTTTTCATTAGGTGTAGGGGGGAGGAGGGGAGGTTCAGCGAAACCAGGATGTAATCAATAATCTGTAGCAAATAAATAGCCGACGACTGCCATTCGTGTAATTACTCCCGTTTTGATTTTTAAAACGGTCTGATGTATATTGTATTACATCAAAAACAGAAGAGAGAAACATTGATTCCGCGTAAGTTAATCAGTCCTTTGTTTTTTTAAAGCATTTATTTCACGTGCACATAATTAAGGCTGGGATATTTTCCAGCGAGTAATTTTTTGTTGACGTTAGAGCACTTGCGGGTTCATGTCAGTAGGCGCAAAGGTGGGGTGGGGGGGGGGGAAGCAGGAAGTATCGGTTTATTATGTTTACGTGCAGTGTTTTAGGTATTTTTTCACCCATTGCAGAGAGGGGCGCTTGAATCTTTCGGTGGGAGGGGAAACGACAAATACCGTTCAAAGTATGTTTTCTGTATAAAATATTTTTTTTTATCTGTTTCGCTCGGGGGGGGGGGGGTGTAGACGTACTACGGGACACCCCCCCCCCCCCCCGAAGAGATGAAAGAAACTCTGATTACGTGCGCTTTGTATGGTTTAGATCCACTCGAATAGGTTGATGGCTCAGAGACCTTAGTGCACTGCAGGTTAGGCTATAGATAGATGTTTTATTCCCTGGCCGTCTGTCTTGGTGTGACTGGGTGTATTGATGTGTTGAGACGGGGGACTGGAGTGTATTGACAGTGTCGTGATATTTATTGCTGGGAATGTTTCAAGTAGAAAGTTCAGTAAGTAGCAGCAGCATAAAGATCTCACAGGAAAAATAAAGACATTTAAGTTAGACATGCAGGCATACGTGGGTATATCTCTAGGACGAACTATCTAAATCGTTAGGATACTATTTTAATTAGCAAAGTCGTTGGTAAAAACGAAATAAACTACACTTTAGACAAGTACAGATGAAGTAAAGTCCCTTTGTTTCTTTAAGCTTGGTATCTGATGGTATAGTTTACAACACCTTGTCCAGCCATCTTTACTTTCCCCGAGTCAGGTACCCATTAGAGTTTGGTCATTGTGATATCCTACAAGCACGACCTCTAACCTAGCTCGACACTTTCTTCTTTTTCCTTCTTTATTGTAATGTTGGAGGGGATTTCATCCACCACAATTAGGTATTGCGTGTCAACATGTTATACGCCGTATAGGCTATTCTGTCTGGATTTGTTTTTATAGCATTTGTCCATCCAAGAACAAATTGCAAGGAAGCAGTTGTTTGATTTTTTTTAGATTTCTAGCCTAGATGGGCTGCTATTGAGCCTCATCTGCCCGAGCCTTCAATACTTTCAAGGCAGCAGTCTGTAAGACACACGCCTTATATGGTTAAACAAAAAGATGGAGCTTCCTGGTTTGTTTTCTATCTAGATCTAGTCACAGCTGGAGTTGTCTGGGTATCTGACGGCTCGATAAAACGGCGTTATCAAGGAATAATCTATTTCCTTTTTACATGAGCGACAGTGGCATTAAATCCATGGGGCATGTAACTGTAACATATCGAAAGGTTGAAGACTTGGAGGGCGGTACTATGATTAAGTATTAGAACGGCGTGTGTCACTCAATGTGTTGAAGATTTGGTTGCGCTGTGAGGAAGACGTCGCCTGATTTCAACACCGCCATACATGCGCTGGTCGAAATGAATTACACTTTTAAAATTTCAACTGGCTAGCAAGAAATTCGTAGTTGTAGACTTTCGAATTTCGGGTCCTAACATATGTCATGTAGTTTCACAGTGTAGGCTACATAATAATTTAGTGACTGAGATTGGGGGGGGGGGAGTTTATATTATGAGGTAAAAAATGTTTTATTCCTTGGTAGTTTTCTAATTGAAAATTTGGAATCTATAATAAGCATTGGATTGTCCACAAGTTACGTGGCGGGCGAATAAACAATTTTTAAATAATTGACACATCGATGACAAGTTCATGTGGCAAGTGTGTAGTTGGTTAAAAAGTAGAACAGGATACGTGGAATGAAACAAAAAAGTGTAAACAAACAGCACTAAAAAAAACCCATCTCATCATAATTAAACCAGAAGGAAAAACCCGGATGTTTTCAGTTAGAAATCTTGTTTGTAATCATCGCTGTTTGTATTTTTAAATTGTGTTGGCTGTCATCCTGTCTGTTTTAGAATGTGTCGTTGCATCTCTGCCTGTATTAGACATTTTAGTCGGGAATTAGAACCGTTCTTAATGGGAAAATAAAAAAATTGAAGTAATTATTTTTAAAACATCGGGTCACGGTTATAATTTTACAATCCGCAAAAACTGTTATTACAGGCCCGTGTTAAATGCTCATCTCAATAATGTCTAGATATTTAAGATATTGATTATCAGGCGAATAAATGTCCGCTTGTATTCTCGGCTGGTTAAATGTCCGCAAAGTATTAAGCCTGGTGACACGTCCGCATGTAGTTACGCGTGGTTAAATGTCTGCATGTAGTTACGGCATGTAGTTACGGCTGGTTAAATGTCCGCATGTAGCTACGGCTGGTTAAATGTCTGCATGTAGTTACTACTGGTTAAATGTCTGCATATAGTTACGGCTGGTTAAATGTCTGCATGTAGTTACGGCTGGTTAAATGTCTGCATGTAGTTACGCGTGGTTAAATGTCTGCATGTAGTTACGGCTGGTTAAATGTCTGCATGTAGTTACGGCTGGTTAAATGTCCGCATGTAGCTACGGCTGGTTAAATGTCTGCATGTAGTTACGGCTGGTTAAATGTCTGCATGTAGTTACGGCTGGTTAAATGTCTGCATGTAGTTACGCGTGGTTAAATGTCTGCATGTAGTTACGCCTGGTTAAATGTCTGCATGTAGTTACGGCTGGTTAAATGTCTGCATGTAGTTACGGCTGGTTAAATGTTTTCTTTTTGTGTTATACCATGATGTGTTTAAATACGTTTTTACGCTGAAAATTAACCAATGAAAACGGGACGAGATTCAGCCAATGAGAATGTCAGTATTGTCAGCTTATGGAAAGACAGCTTGGTAGCGGATGACTGGCAGGCGGGTTGTCTTGTACTGAAGGACTGACAACCCGGGTGTCTGGTTCCTGTAGGAATCAGGAAGCAGCAAACGTCACGGCTGCTCATCAGAAAACTAATGATGACATTTATTTTTAGATTAATTGTACACTGATGATAGAGATAGAATTTTAGGTGAATTTTGCCAGGCTAGAAAAAAAAATTCATTATAAATATGGGTTGTTGTTTTTTTTTCTTCTGGGGCGGGGTGGGTTAGGACTTTGATGACGTTGTTTCATGACGAGGGTGATGGGAGGGGGGGGGGGGTCAGAAAGTGGGACATCAGACTTTCGTATTTAGTTGTTTTGTGTGTGTGTGTTATTTTTTTAAAATGTAGCTACATCATTGATTACTGGGCCTACCATCTGATGTATTGAAAATTTAAACTTTAGCTTAACCGGTCTTGTTACCTAATAGTTAATAACAGCTTTAAAATTTCGTTAGCATCCCCTAGTAATGGGAAACAACCCAATTAATATTTTTAAAAGCGAATCGCAAGTTAAAGAAGAATTGAAATAATTTTTTTAGGGGAAAGGAGAGGGTAAAAAGTGTAATGTCAGTTGTTGATGACCTCCGTGGTAATTAGTTACTATTAGTGCTTTAAAATGATAAGTGACGGAGAGGGGCATTCTTTCTAAAAGTTTTTTTTTTTTAAATTACTTTATAAGTGCATCTAAATAAATTACTCTTTAAGAAACATCATTCTGTTAATAGTCATTTTTTATGCAAGTTTTCATAATTGTATAGGGATAGTAATTGAAAAAAAAATTACCTTAATAATATAATTTACTTTCGAATTATGGAGAGCCTGCCAATAATACCATAAATAACAAATTCGGTTCTTGCAACTGTATGGTTTAAAATCAGATTCTACGCGGCTGGTCTCTCAATTATTCCAGCACAAGGAAGTAGTTTGAGTGGCTCAGGTTAGCCACACAAGGAAGTTGGTATTGACGCTCTCTTTGTTAAGCTGTAGAAGGAAGTGCCGGATCTCTTTATAAACACTCCACGGCTGGTTGCCTTTGGAGGGCTGTAGGACTGGTTATATAAACATGGAATACAAGTTGGCTGCCGCCTCTATTCAATCTAGCCTCACAGAGCTGAATTAATGTGTCAGCTGTTTTTTTCGGAAATTCGTGTGTTTCTATGTACATTGGTATTTTTAGTTAGCTACTGGTTGTTAGAAAAATTGAAGTTATATTTTTAGCTGCCTGCAGATGGCTACAAAAATTAAAGTCATATTGGATTATTGTGGTTAACTGCCGATGGAAAGAAAAAGTCATATTTTTAATTAGCTGTTGATGGCTAGAAAAATTAGTCATATTTTAGTTTACTGCCGATGGAAAGAAAAATTAAAGTCATATTTTTAATTAGCTATTGATGGCTAGAAAAATTTCGTATTTTGGTTAACTGCCGATGGAAAGAAAAATTAAAGTCATATTGGATTATTGTGGTTAACTGCCGATGGAAAGAAAAATTAAAGTCATATTTTTAATTAGCTGTTGATGGCTAGAAAAATTTCGTATTTTGGTTAACTGCCGATGGAAAGAAAAATTAAAGTCATATTTTAGTTAACTGCCGATGGAAAGAAAAATTAAAGTCATATTTTGGTTAACTGCTGATGGAAAGAAAAATTTAAACCATGATTGTTTAGCTAGCTGCACAGGGCTAGAAAAATTAAAGTCGTAATTTTTTAGCTAGCTGTAGATGTATAGAAAGGTTATGATACACTTATGTCTACACCTGCACGTGTAAAGGCACTGCAGTGGCTGATGTGACTATATATTTGTTGTGAGTCGTAAAAATTTAAATTTTTGTTTTCACAGTGAAAGGAAGTGATCAAGAAGCAAAAGCATCTAGTTTTTCTAAGCCTTCATCAATGAGTTCCTTACCAAGTCAATTAAGTCAGCTAAAATTTTCTAGTAAGTTTTTTTTTTTTTTTTTATTAAGTCTATTAAAATTGTTTACTTTTTTTTGCCAATTCTATTTAGTTTTGTGCAAATTTACTTTTTTTTTTTAATAGATTTTCAGTGTCTTGATTATGTGATTAGAAAAAACGTATTTTAGAGAAGTGGATGCAGCATTTCCGAATGTCGGCAGGTTTCATTTTTTTTTCCTTCAGAATTTCAATTATCAGTGGGATTTTTCCTTTTTTCCGATATTTTTTTCAGTAGCATATTTTCATCACACAAAAAAAAAAAAAAAAAAAAAAATTCACAAAAAGGTAGTCTAAAATGTCGCCCTTCTTTGAAGGAAATCTACATCTCCAACATCTGGTTTCTTTATCGCCAATCACGCATGCGTGTTAGTCTAGGTACAATTTATTTATTTGTATTTTTTACTCACCTTCCGTTTAACTGCTAGTATATGCTACCCCTTCTGTCATTCTGTTTATTTCGGAACCTTTATTTTGAAAGCATTATAAAAGGTGATTATTAGGACTAGGGGGTCATCCATAAATGACGTCACGCTTTTTTGACGAGCACACGTCGTCACAAAAAGCCAGACCCCCCCCCCCCCCTAAAATGACGTCACACCTCAATTTACAACCCCCCCCCCCTCAAAATTGCAGTTGAATTTTTTTAAACATCTATATTTTTCTAAAATCTTGTCTAAACTATTACAATTTATAAAACAGTTATCTAAAACGCGAAATAACGTCCAAAATTCGTTTTCTAACATTGCTTTTTTTATAATGCAAAAGTGTGACGTCGCAACATCTGAACCCCCCCCCCCCCCCCTCCCCCTCATCACACATCGTCACAAAATTACGGACCCTCCCTCCGCCCTACGAGTGTGACGACATTTATGGATGATCCTTAGAGAACCCCCTCCTGGAGCAACGGTCGCTTGTGTGAACTCACCGTGACCCCATGAACGTGTTTGATACTGCTTGCTTGAGGGGGGGGGGGAATAAAAGTGACGTCTCGGCAACTTAAATAGTAAATGTTCCCACTATGTGCTGCTATGATCTATGCTAGAGGCTAATCATTTACTAATAGTAGCCTAACAGGCTTGCTGATTTCTAAACGTCTGTGAACTCACAGTTACCATTCCACGTGTGTCTTATAGGGGGGGGGGGGGATACCATACTGGCAATTTTTAATAGCAGTATAAAGCTATTCTAAGTGCATAATTAATGATGTGGTCATTATCAAAATGATTCTATTTTATTTTATTTTTGCTCTGAGTTTTTAGCAAATGATATTTCCAAAACTCTATTAATTGAAAAAGTAGGTCCTATCTAATTTAAACTATTCAGATCGATCTCAGTGATTGCCCATCACTTGAAATAAAACGTTAACATTACAATCAGGCTCTAGACTGTTGAAGACATACATTTTTAGAAACATAAACACCACGTCCATCATCATTCCATAGAAAACACGAGTGCCAATATATCATTACTCTTTAAATGTTTTTACTGGTGAAAAGTATTTTTTTCTCTCTCCCTTTTGTGTATAAATTGTGAAATTTAAAAATAAACATTATTAAAGAAAAATTGTAATTGAAATACATGAAACCGTCATTTAAGATATTAGCTATATTAAGCTGTTGATTAATACAGTAATGATGTAAGAGTGTTTCATTGGCTTACATTAGACCTGTATAAAATATATTTTGTCTTGTCCAAAAAAAATCTTTTTCTTTCATGGTCTGGTTTACCTCCATGTATAGAAGAATAGCATTTGGATTTTTTGTTAAATTACATGTAACGTTTCATATATAACTGCATTTTTTTTTTAAATTAAAAGACCAACTGACTAATTTTGATAACTATTAGATCTAGCTAATGTTGATATAATTACGAGACAAAAAGTGATGCTAAAATGTGTTGTCTGCAGCAGGCAACAAGTCACCTCCAGAGAGTGGCTTCAGCTGTTCAGGCACTGAGGTGAACTTCAACCAACCTTCTCTTATAAACCAAAGCCAGGCCAAGGCAGCCAAGAATTATGACGACAAGGTTATACCTGGAACTCTCAGTCCAGGACTAGGGCCCACCTCTCAGGTAGGCCTAAATCTGATAAGTTTAAAACCACATTCTGTAATTACCTTTCTAGGCCTGCATCTAACACAAGTTTAAAACCACATTCTGTAACTACCTTTTTAGGGTATGTCTGATAAATATTTAAAGCCACATTCTGTAATTACCTTTTTAGGGTATGTCTGATAAATATTTAAAGCCACATTCTGTAATTACCTTTTTAGGGTATGTCTGATAAATATTTAAAGCCACATTCTGTAATTACCTTTCTAGGCCTGCATCTAACACAAGTTTAAAACCACATTCTGTAACTACCTTTCTAGGGTATGTCTGATAAAAGTTTTAAAACAAATTCTTTAGCTACCTTTTTAGGCCTACATCTGATAAATGATTAAAACCACATTCAGTAACTACCTTTCTAGGCCTGCATCTTATAAATGTTTGAAACCACATTCTGTAATAACCTTTCTAGGCATACGTCTGATAAGTTTGAAACCACATTCTTTAGCTACTTTTCTATAAAAAAAATATTCAGTACTTACTTATCTATAAACAGTATAGAAAATGTGGAATTTTTTCATACTCTATATTTTAGATTAGTTCTTTCTTACCATTAAAAAAATGTGATTGTTGATTAAAAAATTTATTTCGTGTACTGAATGTTTCTTGTTGTTTTAGGCTAGTCAGAGTTGTGCATCCCACAACAGTCCCCAAGCTTTCAATGGCTCCCTAACCTCCCTGCCTGGGAGACTTCAGCCAACGGAATCATCTGATCAGTGTTCTGGCTCCAGGTCTCTGCCTTCTTCCAATCACTCAACAGGTAATTACTCAACATTGTTAGACATCTTCATCAAAACTTGTAGTGCAAATCATTTTATTACAGAAAGTAAACTTAGTTTTTTTTCAAGTACCATTGGTTTTTCTTTAAAGTCTTTTAATATCAAATCTGTTTGTTAACTAGTTTCTCTTGCCAGCAGATGTGTTTGTTTTTTAACTAGCGTATCCTCTCATCAAATCTGTTTGTTTATTAACTAGTCCATCTTCCCATCTGTTTGTTTTTTAACTAGTCCATCTTCCCATCTATTTGTTTATTAACTAGTCCATCTTCCCATCTGTTTGTTTATTAACTAGCTTATCTTCCCATCTGTTTGTTTATTAACTAGCTTATCTTCCCATCTGTTTGTTTATTAACTAGTCCATCTTCCCATCTGTTTGTTTATTAACTAGTCCATCTTCCCATCTGTTTGTTAACTAGTCCATCTTCCCATCTTTTTGTTTGTTAACTAGCTTATTTCCCATCTGTTTATTTATTAACCAGTTTCTCATGCCCTCTCTAGCCAGCAGCTTGACTTCACCCACCACAGGAGCAGATACTTTGAAACAAATGCTGCACACCTCCCTTCAGCAGGCCGAGCTAGCCGCACCTGCCTCCAAGCTGCCCACCAGGCTAAACGACATAGCTGTACACAACAGAGTCCCTCACAGTGTTTACAATGACAATGTCCCTAAAGCAAGTCCCCAAAAAAGCAGTGGCTCCCCCCAGATAAACAACATGAGGAGAGAGGAAGATCTAGCCATGGCGGTCAAGACAGTCTTCAGCTACCAGGACATGCTGATTGCCACAGCCAACTTTAACCAGAACAACCTGTTGGGGGAGGGCAACTTTGGCCGGGTGTACAAGGGCAGCCTGAGACACATGGACTGTGCCATCAAGCTGCTCAAGGCAGTAAGTCTCATCTCTTGTATGCTTGTACCAAGTCTCACCTCTTGTGTTGTATGCTTGTACCAAGTCTCATCTCTTGTGTTGTATGCTTGTACCAAGTCTCACCTCTTGTGTTGTATGCTTGTACCAAGTCTCATCTCTTGTGTTGTATGCTTGTACCAAGTCTCACCTCTTGTGTTATATGCTTGTACCAAGTCTCACCTCTTGTGTTGTATGCTTGTACCAAGTCTCACCTCTTGTGTTGTATGCTTGTACCAAGTCTCACCTCTTGTGTTGTATGCTTGTACCAAGTCTCACCTCTTGTGTTGTATGCTTGTACCAAGTCTCACCTCTTGTATGCTTGTACCAAGTTTCACCTCTTGTGTTGTATTCTTGTACCAAGTCTCACCTCTTGTGTTGTATGCTTGTACCAAGTCTCACCTCTTGTGTTATATGCTTGTACCAAGTCTCACCTCTTGTATGCTTGTACCAAGTCTCACCTCTTGTGTTGTATGCTTGTACCAAGTCTCACCTCTTGTGTTGTATGCTTGTACCAAGTCTCACCTCTTGTGTTGTATGCTTGTACCACTGCTGTAAGCTTGTACCACTGAGTCCCCTACTAAAGGTTTACAAACACTGCAATAAAACTTGAAATCTTGACTTGCCATTACTAATGTCTTCCTTTTTTTTTCACAGCAGGCAGCAAGTGAAACAACGGACAAGCTCAATCAGATCAGGACAGAGCTAACCACTTTGTTGAAGTAAGAAACAGACTTCTGTGTTCACATATTCCTAGTGATAGAGTTAAAAAAAAACAACACTTCCCCTCCTCTTTCTCCCCCCCCCCCTCCAAGGCATACTATTCTCCACTATCACCTATACAATAACTAATTGTTTCATCATTGTGTGACATAGCTATGTTATCACTGTGTATACCCATTGGTTCCCCAGGTACCAGCATGAAAACATCCTGACACTGTATGGCTATGCTCTAGATGGGCCACAACTCTGCCTGGTTTACCAGTTTTTAAGCAATGGTTCACTAGAAGACAGGCTCTCACAGAAAGTAAGGATCAGTTTATCTCATCACTCCACCAGCTGTTTCAATTGTATTTTCCTAACTTAAATTTTTTTTTTAAAACATTTATACACCATATCTGTTCATAGTCTGGTTTAAGATAATTTTTTTTAATGTAAACAATTTGAGTGTGATCCTTGTACTGACTTGATTAAAGGGTGGAACTGGCCCATTGTGCTGGGAGAGGAGGCTGAACATCCTTCATGGCTGTTGTAAGGGCATCAACTTCCTTCATACCATGGGAGACAAACCCCTGATTCATGGTGATATCAAGAGGTAGGTCATTCAAGGCTTATCTTCTCTTGTTGCTAGTGGGTTGTTTTTTTTTTACTTAAAATAGTATTATTTTATTATTGCAGTATATGTACTGTATTAACTGCTTTTATTTTAGAAGTCTATAAGTAAGTAACTTATACATTGCCAAATGAAGTATTCAAATGCAAGAGTTAGCTGAAGTTTCTGTTGTTGTTTTTTTCAGTGCCAATATACTGTTAGACCAATATTTAGAAGCCAAAATAGCAGACCTGGGTCAGGCCAAGTACGCCACGGGGACCAGCTCCACCACGGGCAGCATGGGCTTCACCCACTTCACCATGGCAGACACCTCCAGCAAACTCTTCACAACCAAAGCCTACCAAGCCCCTGAGCTGCTCAGTGCACCAGGGATGCAGACATTGTCAATCAAGTCTGATATTTTTGCTCTGGGTGTGGTAAGCTGTTTCTATAGCTTTGATAAAAGAAACCATGGATAATTAGCCCATCATCCATTGAGAATGTCTGTCAGTTGTAGCTGATTTTATTTCATCTTATTAGGTGTTGGAAAAAGCCAGAGCCCTATAATGATGGTGAAAATTCTCACTGTCAAAACAAACAAACCAAATTCTATGTTTTTATCATTCAAATTTTTATGTTTTATTGCTTACCCCACTTCCTATGTATCAGATTGTCATTAAAATCTTTATTCTTTTCATCATCATCCACACCCGTTCCCCCAATATGTGTGATATCCTGCAAGATCCCTTACTTTCTAGCAATAGTTTTATGGAACAATTAACAATCAAGTTGACTCTAGTTTATCTTAAGCTTTTAATATTATATATAGTTGAAATCAGTTTTGTTTTGGACAGGTATTTCTGGAGGTGTGTAGTGGTTTGAAGCCCCTAGACAGCAACAGAACAGAGTATCATTTTCTTGTAAGTTTTTTTTGTCAATAAATTTGGATTTTCCTCTGGTCAACTTATATTCTAATTAAAATATGCACTCATTAAGACATGCAGTTAAATATCTGTTGAGGATTTTGAGTTTATTTTCATAATTTCCTTATTTTAGACAGACTATTTCAATCAATACATAGCACAAAAGCATCCTTCTGAATGGGTCTCTGAGTTTAAAGACAAAAACATATTCCATCTTGATGAGTATTCTTTTGTGAAAGTATTGGAGCAGGCAAGGAAATGCATTAGCAATATGAAAAAGCTAAGACCAGACAGCATTAGGGTGAGTACTACATCCAAGCACATTGCTTATTTCCTCCCTACTCATGTTGTTACAAATAAAGTAATACTTGTTTTTTTTTTATTCACTTACAGTTGCTTAATGCCATGAAAGATATTTGTACCAATTTCTCACTAGCAGATCCAGGTAAACTTTTTAAAAAAAAATGAATTTTTAAAATTGATTATGACATGTTAGACATTTTGTTTGCAAAGTATGATAAAAACATTTTAGCGAATATTTTATTTTAAATCTAATAATTTTAAGCCTTGCTGTTACTACAACATGCCATAATAGAATTTCTAAATTTGTTTTGAGCATTAAAACAATTTCTTAATGCATGCATAAAAACAAATTTAAATTTCTTTTTTTTTTACCATACAACCTAATAGTAATAGCTATTTTCATTTAACATTCAATCAGGTGTTTTTTTCTCCCCACAATTTAGATCAGTCATGTATGTCCACGTCCAGCTCTGTGCAACAATCCTCCCGTTTCACATCCGTATCCAGACACTTATCCAGCTCACCCTCTTCCTACGCCCCAACAAAGCAAACCCCTCAACAACTTCAGTCTGAGAAACTAGAGCACTACTCCCAGTTCTCCAACACCTTTGATGGCGTCAGCAGTTCCCGCCATTCTGAAAGCCAAGAGAAAAAAGATCTCCCTGTGCCTTTGATGCTGCAGGTTGCCTACGACAACCAGCCTGAGAGAAAACCCATCTCAAGGTTGTCTGGGGTTTTAGGGTCACAGGTCAATCGTGAAAACATCCCTCCTGCCGGTGATCACATGATGTTTATCAACCTGCCCTCGGATCCCAAAAAACTTGCTGCGCTGGGAGTGGATGCGAACACAGAATATCCCCAGGACATTAGCGAGACCACATATCCTTGCGACCCTGCCAAGTTGGCTGTGTTACAGGAGTTTGACAAGCTACCCACTTTATATTCCAGTTCCAGCAGTCAGTACACCAAGCAAGTATCCACTGAGGGTCAGTGCAGTCCCACCTCTCTACAGGATAACCTTCTAAATGTTACTTGTGGTCATTTTCCAAGTGACTATGACACATCTCACATGCAGAATGCCACAGAATCCAATGCAGGAATGTCCACTAGTTCAGCAGTTTCTCTTTCAGATAAAAAGAAATTGGATTTTAATATGATATGTGCGTATATGCAGATGAGAGATGGAGGTGAGTTTGAGGATGATGATGCTGAACCCAATGGGTGTTGAAAGTGAACTTGTTTCCATAACTGGACTGGGCAAAAAAAAAAGATTGAAGCTTTTGAAAATGTGTCTTTCATGAGAAATGTAAATACTTTATTTTCTCCAATTTTTTTTGTTTTTGTAAAAGTTACTTTTTACACACATTAGCTACTTGTAATGTTTAATGTTAACAGCTATAAAAATTAAATAAAAAATCTTTTTTTAACATCAAATAAACTAATACATCCTTTTGATTGTAATGCTAATGGCTTACTTTGTATAACTAAGCACCACCAACTCATTATTTAAAAATTTTCTGGAGCTTTTTAAAAATGCTGTATTTGTTAAGTCAAGCACTCAGGAGCTAACTGTAGCTATATGATCTTTTTTTTTTTACCCACCCCATCCATCACTGCAAACAATTACCTGCTCTACAATAAAAACAATGTAGCTTGGTTAGAGCTCTCTTATAGAAGGGAGACCACTCAATATTTATTTTAGTAAAAATTCATTGTATTTGCCTTTACTATCCCTAACATGAGTCAGATATCCAAACTAAAGACTTTCAGGTTAGCAGTTGAACCTGATTCAGCCATGCCGTTTTATTTGCTTTAAGCTTGGTGTAAATATTAGCTGCTGTTAGTAAATGTGCCTTACAGATGACGCTGGGTGTACAAATCATTTTTCTTCTGTGCTGTCAAACATTTTATTTTTTTGTAATTTGTGTTAAGTTTACAATTGTGTAAAGACTGTATATAATCATGTTCTTCTTGTGATCTTATTATCTATTTATATTTAGAATTTGTATCAAATTCACCCTAGTTGTAATAAGGACAGTATTAAGCTGTTGTTTTTTCTGTCATCTACATTGTTTAGTTACAAACTTCTGAGATTCTTCTTCATCTTCCTTCTTAATTATTAGTGTTGAAGGGGGGTCGAGATTTATCTGCCAGTGGGTTTGAACTCGACTTTGTTTGAATTTATCAACCATGAGCTTTTTGCCGACTCGAACACGCCTTCAACACAATTAAGCGTTACGTGTCAACTGGTTATGCGCCATTGACTCCGATTTCAGCCTGCTTTTCTTTTTGGATTTGCTTCCATAGCCTTTGTCCAACCAAGAACAAACTACAAGGCAGCAGGTGTTTAATTTTGGAGTTGTCTCTCCTAGAAGAGTGGCTGTCCCCAGCTAATGAGCCTCATCTGCCCGAGGGTTCGAACTTGAGACTTTTCGGTTTAGCAACCATGAGTTTTACCGACTCGACCACGCCGACCCCTACTTCTGAGATTAAATTTACTATATATTACTATGCTGTTGATTCATTGAGAAAACAGGTTAGTCTGTGATATGGATTAAAATAATTCTTCAGGTGTTCATTAATTATCATGTAGATCTATATTATGAGAAGAACTTTGGGAATAACTTTGGTATTTGATTAAGTATAAATTGTGTATAAAATAATTGTGATCAGTGCTTTGGCTTCCAAGAAAGTAATCAGCTGAGATATTTTTTTTCAAGACTTGAATTAGTATTGGCATATTAACACACCCTTTTAACCTGGACTACAAATTTTTGTTGTCAAATGCAGTGTTGTCATTGTTAGTTTTCTACAATAACCTTTCATTTTCATGTATGCAGACTCAGTGATGTGTAGATTGTTAATGTACTGAAATTTAATATACAATTAAAGCATAAAATAATCTGTTTTCTTACACATTCAATAAGCTGTTTCATGTAATGTTTAGCTTTTTTTTTCATTACTGTCTGGGGGAGGGGGGGGGGAGTTGACATCAGAGCTGTTATTTTGTTAATCTTGTTTTAACACTTTCAAAATCTGGAAGATAGTGAGAAATGGGCTGTAATCACCCTGCCAACCTAGTAAAGACATGACAACCCTAAAACCACCTGGAAAAACAGCTTTCATCACTGTGCTAACCTAGTCAAATAGTGACTACCAACCATTGAAGAACACAAGGAAAACAATTTGAGTACAACTTTTTATTGATGTACACATCCTGTCATTCTCTCATGAATAGACACAAACTGTTTATTATACATACAAACATTGAACTAGCAACTTACTTTAAAACAGACCCAAATAAGCAAGACTTTTCTGACACGAGGATTGAAAAAGAAATGCAGTAACTAAATTCAGTAAAATTGTCTGGTCTATCATGGCATCGTTACAAAATATCAATAAACAGCATGTGTAGCAATTCTTGATGCTCACAGCTGCACACATTCTGCTATGAAATAAAGTTAATTTCACACTGCTGCTATACAATGTTAGGGTAAATCAATAATCAGATCAAAGACAGAGAGACTTTGGAATCTCCCAGTTTATTTTTTGCTAACTATGCCGGTTAGTTTCATTTGACTTAAGTTATCTGGACAAAAATAGAGATAGTTTATTTATTTTTTTAATTTAACAATATTGCTTTTTGATTTTTAAATCGCTTTTCATAAAAATACTGAAGAGTGATAAAATCAAATACAGTCATCTGATGAATAGATTTCTTACAGAACTAGAGATGAGCATTACTAAAAATTGATAGGTTTTCCAAAGTATGCAGCCAAGTTGGCTTCCCTGAAAGCTTCTGACACAGTCTGAAAAACAAACATTTTAAAGACATTATAAACAGTTTCATGTTAAGTTTACTAAAGGAATCTCACAAGTAGAATCATGGTCATGTCATTCATGAAATGGTCAAATTAATTTTTTTAAATGGAACCATTTTTTAATGAAGAGTACAATGTTAGCCATAAAAAAATAGAATAGATCAATACTGTAGTGAATTTTTTAAGAGTTAGTTAATTGTGCTTTTTAGTTTTGCATAAAAATTGGCAGAACTATTAGGCAAAGCTAGATTTTTAATTAGAATATCTTAGTAATAGTAAGGGCCTAGCCAATATTATGTAAATTCACTTTAACAAGTGGTACTTAATATTTTCACATTATTTTTTGCATGTTTTAGAAATTAATGTTTAAGAATCACTCATTGATGTCTTAAATAATTTATATCATTGTAAAGAGATTGCCTGTAGTTTCTATTTGATGATTTTTTTTAACTGTAGGAGATCACATGAAGTTTTAATCTAGGACTATTTGGAGTAGTTTAACACAAAACCAGGGGAACATTTTCAAAGTTAAGTGCTAGAATTCCTGCAGAGAGCAGGATATATAAAGTGGCAGCTCAGCCTTAGAGGGGAGAAGAAAAGATTACCGTAGCCACTAATTTATGCAACAGGTAAATCATGTTGAGAACATATGAAAAGATGCTGCAATGTTCGCATGGCCTAATAAAGATTTAGGACAATCATCTACAACTTGAACAAGAAAACATTTAGGAAAAACACTATGGTACTTACAGGATGTGCATGGCAGACTCTTGCAATATCTTCACATGATGCTCCATACTCTAATGCTAGAGCAGCTTCATTGATTAGTTCACCAGCACACTGTAAGGGTAGGAGGTATTTTAAAATGTATTCAAAACAGATGAAAGTACTTCCAGAAATAAAATACAAGAAGGTCAAACAAAATGAATATATTTAAACAGATACAAGCACTTCAAGAAATAAAATACAAGTAAAGTCAAATAAAATGAACATTTTTAAACAGATACAAGAAATTAAAATACAATTATAGTCAAACAAAATGGTTTCCTTACCGATGCCACTATGTGGGCCCCAAGCAGACGGTCTGTTTTCTTGTCAGAGAGTACTTTAATAAAACCATCAGTGTCGTTATTACATTTGGCTCTGCTGTTTGCTGCCAGTGGGAAGCTTCCAACCTTGTACTCCACTCCCTTATTAAGGAAATAATGAAATTTTACATTTGTGTATTAAAATGTGCAGTCAAGCTAAGAGTTATTCTATTAAGACATCCCTAGAATTTACAAAAATTATTCGCCAAAAGCGTAACCTTGAAAAAAAAAAAAAAAAAAAAAAAAACCTCTTCTTTAAGCTGCTCCTCATTTTTGCCAACCCAAGCAACCTCTGGGTGGGTGTAGATGACAGATGGGACACAGTTGTAGTCAATATGTACAGCACCACCACAGATGCCCTCCACACAAACAATGCCTGTCCAGACCATGACACAACTTTGTTAGTTCACTATGTTTTTTTTAGCTTTTTTTAAATGAATGTATAAAGTTTCTACCTTCGTCTTCAGCTTTGTGTGCCAACATAGGCCCTTGGACACAGTCACCAATGGCATAAATACTGAAAAATTGTAAACATACTATTTTTAAATAATTAACTTCAATTTTCAGAAAAGGTACATTGAAATTTGTGTTTCAGAAAATGAGTATCTGATTAAAAAAAATATTGGCATTATTCTTACAAACAATATGTAGAGATGAATATAAATTTATAATTGTTTTATTTATTATTATACAAAATAAATTGAACGAGCCGACCCGCGGCATATCATACGCCACTATTTAGTTGTTGTTTTTTCTACTTTTCAGTTATTCATAATTTGTGAATTCCACACTACCAACGCTGCCACTGAAAATATTTCTTTAAAACACTATAAGTAGCTCGTTAAGGATGATACCCCCCCCCCCTCCTTCCTCTCCCCCCTCAGTTAAAGTAAACCCCACTTAGTTACTCCCCCCCCCACGTTTAAAATCGTTTCAAACTAAATTATCTGCCCCTAATAGTCGTCACTAAACCCGGCTCTGTTTGTAAACATTTGGAGTGAACCACAGCTCACCAGACCATGTAAGGGTGGGGGTGGTAGGGAGCGCGTTTACAGCTTGTTTTCTAGCGTCTCCATGAAGAGAATTATATATATAGATAATATGCGATCCGCCAGGATCCCCCAAAAATATGTTGGGGGGGGGGGGGGGGGAATGATTTTGTGTCTAGGACATTAATTTTGGGATTTATTATTTGCTTAATAATTATCATGCTTGGTATAAAAGATGCTAAAGTAAATTCTAATTTTCTGAGACTAACTAGTAAAACATTACTAAGTGACTAACAAATTCCTAAATAGGTATTACAATTAAAATCAGCTGTGAAAAATGCAAAATCAGCCAGATGGTGCAAAGCAGACTAAACCATTGTGCTGGTTTACATGTAATACTATACAATAAAGAAGTGTGACAGTACAGCTGTTCAGATATTCAATTATTTCCTTTAATATACCTTACATAAAATGTTCTAGGAGAAAATATGACTACTATACCTAGGCACTGATGTTTGAAAGCGTGAATTCACTGGAATCCTTCCTTGTTTGTCTAACTGGATGCCAACTGATTCAAAGCCAACATCTTTTGTAAATGGTCGCCGACCAATACATACAAGGAGTGTGTCACATTGTAGCTAAACTCAAACAATTAAAGGTGTTAAAGTCAACTGGACCCTGATTATAGTAACCAAATCATAATTTTATTATATTAATCTTAAAACAGATTAAAATCTTATAAAGATAAATGTAAAAATATGCCCCGGGCAGTGGAATTTGAAAAGATTATTTATTTATCCATATTATCAACTATGAATAATTTATGTCAATTAAAAAACAGCACATTAGTGAGGAGACATGAACAATTGACAAAAATAACACATCAGTGAGGAGACATCAACAACTGACAAAACTAAACAGATCAGTGAGGAGACATGAACAACTGACAAAACTAAACAGATCAGTGAGGAGACATGAACAACTGACAAAACTAAACACATCAGTGAGGAGACATGAACAACTGACAAAACTAAACACATCAGTGAGGAGACATGAACAACTGACAAAACTAAACACATCAGTGAGGAGACATGAACAACTGACAAAACTTAAATCAGTGAGAAAACATACCTCTTCCTTCTTCCCATCTTTAACACCCTCCACACTGACTGTCACTTTGTCCCCAGACTTAGCAGCTGAGATAACTTTAGTACTGAGCTTAAATTTGATGCCTTGTTTGGCAAGAGATCTCTGGAAGTTCCTGGACACTTCCATGTCAATGCCCATGCCACCAACATGTCCTAGAAACTCCACACAAGTTACATTGGCCCCTAATCTCTGCCAAACAGAGCCCTAAAATAGCAGCAAAGGAATATAAATAGCATGGGGCTAAATTCAAATTACAGACATAATCTGGATTTTATTTTTATGTACAGTCAATTTAAAAAATAAATATAATAATAAACAAATATGTTATGGTTGCATTAATAAAAGAAAAATTAGCAGAAATGTGCATGGCAAAGTTGAGTTGATACATACCAACTCCACACCAATAACACCAGCTCCAATAAGGATGAGATTTTCTGGAACTTTGTCCAATGATAAAGCACCAGTAGATGTAACAATTTTTTTCTCATCAACCTTAAAAAAAAATAAAGAAAAAACAGAGTGGTTTATATATTGATTCACATGTATGTGCACTGTCACAGTAAGCACTGCTAGTGACCCTTGAACTTTACACCACTTTCTGCACCCAAATAACAAGGAGAAATGGCAGGCTTCTTTCCCTTTAGCCTCTTCATGCCTGTGACATAGATTGCATTGTCATGAAGTCAGGAAACATTTGTTTACAGTTGTTGACTAAAAATGAAAGGCAGACAAATGTTTCTACTGTTTATAATATTACACTTTCAAATGGTACACAAATGGTGCACTTCACAGAATTTAAAAAAAAAAAAAGGGGTTGATATTTTTATATTTAATAGGATTGTAAATTATTTTATTTTTGGAAGGTTTTTTTCTTGTAAGATTTTTCTTGTAAGATGCATTTAGTGAACAAATGAATATTTAGAGTGTATGTTGGGCTATTGACATTCTACAGTCAATTATCAACTGTGTATACTTGAATAAAAATCACTAGTTGAGTAGTAATTTGTTTTATTTTTTATTTATTTATCTGCTCAGAGCAAATATGATTTTAGTGTAAAATAAGAAGTAAAAATTTCTTTTTAAGTTGAGAAAAAATGTTGATGATACTGCAACATACAAGTTTTAGAAATGAATGATGGGCTAGACTAATGGTGATAAGATTACTTCTTGTGTGAAACATTTGCCTTTTCAGTTTGAAAATCGTCATTAAACATAGCTTAAATAAATGTGCCCACGTAATAAAACTTGTGAATATTTGAGGATCTTCTAATACATTTTCTCACAGTAACTGACCTCTATTCCAGGGAAAGGAGTGACCTCTGACCCAACAGCCACTAAAATGTTTTTAGTTGAAACCTTCTCTTGGCTGCCATCACTTTTAGTTACAGTAACTTCGTTGGGACCAGTAATTCTGCCATAACCTTGTAAGTGAGTCACCTGAAATTAGTTCAGCATTCATTAATCCAGTATTTCATCCCCAATGTAGAGAGTGTATAAAACCCTCCTACAACAGAATACTTAAAAATAGAAGATAATTCAACCAAATGTTACTCGCTGCTAATGGGTCATGAATTAATTAAATATTGATTAACTGAAACTAGAGAAAGTTGTGAATATAATATTGTCACAGCCAAGAAAATATAAAATGCTTACTGAGTTCTTTTTAAACAAATGAGCAATTCCTCCTGTTAAAGCTTTTACTGCATTCCTTTTCTGTTCCATCATTTTATCCAGGTTCAGCTTAAGTCCAGTGACTATGGACAAAACATAAAGATGTAGTGAACTTTTGAAGATGACATTTTATTAGATCAGCATACATCATAAATTTACACCAATCACAAAAAAAAAAATTTCTTACATTCAATTCCACGATTAGTCAGGTCATTGTGGTGAGCCATATGATATAGATGAGAATTATTCAAAAGTGACTTGGATGGAATACATCCCACATTTAGGCAAGTTCCTCCTAAAGTTTCATTTTTCTCAACACACACTGTCTGCAAGCAGAGATAGTCATATTTGGATGCTGATGACCAAGTACTAACTCATTAGTCAAAAAAAAATTTCAAAAGATATGGAATACTTTTGATTGATTTGCTAACCTTTAGTCCTAACTGAGAAGCTTTTATAGCAGCTACATATCCTCCAGGGCCAGAGCCAATGACCACGAGATCTGTGTCACCTTTGTAAAAACAAAATTTTCATAAAATCAATGAAATAAATTAAATGTTTTAAATGTATTGTAAAAATTGTGGTCCATTGATTACATTTAATATTTATTATTAATGAAGCAATTAAAACTGTTACCTCCACTAGCATAATTTCTTGAAGAGACATAAATAGAAGATAGAGCTTTGCCTTTCAGAGGGCTGTTTACCTACAGGACAAAGACAAAAATTATGATGGCATCAACTCTATTTTCTTAAACATGAAGACTGCATGTAAAAACGATGTACTAAATCAGCACTAATAGTACTAAAATGTCGGACAAACAATGCAGTCAAAAATGCTAGGTAAGTAGCTTATATAAATTAGCCAATAATGTTGCAAGGCTATGCTTGCTAGTAAAAAAAAAGCATAAAATAATTCATAAAGTGTGGAATAGTAGTATAAGCCTTAGAGTTTGATTATCATTATTGCCTATGCTAATATATTTCTAAGGATCAATAAATGAGGAATAGAGTGTATTCAAAGTTTTAGTTTATAATTTTAGTTTATATTTCAATTTCAGTATTATAATATTATACACACACACTAAATATGGACATTTTCCGCAGGACTTTGAAAACTAATTAAAACTATTTGACTAATGCTTCCAACCTGAACAATAACCTGTGCCTTTTAGAGATACATTAATAAAGTAAATGGAAAATACAGGAATGTAAAGTTTTTGCTTTATTAACCAAATTTGGGTATAGCAGGAGTAGCGATATTGAACTAGAACTGATCTTGCAAAATAAAGAAAGTATTGTGATTTCAGTTAGCCTAAATAGACTTAGATATTAACTGAATTATTTACAGAGTGAAAAGGCAACCCTATTAACCATCAGATAGGAATAGAATATCTGGCCTATTTCCCATTCCGCTATTTCTACAGCTGAATGGGAAAGAGGCATCCAAACCATCCCCAATTATGTATCAAATTCATCATCCTTGTCCCTTAACCCTTATTGGGGTTGTTGGTTGCCATAACAATTCTCCGCCACCCATCTCGGTCCTCTGCCATTCTGATTAGTACTGAGACTGGCAGCCCCGTCCAATACTTGATTTCATCTATCAAGGTGACACTTTGCCTAACCCCTCTCCCTCCGGCAATACTGACTTGCAATATTGTTTTGGATAATCCGTTGGTTCATGTGACAGGCCCATACCAGCTCTTAGTAGGCTTACCATTTTTAAATTAAAGAAAAAATATTAGGTTAATCAGTAAAAAAAGCCTGGCCATTTTAATTACTCTTAAAATAATTTTTATTTAGGCCTAGAAAATAGTTTGGATAATTAAAATCTGGAAATCAATGAATTTGAATCATTTTACAAATTTACATCAGCATTTTCAATGATTTTCACTCTTACTATTGTTATAAATTATGCATATCTGATTTGGTCTATTCCCAGATCTAAGGGCTATGTATGTATCTAGATTATTTAAATCACTTAAAAAGCTACAAATAAAAAACCGATGGTAAAATCACGATATAGCGTCGGAAATTATTGGGTAATGTTCGTTGAGTTTCGGTAACATTCGTTACTGTAAACCATAGTTTATTTGACCGTTGAAAGAAAAATAAAGTCAAGTGCATTAAATTAATGTTTTAACTTAATTTAATGTTTAACTGACAAAAAAATTAGCAGCAATTAGTAAATCTAAATATTATTAATAAAGTCGAGTGTAGTAATTAATGTTTTTTTTAAGAAACACAGAAAAAACCTGCAGAAGATTTGCGACAACCAGCTCTAGTTCTGTTAGTAAAATAAGACGATTAGATTTACTAAAGTTAAAAGTAGTAAGAAGAACTAGAATAATGTTTAGTAGCAGCAATAATTAGCACATACACTTAAAATAATTAGAAATATAAAATAAATAGCAAAACAGTATTTAAAATACAACTAAAATCAATCCTTGCACATTTTAAAACATTGTGTATTAAAAATAATATGGCGGCAAGTAAATGATGGTTTACAGTATTTCCGGTGGTTTCCGGAATGGCTCGACTGACTACGCCATGGTTTTACTGTTTTTTACTGCTATACAGTTCCGGAATAATAACCGACGCTATATCGTGATTTTACCAAACCGATGGTCCCTCCTGGCTGGTCAGTGCTGGTATGTGTGTGTGTTTATCATAGTGTTATGTAAATTAAAATTTGTAGAGAAGGGACTGCAGCAGAAGAAGAGTGGTTAGATTAATTTTATTTTTATTGATATAGGATCTAGTCTAGAAACTATATAAATATAAATGTAGATTTGTGCACAACAACTGGATGTTTAGAAAATGAAATAATGATGATCTACTTGAAGAAATTACCCGCAAAACGGTCGAAAATTTAAACACCGACGAGACGAACATGACTCTGTTTGACAGTGACATTGAATTCGTTCACTAAACTGCAGATCTTCAGAGCTGAAAAAGAAAATCAAATAAAGCATATACCGTACACTTCCGGTTGGGTGTGCTTATCAAAACAGAAGAGAAGTTACTGTTTTTTAAACGAATTTATTTCGATAAATTTACATGAATTTGGGAATATTCTGCCTACAAAATGTTTAATCGTCTTAGGAAGAAAAAAGAGGATAAGGTCATATGATTATGTTTCATCATCGCAAGAGCCATTTTAATTTGTTATTGCTTTTTAAAATGTTTTTTTTTCTTTTACCCTCGGCCTCATCCTCCTCGAACAGAATCCCCCCCTCACTCAAGTCAAGTTTCAACTCTCAACAAATAACCCACATCCCACCACAGTACTAAACTTGACAGTTTAAAGTTGGGCTGCTAGTCTGCAAAGTGACCCCCATTCCCTAACAAATATATCTAGAAGCCTTCTCAGACTCAGCCACTCATAGTTTCTCTGTTGGTCACTCACTGTGACTCTGTACTAGTCTGTACTGTACCAGTAGTTACTTATTTTTACTAGATCTAAATGATTTGGTAATCTCATGATATTTCAGTCGTTGGTTATTTTTCCATAACAGTTTAGCAGGAAAAAAATGTAAATAGTAAAAATAACACTAAGTCTGCCCTGACGGAAGTTCTTTAAACTATATTTTATTTGGCGCGATCTTTTAATAGTACAGTGTTTACAAATTTAGATAGACCTAGATCTAGAAGATAGCTTGATTATAGTATCATTTTTGTTTCAATCGCATGTCAATTAATGTTTTTCTAAAGAAGTATAAAAATAAAAACTTGCAGAAAATTTGCGACAATTATTGTACAGAATCTAGTAAAAAAATGACTTAAAAATTAGTATAAAAGACAAGAACAATGACTTTGAATAGTGAAAATTGATTGGCAGCAGTGATTAGCAAAAACAATAAAAATCATTAGCAAAAGAAAATTACAAGCAAAACTATATTTAACATTTAATAGTCATGACTATTATTTATTATTTATTTTAGATCTACTAATTATCTGCACATTGTTTTTATGTTTCCTTATGTCGATTTATCAGTACACTCAATTTTATTTATATTTCACCAGTCTAATAAACTATGGTTTACAGTAACTTATGCTTACGAAACTCAACAAACATTATCGGATAATTTTTTACACTATATCATGAGATTACCAATGATTTTTCTCAGTCTTGTGACTGAACTTATATTATGTCATCACTTTCAGTCAAATTTTGAACATTACCCAGACAACACTTTTTTAATTAATTCCATAGACTAACTTCTGACTAAATTAGTAAGTCACGAAGATTAAGTGAGTAGGGGACACATTTTTCTTATCTTATAATGGCATTATTATAATGACATTGATAATGAATAGAGTTTGTATATTTTGCCATGGAATTGTTTAATATTGAAAATATAAATAATTCAATTTTAAAAAATTGTGAGACATGTTGTTTTTAGGTTAGGTAATTATATTAATTCTGACAAAGATAATTATTCATTAAATTTATTTTAAAATAGTCTAGGCCTCTTAAATTTTATTTAATTAGTAATCACGCCTAAAATAATTAGCAGTTTATCTGTTTGGTGTGATAATTATTGTCACTAGGCCCTGCCAAAAATAGTAGTACTATTTAATAATAGTTAAGCCCAATATGCTAATTATTACAATAATTGAATATGGATAGGCTTGATCATTATTCTTTATTATTAATTCTTACACCAAATTTTTAATCTGTGTTGGCTTTGTTTAAGATTTGTTATACTTTTCTGTTCATTCATCAGCATAAATAAGTGCTCTACTAAACATTATTCTAGCTAAACTCTACAAATAAAATACAACTGCAAGTAAACTAAGCAAGAAAGGGTTGTTTTTTTTTCAAGTGTAGTAGTATGTTTTGTTGTTCGTAATAATGCAAAATATAATTCATATTGACAAGTATTCTAATAAACAAATCTTTCTCAGAGAATATTAATGTATTTGTTTGAATGGCTTGTCACTTTAAAAATATTTGTATAAATGTGTATACCTAACTACATTAGTATTTGAATCCTTTTTTCAATAGACTGTAACACAAAGCACCTTTTCATTGCTGTGTTAGAGACTGTTAGCATAGTGTCCCATCTCTTTCTCTGTTGTGTTTTAGTTTTGTGTACTTTAATTAATACAACACTTTGTAAACAAATTAAATCAAATGAATGGAAATCAAATTCTGCTGATAATATATAAACCTAGCTAGCACTAGTGGCTCTCAAATGCCAAATTATTTATATACATAATTAGGCCTATTGGCCTAACTTGTAATGTAAAATTACATAATATGCAGTCATTTAGATTTCTTTGCTCACTATTTTTAAGGGATGCAACCATGTTTTAAAAATCATTAAGGAGAATGTATCATTATTAATTATTTAAAAACATGTTTAATCACTTTCTTTATTGTCATGCTTCATTCATCCATTTGTCCTCAGCCACCCTCCAACACTCCTACTCCTGGTAGATTTACCCTTCCCAATTTGCTAGGTAACAGGAATGATGGGAATGGTGTCAGTGAAGCACAGGTGAACACAGCTGATGGACACCAATATTTGGCCATCAAATAGATAATTTTGCATTTATTAACATTTATCTTTTAAAGCATAAAAAAGCATTTAGCTCAGTTGCTTACAAATATCTATTTTCTAAATATATATATAGGGCCTATACATTATTAAATAAAGCATTGCTTATTTAACACTGATAATAAAAAGGTTTTTTTATAAGGATGAGTAGCTTAGAAATATCAATATTACTAACCACATACAACTGTATGATAAAATCTGATTTAGGCAAAAAGAAATTATGATTCAGAAATTATCATTTCCTCATCTTGAAGATATGTATTGTGTGTGCACTACTCCTGCTTATATACCTTTGTTGTTTTCTAGATGTGTTCTAGTTAACCATGCTTATTATTGTAAAACGTTCTAGTATGAAAATATACTTTAATGTAATGTGGAAAAAAAAATTAAAAATAACTTCTATTTTTTTTAATCATAGAAATTTTAATTCTAATTTATCGAATACCATTGTATGTGTTTTTATGGAATTAGTTATTAAGTGTTCATATAAAAACAAATTGAAGTAGTTTTCAGTAACAATGATAATTTCAGTTTTAAAATAATGTCATAGTGAGCTTTATTTTACTTTGTGGATATCTTTTGTCACAGTGAGAATTGTTTACATGTACAAGGATTTAGTATCAATAAATGTATACAAAATAACTAATTGGTGAGGTTTTTAAGTTTTGCCTATTTATTTACTTTGTTTATTACTTAGTTTATTTACTCAGTTTATTCTTCTAATTGCAGGGATTTTTATGTCCCACTTGTATGCTAAATTTTCAAACTGCTGAGGCGCTAGCTACTCATTTTGATACAGCTCACAATGGAGAGGAGGCTACTGACCCCCCAATTGAAGATCAAGGGGTTTGATTTATTTCTTACAGTTCAAATGCTAGATTCTGTTAGATTACACATTTCTAAACATTACTTTATAGCCTTTTAATAGTGCTGTATATTAGTAATTAACACCATTGTTTCATTTTAAAATATTTAATACATCTCAAACTTATCAGTATTTTAAACATGTCTATATTATTATGGACATAAGCATTTTTAGCCATTGAGTTAGCTGGTCATTTATTTTTTTAACAAACTGCTGTTCTTTGTGATTTTTATTTTTTTAAATAAACATGACTAAGCAATTTTTTTAAAAATTTGTGAAAATCAATCAGCTACAGGCCTAAACTATAAAAAAAAAAACTTTTAAAATGTTATTGTTGATTTACTTTTAGGAAGGATTTCTGTGTCCTATGTGTAAAAAATCTCTGACCTCACCAGAGGAGTTGACCAGTCACTATGAAACTGCACACACTGATGCACCCACCGTAACTACCCCAGTTATGAGGTTAAACCCAATTTTGTACTTAATATCTACATATCGTAAAATTAAAGAGTAATGTACAACATAAATATATTGACCCTAGAAAAACGGATTTGTTTATTTTTACTTTCTCGTATATACGAAGTATAGAGAAAGTCTTGTAATCGTGCAAAAAAAAAAAATCGAGATTTTTGCAAATCTCGACGTTTTACATCTCACTGATACGGAAAAACATAATTTTGCAATCTTGTCCGTATGTCTGTGTGTCCGTGTGTGTGTGTGTGTGTGTGTGTGTGTGTGTGTGTGTCCGTGTGTAAACACGATAACTTGAGTACCGTTACAGCTAGGTTGATGAAATTTCATATACAAGTATTTTATCAAAATCGTAGATCCGTATCAACTTTTGAGCGATTTCCGATAACCGGAAGTGGTACTTTTTCTGCTTTGAATTTTTCAAAAGCCTATAACTTGAGTACTATTTCAGATAGATAAATGAAATTTCACATGTAAGTAAAAGATCTAATTCTCTGACTTCTGTTAAATTTTGAGTAATTTCCGTTGACCGGAAGTAGTACTTTACGCTACTTCCGATTTCTCAAAAAAACTAATGTAAATTTATAAAGTACTAATACTATTGCGCACTATTATACACACCTTTATTAGGCGTTCGCTTGGTGCGCAATTGTTTTTTACTGAGATTCTATTCTATTTTTAAAAGTTTCAGTATTTAAAATGGATTAAAGATCATAACTATATCCCCAGTTACCATCCCCTGTTGTTTTATATAAGAATATTCGAGAAAGTTTAGGGGAGATCACTACCGGTTTATTTATGAATCAATTTTTAAAATTCTCTTTTATTGAAGTGTATTTTTAATTTGCATAATTTTTTTTTCCCTAGGAATGGGGAGATTTCAGGAGTGGAAATTCAAGAGGTAAATTCAGTTATATTTAGTGTAGACCTAGAGTATTAATCTTTTATTGTATTTATCCCATTGATGATTAACAGTAAATTCATTCTGTTAAAGAAAATAATTGGCCTTAACCTTCTTGTTTATTTACAGCTAAGAAAGGAAATGGAGTTGCTCCAAACACAGCTCAGGGGATCTGAGGAGAGTAGAAACCTATGTCAGTTGTTATAACATTTAAAATACAGTTTATTGTCCTTGCCATCTTGTTACAATTTTAGATAACATGAAGGTTTAGAGAAGAATCTATGCTAAAGATAGCTTTATTTTAATTTAACCATTTTGATTAACCTTTACAGTGGCCAATGAAATATTTCACAAAGAACAAGAAACCACAGCTGCCAACATGCAGTTAGAAATGGTCAAGTTAGAAAAAGAAAGGTTGGAATCAAAGGCAGCCCAGTTGGTGAGTTCATTGAGTGCAGGTTTTTTTAAAAATTCACTTAGCCTTTACTGAAAGTATAGTGTTATAAGAAGGACGGTATGGTAGGATGGTAGAGCTTAGAAGGCTAACCCAAGAGTATCGAGCTTGCATCCTGGTCTTGAGTCTGTATGATATCCCTGAGTCAGCTCAGCTCTGATGAGTACCTGTTACAAGTTAGTTAAATTAAAATAGCTGTGCATAGTACTGATCACACTGTGTGCTAAGGTCTTTGAAACATATGCCCTATGTGTCTTGGGCACAAACAAGATGATGATGATAGTATACTATGTTTGATTTTACTACTGAACAAATGTTTATTATCAGTTGTTTTTTTTTTTAAGACTTTATGTCCAAGTAAGTACCAAGCTAATATGTTTTTAGTGGAATAACTGAAATAACATGATGAATGCAGGCAGGTGATTTGGCAACCATGAAAGCAAAAGTAGATGAAAGTGAAGGACAAAAGTCAGCTCTAGATGACCATATCAAAACTTTAAAGGTAATTTGTTTTTTTTTTTTAGAAATTGTTAGGATTATAATGCATAAAAATAGACTTCTAAAATAAGGTTTTTTTAGCTGTAAATAGGATTTAAATATTTTTTTAAATAAATTAATGTAAGGAAAATTCTTTTAACTGTTGAAATAAACAGTTAAGTTAAATTTTTAATCAGTTTTCAAAATAATTTTTAGTATCAGTATTTATATGTCCTTTATATTTATATTATTTTCTACATAACAGCAAAATTTACCATATATAATCTAATAAGGAATCAATTTTTACTTTTAGTCAGTTCAGTAAATCTCATATTTTTTAGGTTTTAGTTGTTGTTTTTTTATAAGCAAGAGAACATATTTTTAATAGGGTCAACTAGAAGACAAGAATAGCTACATAAAAAATTTAGAAACACAGCTGGCACAGAGGTAGGATCTGTTCCTTTCATTCACAGACTAATTTATTCTACACTCTAATAGAATTTAACAAATGTATTTTTATGAACAGTTTAACAAAGTTATACTACACTCTAATAGAATTTAACAAATATATTTTTATGAACAGTTTTACAAAGTTATTCTACGCTCTAATATAATTTAACAAATGTATTTTTATGAACATTTATCAGAATTACAGCATTTAAAAAAATTTAAATCTGTTTTTGAAGTTGACAATTTATTTAGTACTAAAATCATTTTACTGTACATTAGATATCATGTATTAATTTTCCTGTAGAGAAAAATATTTTAATGGCTGCAATGTAAACAATTCCTAAAACTTTATCTTTATCTAGTGAAGAAGAAAAAGAGAAAAAGTAAGCTTTAGATATTGTGTGAGCCCTGCTATGTAATGTTCATCTTTATTTTATTCAGAGAAAAATAGAGCTTGTTTTGAACTGAACTAAATTTTATCAATCTGATATTTTCATTTAAATGTAAAATTTGCACAGTGAGAACCTGGAGAGTTATTATTTTTATACAGACTTCAGTTTGACTCCTTAACCCCACCCAATGCTAACTATTTAGTCTAAAATGAAAAGTTTATATGTTAGTATTACATATTATTACTGAAAAGTTTCCTGATTCCATACAAGGTTAAGCTGGTAGTATAAAATAAAAAGCTTAATAAGTCTACCTTACTCAGTTTTCCTACCCAACTGTCAATAGTTTCATACTTTCCTCCCAATTCCCTCCCCACCATACACACATATATTTATTTTCCTTATCTGAGGTTATTTCAAACAAAACAGATTTTATGGCCAACCATTTGCAGAACATTTGTAGTAAATTTGTTTTAAAAATTAAAACCACTAGAGTGTAAATTTAGTATTGTTTTTCACATGGACTATATAGGCAAAATATGAAGAAAGCTTTATAGTCTTTCTAAGTTGCTTATTAGTGGAGGCCTGTGTTGTTTTCATGTGTTTTCAGTCTTAAAGTCATAGCTCTTGTTTGTAAAAATATTGCATTACATTATTGAAATCAGTCACCTGACACGCGCAGCTGTTATTTTATACAAGATATGTCAGTATTGATGAACAAGTTTAAACTTCTTGGGATCTTTACTTAAAGATCTGTTGCATGAGTGTCAGAATATCAGCATGACAGCAGAAACTGTGTTTACATGTTAAAACTGAATTCCTCCATTAAAATAGAGAAATCTAAAATTCATCTAAAATTACCTCTTAAAATTACTTTAAACCTATTTTCAACAAATAATTACTAGAATCTAGCTCCAATTTGATTTTATCCAAAACATATTTATTTATAAAGGTATATGTGTATATATATATTTTACTTTATCACCTCAATCACTGAAAATGTAAGGCAAATGAAATAAACTAATGTATATGGTTGCTCCAATGACTTTTATTGAAGATAATTTGCCCTTCACATTCTGCTTCAGCATCTTCCAGTGAGTGTTTATGCTGTTTAACATCTTGGTTTTTAAAGTCGTTACTTTAAAATGTCAGAAAAATTCTCCACCAAACCTTTAACCTTTAAAATAGAATTTAATTAATCCACATAATTTTATTTCAATTTTTTTTAAAGAATTTTTAATTTTTTTTTTTAAAGTGTTATTTTTTAGTTTTTTTTTTAACACATTATTTTAATACACATTTTCTACTCTTTTAATGTAATATAATTTATTTCTTTAAATATTTTATCTATGAATTGGATGATCTTTCCATCTTATTTAATTAATTAAATGCAATTTAAAATATTGTAAAAAAAAAAATTATTTTATTTCCACTGTTGAATTTAGTCCGAAGTATTATTTTATACTGCATACAAATTTGAAAATTATTATTTTCCCCATTGAACCATCAGCTTAGTTAAAAGATGACTCTATATTTAGGCCTGCTGCTGATGATGTGATTGTCTTGAAACAAGAACTAGTATCAGTGCAGACCTTGATGGATAAGATGACACAGGAGAGAGAAAAAGAAAAAGAAGAACTAGAAAAAGATTACAAAATCTTAAAGGACTTGCATGCTGTGTAAGTTATCAGTGAACTGTTGAATACTTTTTTGAGTCATTGACAGAAAGGCTAGGAAAGGGTCTGCTAGTGTTGTTGTTTAATACAAATTAAATATGTGGAATAAATGTTTTGATTTTTGTACTTTTAGAAAAGAAACAGAATTAAAAGAACTGCAAGAAAAACTGACAAATTCTCCAAAATCTGAAGAGGTTCATTTGTAAGTTGTAATGCTTGGACTGCTAAGTTCTGTTTAATTTTAAATTTAGATTTGTATTACACTAGACTCAATCCAAGAATGATTAATTTTCATGTAGTACATTGTCCTAATTTGGGTATGTTAGTAAATGCTGTCATACTTCTTAGTGATGTTATTTTAGTACAACTTCCTTTTATATTGTCTCATTTTTAGACTTCAGACATCAATCAAGGAAAAAGATTCTACTCTTGCAGAACTTAAGTTGTCTACTGAAAAATTAAAAAACGATTTGAGCCAAATGACAGAAAGTAGAAATAAGGTAGTAAAAATAAATTCGGATTTTTTAAGTTAATTTTTTATTACATCCTAAAGGTGTGTATAATATATAGTTTTCATTGCGACATTTGTTATAATAAATGTACCAGTTTTTTTATTAATGTATGTAGTGATGTCTACATTGTTTTGTTTCTCACCAGCTGCAAGAACAAATAGAACAGCTGAGTTGTTCTGCTGGAGAGGGACAAAATGTCATTGCCAAGCTGCAGGAGTCACTCTCCCATGTGGAGGAAGAAAAGAGAAATCTCCAGAACACACTTCTCACAACACAGAGCACACTGACACAGGCTGAAGCTGAAATAGTTCAAGTGAGCCCTTACACAGTTTTGGCCATTATTTTATAAGGAATATAGATAAAACCTGTTGAGAATTATATTTGTCTTTGCTGCTTTTAAAATTACTGGTCAGTCTAATAAGTTTTATTATATTTACATAAAATATGGGTAAACAAGCTTTGTTTAGGGTAAACATGTATTGAAATGTAAAACATGAGCTTTGAATATTTTTCAGCTTCAAGCAAAGATAGATGACAACACAAAAGTTTTAAATGAACACATAGAGAAAGTCAACCAACTGCAAAAGTCTCTTGAGGATAAAGATGAAATGATCAGCCAAACTGGAAAGACTTCAGAAAAGGATAAAGAAATCTTTGAAAAAAGATTGAATGAGATGAAAGAGGTGGGAATCTTTTCCTTTGATTTACAGCCTCATCTACCACATGATATCATTGTCCCATACACTGCACACATACGTTTTATGCCATCAGCTAAAATACCTTAGCGTTGAAAATTATCTTATTTTCTCTGAATATTTTGAAAATTATTTTTATGCAAACTGTTTCACTCTCCAAATGTTAAACAAAATTTAGGCATTTTTTAAATCTTTATACTTTGTTTGTTTTACTAACTTAAGCGTTTTATTTTCCTGCCTGTTAAATTTTCAGTATGAAATTTGACATTTTTGCAGTCTTGTCCTCACAGAACTAATACTATTTTTATCTGAGTTTTAAGATAATTTTTTTTTACTTTCACCTTGTTTTATTTATTTTGTTTTGTTTTGGCATTTAGATAAATAAAAAATTGGAGGAAAGCAATAAGGTTTTAGAAGAAAAATCTATAGAGCTGAGACATGAAGTAGAAGATAAAACAAAAAACATGAACTTATCCCTACAAGAAGTAGATAGAAATAAAGGAGTACTTGATGACCTTAGAAGTGAATTAACAATGGTAATGTTGTCTTTGGATTTGTGAGAATGGCAAAAAATGAACAGCTTGGCAAAAAGTTTTTTTTAAATAATTTTTCTTTAATTTTTTTTCTGCATTTTATATTGACTGCTGGGACTTTTTTTTAAATAAAGGTTCAAGCAAAACTAGAAGAGGCAAAGAAAACTTCAGACAACAGGTTAGCAGAAATCTCTAAAGTTCAAAGTTCACTTGATGAAAAGACAGAAGCTTTGAACCAGTCCACAGAGGAGTTGCAGAAAAGCAAGGATGCTGTGGCAGAGTTGGGCAAAGAGCTGGAAGCTGTGAGCATTTGTTGACACTTTTTTTGTATATCAACAACACATTCAAGGAAATGTTTACTGCCTGATAGGTTAGGCTGTCCCTTTGTGAATTCATAAGTCCTGTACAATACAGTGGTGATCAAATTAGATTGTTTTACATGTGAAATGTGTTTATGATCAGGCAAGGGAGTCTTTTATGTGAAATATGTTGTGACAGCTGTTATTGATGTGAAATATGTTGTGATGGCTGTTGTTAATGTGAAATTTGTTGTGATGGCTGTCGTTAATGCGAAATACATTGTGATGGCTGTCATTAATGTGAAATACATTGTGATGGCTGTCATTAATGTGAAATACATTGTGATGGCTGTCATTAATGTGAAATACATTGTGATGGCTGTCATTAATGTGAAATACATTGTGATGGCTGTCATTAATGTGAAATACATTGTGATGGCTGTCATTAATGTGAAATACATTGTGATGGCTGTTGTTGATGTGAAATTTGTTGTGATCAGGTTAAGCTGTCTTTGAGTGAGAAAACTACCCAACTGGAGAACCTACAGAAAACAATGGGAGACAGTGAAGCCTCGACCCAGGTTGTTTTAGTACAAAAAGATCAACAAGTTAATGAACTAACCTTTAAAGTAGAAAAGGTTGGTACTTCTATTTTTATCTTGGTTTTAACAATAGTTAAAAAAATAAACAGATTTTTTTAAAGACTGCATTAACATCAAGTCTTTTGTTAATGAAGTTAAATGAACTTTATATGATATTTTTTTGGGATCCATTATTAGCATTCATCATTATTCACCATTACACTAGAGTATCACTGAGTAGAGCCAACAGTTCTAACTAAAGCCTGACCCAAATATTACTGAGTAGAACCAAACATTTCTGATCAACTAATTTCTTTACTTAATGTACTTTGCAGCTTGTGGCAGAGCTAGAAATCAAATCAAGTGAAGTTTTAGATTTACAAAACCAGCTTGCCACATCACATCGCAGCTTTGACGAGGAAGTGAGTACATTTGGTCTTGTGTTTAAAATATAGGGTTTTTTAATTAATAAGTAACATTTTTACTTGTGGAAACCTAATTAATTTGGTTACTAATATATGATTTTAAAATGAATGCTTGAATAAAAATATAAATATCTAAACAGAGAAGATCTTCAGATGAACTGAAGGCACAAATTGTTGAACAGGAAGGCAAACTAGAGGAAGGAGCTAGAAAAATAGGACATTTGTGAGTTGTTGTTTTTTATGATGTGGTCAGTAACTGGTCATCAGTACCCTTGTAAATATTGCCAAGCAAATTTTAAAAGGTTTTATAATTTGTTTCTTCTTACATCCTAATCCTAGAGAAGAAAAGCTGAAAGATCTAGAAGGAAAGTTAACCACCCTTGGAGAGGATAAGGCCAGGCTGGAAACTGAAAGGCAGGATCTTGTAGCTAAGGTTGCTTTTTTTTTTTTTTGTTGTTGTTGTTTTTTGGTTTTTTATTCAATTGCTGCTAGATTAATTTGTAAGAAAAGTTTACAGAATAGTACTAAAAAAATTAAAGATTTAAAATGTTTGAGCTTATGAAATAGTAAATTATAAATAAATATGTCTCTAAAAGTTGTCCTGTTTTTACCATGTCACAGATAGATGCAGGCGAAGGGGCCAATGAGTTAATCAGCCAAATGAAACAAGAAAATGTAAGTTATCTTCTTATAAAAAAAAAACCACCAAAATATTTAACTAATGTGAACTATTTCAACCATAGCTCTGTTTAAAAAAAAAGTAAACTTACACTGAACGTGGTGATACAATGCATTAGGGAATATATAAAAACCAGATGGAAACAAACAATTGGCTGTGAATAGTGCTTAACTCTACTTACTTTACCAGCCACCTGGCTGTAGAGCATCATTTAAACAAGTTATCCCTATACCAGATATGTGATGTAACCAAAAGTTATAATTTATAAAAGTTGTGTAACAGACTTTAGCTTTATTGTTTGAATACTTCTGTATCAACATCTCATCACCTCACACAAAATATTTGGTCATTGTTTTGAATTCACTTTCTGTTGGTCTAGGTCTCCATTCAAGAAAAAGTTACAAACCTTGAGGCCACTTTACAGAGCCAAGCATCCGAACATGCCAACAAAGAGGAAACTTTGCATAAACAAATTAGAGAGGTCAAGGGTCAGCTGCAGGAAGCAGAAACTAAAGTATCAAAGCTTGAAGCACTTGTAGAAGAAAAGTCCACAAAACTGACAGGCACCTTGCAGAAGCTACATGGTGTGGAGGCGGAGCTTAAAACCAAAGTGGGTTTATTTTTAGATTATAAATCAATGTTAATAGTTGTGTTAATATCTGTGGTGTAAGGAAGTTGTTGTTTTTTTGTGTGATAAATTTGATTTGATTTTGAATTGTGCTGTATGGCTGAACTACTGCTTGTGTAATGAATGTATTTTTTTCCTTTTAAATACTTTTTTTTTAGCTTAATTTGATTTTGAACTGTGTTGTAAGGCTGAGCTACTGACTTGTGTAATGAGTGTATTTTTTTTATATTATTTTTATTTTATTTTTTTCTAAATTTGATTTTGAACTGTGTTGTAAGCCTGAACTACTGCTTGTGTAATGAATGTATTTTTTTTAAATACTTTTTTTTTTGCTTAATTTAATTTTGAACTGTGTTGTAAGGCTGAACTGCTGCTTGCGTCAGACTCAGCTAAAGCCAGCCAGAGAGTGGACCTAGAAAACCACATCAAGACTGTCACCAGCTCACTGGAGAAGGCAAACTCTCAGCTGACAAGTGTAAAGACTCAGCTGGACCAGGTACACTTGCTCTTTCATTGAGTTTATTTGTTTATGTCCCTTTCATGTGTACACCATTTGTATGGGTAGTTCATTGCCTAAATTATTTGTATTTGTACATCTATTGTGTTGGCCTGTTTAAAATACATAGTATTTATATTTTAAAGAAATAAAAAAAATGTTATTGTTGCCTCAAACATTGAGCAATTAGAATTTTTTTGCCTGTGAAGGAATGTAAAAAAAAAAGTTTTAACCATGTGAAACAAACTTCAGGCAAATGTTGATGTGGCATCCAAGAAGGAAAAGATAACTCAGCTTGAAGGAAAACTACATGAATCCAAAGAGAAGTTATCCCAAACAAACCAAAGAGCAAACTCCTTAGAAAGAGAGCTCAAAGAAAAGGTAACTCTTCAAGATGGTTTTCATACTGTTTGCTAGTACAAATGCATTTTTTCATTCCTTTTGTTGGTTAATTGTTTTCTCTCAACAATTTAATAAAATGCATATTGTGACTCCTAAAACTATAAATATGTCTTTGACGACAGATCTCACAGCACAACTTTAATGAAACTATTGTTTCTGCCTGTTTCAGGGTATAAAAATGGCAGAAGTTGAGAAAGAGAAAAAAGAGCTTCAAGATTCTCTGAGCTCAACAAAACAAACCCTGGATGATGTCAAGGAAAAACTGAACAAAACTGATCAGGATTTACAAGCAGTGAGTTGTCAGTTTACACCTCGGTTTGTGCTGGGTTACTAGTACAGGTGGTCATAATTTATACTTGGGTCAGCTGGTCAGCTATTTGTATGTTTAGTGTCATATAGAACATGGGATCATTAACCCAAGGTTCTTGGTTCAAATACTTGACACACCACAATTTTTAATCACTATCTGGCATTTATTTTTGAGATGTAATAGCATCTGGGCATTGAATTGCCTCTTGTGAGAAGTGACAAGAAAGCCAGTTCTATGGGTGGGGGGGGGGGGGTAGTGTATCACATTAAATATTACTGCTGGATGTATGAACACTGAATACTTGTGTGATGTGAACCCTAGCAAGAACACATTGTTTGATGTTTACCATTTCCTTCATTAGGAGAGAAGCGCAAGAGTCTCAGAGAAAAATGAATTGACAAAAACTGTTGAAAAACTGACATCAGAAAAATGTGAACTACAAAACAAGTTGGACTCATTGGTAGGGTTTTACATCAGATGATTATCTGAGCTAAAATTTATTTAATTTTATTTATATTAGTTTTTCTCATGTTGAAATTTTCTAACTATGTATGCATTAGTTTGGAAACTCTCACACAGAACACACACAAATATTAATCTATATAGTGCTGTTAATATTTTAGACTGCAAGCCTGTCAGAAAAAGAGAAAAAAGTTTTGGAGCTAACCCAAGCACTAGAGGACTCCCACAAGAAACTTGCTGCTGTACAGTCAGAGCTGAAGCAAGCTCAGGAAGGTTTAACTAAGGTGCTTCATGCATGACTACTAACATTGTTAACTTTCAATATGGTACCACATAAAATATTCAACATTTTATTTTAACTAAAACTCACATTACTTTAAACTATTGCACTTTTATGACAGACTGATTAAAAAATTTATTTTATTATATTCATTCACATGCCGACATCATTGTATTTATACTCTTTGGCTATGTGTTCTAAAAACTGTATTAAACAGTAGTTGTCCTTTTGTTTGATTATTTTCTATTCAAAAATGACTATCAGTCTGGTGTATCTAATCACTCATTCTTTTTTTTTAAAACAGACCAAAGAGACTTTGTCTGCTGAGATAAAAGTTTTAACATCAAATCTGGAAAAAGAGAAAAATCTGGCCACTGGCACAGTAGAAGAGCTACAGAAACAGGTGTTTTAGATATTTGGCTTTTTAAGCAAAATTCCATCTGACTGATATTTTTTTCCCTTGATTTGTCTATTGTACCTTTTAATTTTTATTAAAGCATTTACCTCACTTTTTTTTACTCATCACTTGAGCCCATTATAATTTGTGTGTTTGTTTTTGTATCTCCAGATCACTTCTTTGGGCAGTGAGATCAGCAGTTTAAATCAAGACAAGGCTACGCTAGTTGGACAGTTAACTGAACTAACCACACAAAATCAACAAAAAAGTTCTGAAATTGGTGCTCTCAAATCACAGTTTGAGAATGAAAAGGTTTATAAGTTCATTCTGTTCTTCTATTTAATTAATTGTTGCTTTAATTTAGCAACATTACAGTAGCGTAGCGAGGGGGGCGGGGGGGGGGGGGACATAAGTCCCCGGGCGCCGACCTTAGGGGGCGCCAAAATGGGTTGGAAAAATAAATTGAAAGGTTGAGGAGGGTGCAAATCGAAAGTTTGAGGGGGGGGGTGCAAATCGAAATCTTGAGGGGGGTGCAAATCGAAAAGTTTGTCCCCGGGCGCCGGGAAGGGTCGCTACGCCTCTGCAACATTACAAGATCTGCGTTGGTTTTGAAACTAAAAGTAATTTTTCTGCTGTGTAGAATGAGCACTTGAGAGAGAAGACTCAGCTGGAATCAAATTTCAAAGACCTTGAGTCTGAGCTGAAGAAACAAATCACAGCTCTAGAAGAAAACATTACTGCTGAGAAGGTAAGGGTTTTGTGGGATGTCACATTGGGTCAAGTTCTGAAAAAAATGATAAAACATAATTAAATACAATTTTAGAAGTTAATATTGGTGAACAGAAAGATGGCAACCGAAAACTGCAAGGATATTTGTTTTCTTAAACCGAGCAATTACAGACATAAACAATGAGTGACTACTTGTATATTGTAGCTTGATGAAACATAATTCCATAAAATATGATACAATGGTGAATTTTTCTGGCAACCATAAATATTATATTTAATAGTGTTCATTTTTTAAAGGTAATCATTTGCATTTAAAGTTAACAACGCATAGTATTAATTACTGTGTTGAATTATTTACTCTTACCTAACACAAAACACATCATCTGACTGTCTTGCATTCTTTGTAATCATTTTTTTACCCTGCAGAAAATTGTTGAAGAGAAAGAAAAATCCTTGCAAGATTTGAAACTAAAGGTAAGCTATTTTTAGACATGAGATGGCATGGTCTGGCTATACAGCACATGACTGTTTCTCTGAATGTCTTGAAACGGAAACCCGGTCTTAAGTCTATAGGATGTTCACCCAGCTTTGATGTATACCTGACACACAATAGGGAAAGTAAAGGCAACTTACTACACTATTCCTATATTTTGCCCTACACATTGAATAGTGTAGAAGGAAATAAATTTTAACCTACATACATTTAGTTTTCTGATAATTTTAATAACTGTTCAAAATTTTGATATTATGGAGGTGACTTATGATTGATGACACAAGAATTAAATTGTTACTCAGTGGAAATGATAATTTAATTTTTTTTGTCTCAACTCCTTTTATATCATCCAGGTTTCACAGCTTGAAGACACAACCTCCAGTTTGGAATCCACCAAGAAAGATCTGGAATCAAGAGTTTCTGAGTTACAGAATAGAATAGATACACTGGTAATGTGAAGCTTTCAGATAATGTAGATAATTATTACACGGCTGATATTGTGTCATTTAACTCTTTGCATTCCTTGTAAAATCTGTAGTTTAGTTACTTACAAAATATGTGACTAAGTTCCCGACTAATTCTGTGCTTAACAGCTGGCAGAGAAAAGCACATCTGAGAAAAACTTGTCTGAAACTCTTCAGTCAACTGAATCAAAACTTGCAGACACTACATCAAAACTTAAGGTATTTATGTTTTGTATCTATTCTGTGAATTAGTTACATTTATTCAGGATGACATAAAAAGGTTATATATAACATTTTTATAATTTATTCTGAATTAATTTTTTTCTTGACCTATTACATATTTAAGATAAAAGGTATTTTACTTTTGGCAACTGTGTATTTACTTTAGGCTGCTGAAGACAAACTAGACCGTGTGGAAAATATGAATGAAGAACTGAATATGAAACTTGAACAGAGAAATGAAGAACTGAAGACCAGAACTGATGAACTAGATGTGGCCAGGAGCAGAGAGGCAGAACTAAATAATTCATTTGAACAGTTGTCTGAGGTGGGTGGTAAAAATATTTGATTAGATAAGTTGTCTGTAGTTGTCATGTGAAATGTTTGATTAGATCAGTAGTCTAAGATGGACTTATTTAATGATTAATTTGAAATGAGTATTCTGTGAAACTTTTTGTCCAAAGATTCGTGGTGCCATGAATACACAGATGCTGGAGCTGGATAGAGAGAAGAAAGAAGCTGTTGAAATAAAAGAACAACTGATTAAAGAAAAGGTTTGAAGATGGTTTTGTTTTGATTTTGTTTGTGATAATGTTTCAGTAATTAATTTCTAACTTGTGCATTTTTCGCTACCCCTTAATATTTGTCTTACATGTAATTAATTTTGTTAGCACATGAACAAGCTCAGTAAAAACTTGATGTGTTTTAAATGTTATTTATATTTAGAACTCTTTAGAGCAAGAAGTTAAAGACCTTAGGGCCATACTTGAAGAAACAACATCAGAGAGAAACCAGTACCACACTGAGGCTGATAAACTGAAGGGATTACTGGAAACTGAACAAGAGGAAAGGAAAAAAGTGAGAGAAATGTGTTTTCTGTGTAACCCCTACCCTATTACATTATAGCAGGCAAATTATATGTGAAGAGTTTTATACTTAGATTAGATTTAGATGCACATTATTTGTGTTCAGTGATCAAGGCTTTACATTGATAACTAAATATATTACTCATATTGGAACCATACAGGAAATCGCAAAGCTGCAAGAGACAAAAGATTTGCTGATCCAGCAGAAAATGGACATCCAGGCAGAGTTACAGAAGCTGCAGGCTGAAGCTGGACGCATGACATCACAGCTGGACAAGGTCAAGCAAGAGGCTGATGAAGTTCAGAAGATTTTACGCCAAGATAACTCTACATTGCAAGACAAACTTGTCAGTTTTTCAAGTTTATTTTCTTGAACTGTATATGAATTAAATATTTTTAATTGTACTTTTTTTTTTTTAAATCAACGTTTTTAAGTAAGTAATTGATGTTTAGCTTTTCAAGAGTAAAACTATATTTTGCATGAGTTCCCTCCCCTTTTATCAACAAACAAATAAAAATAGAAAGCTATGTTTGAGTAATAAACTAATGATGTGCTTGTAGGAAAGTCAGAAATCATCCTATGAGACCTTACAGAGAGAGAAGGAAGAGGCTGATGCCAGGAGTGAGATGCAGTGCTCGTTGTTGAGTGAGAATTTAACCACAGTGCGGACAGATTTAACCGTGGCAGAAAGCAGAGTAGAGGAACTTACCAGGGTCACTGACCAGCTGCATGGGGAAAAACTTGGTACAACATTTCTATTGATCTAGCTTTTGTTTCTAATAGGCTTATAGTGAACTTTTTAAATTCTAAAATAACTTCTGTTCATTAAAAATGTTTACTTCATTCCAGAACTTGAGGCCAAATTAGAACACAACAATGATGAAAGAAGAGTGCTTGTTGAGAGGTAGGATAACTCTAGCTGACATTATTTTTCTTCATATTTAGCTTTAATTACCTCCACTTGCAGGAACAGATTTAAAAGCATGAAAGAAACTTTTCTTGACATTGCCAGGTGTGTTGCCAGTGAAAAAGAGTGTGAGAAGCTGCGTGAGAAAGTGGCAGAGCAGAGACGTAAGCTGGAGGACATGCAGGCAGCCCTGCAGGAGCTGGGGAGGGAGAACCAAACTCTACAGGTGAGGAACTGTTGCCTGCGTGTTTGTTGGTTTTACATTCACCACAGAGTATTTTAGTTTTATAGCAGCATCATTATCAAGTCAATGCTTTTTTAGTAACCTTAAAAATGTGTATTGAAAATATAGAGATTAAACTGCCTCTGAAATATTTAGTGTTAAAAATAAAAAATAAATAAATTGGTTTTAATTTTAGTCTTTAACCACAAAAATGAAATGTTAAGTCATAAAAACTGTATTCACATAATGCCAAAAATGAATCGTTAAGTTATGAAATCTATGCATAAAATGACAAAAATTAAATGTTTAGTTATGAAAACTGTAATCCTTTGACAAAAATTTTAAAAGATAACTTTTAAAAGTGTTCAGTTATAGGCTACCAATTTTTAATTCATATAACCACAAAAATGCAGAGTTAAATTAATTAAAAATATCCCATCAGATAACCACCACCAAAGTACAAACACGCAAGTGGACTGACGACAGCGAGATCACTGAGTGCACTTCCTGTGGAAAGATATTTTCAGTCACAGTGAGAAAGGTGAAGTATTAATTAGTAGTCACTAATTAGATATGACCTGCCTGACTAGTGGTAGAACATGCTTGACTTGCTAACTAGACCTATTTTAAAGTTCTTACATACATTTCTCATTTTTTATTTTCATTTTTATTTCAGCACCATTGTCGTAACTGTGGGTTAATTTTCTGTAATGACTGCTCAAGCAAGACAGCTCAGGTACCGACAGTGAAAAAACCGGCTCGCGTCTGCAACCCATGCTTCACAGAACTCAGCACTCGCAAATAGCCCATGGACAGGGTTGAAGGTTTTACGGTCACATTACACAGGGCATCAAGTGGAAGAATGATTGATAGGTCATGGGATATCAAGTGATAAAATTACTAAAAAGGTCATAGGTCAAAGGATATCTTAAGGAAAGATTAGAAAGTGAATGTAAATGTGCTCTGCTTCTGTTTGTAAGATAGTTGTATATTATGGCAAGACTGAGGCATCCTACAAATTAAATTTCTCATTCATGCAACAACAAAAAAACTCAGTGATTTTAAGGTCAGTTATAACATGTATTTAAAAAAACAAAAAATAAAGTAATTTATCAGCCTTCTTCAAATTTTAATTTACAACTTGTGAAAAAACTGATTCTGAAAAATATCATTTTTGTTTGATTCATTTAACTTTTTTTTTAAATGTTGCTTTTGTAATTTTAATTTTTGTAATATTTAATTGTTTTAACGTAAGTGGAAAGAAAGAAAAGAAACAAACTAGATAGATTGTCAAAATGTCTATGACGGCTGTTTATGTCTGATATTAGCTATTTTAACTTTGTTATCAGTTGTATTTTTGTATCTGATGCGGTTTTGTCTGTGGCATTAGCTAATTGCTAATATATAAAAACTGTTCATATTTTGTTACCAGCTTCAGTGCAGCTTTTTGTGTTGAATAGACATCAACCACCTATCTAATTTACATCTCTTGGAGTTGTACAATATTTATTTCTCTAAAGCAGATGTAAAAACTGTGATGTTTGTGTGATAATGAGTGGTAGTTTGTAAAGACTTGTTTTATTTGTGCTGTTTTGAAGTTTTATGCTTACAAGTTTTTGTATTTAAATTGTTCACAAAATAAATGTACATTAATTGTTCTGTCATCTCTTTGAAATGTCTCCTTAACTAACTTAATTTGTTTTATCTTTTTGTTGGATATTGAACAGTATCTCTCCTTTGGTTCTTCTGATAGTTGTTAAGTCTTGTACACAGCTGTAGCTTTCCTTTAGTTTGGCGAATTGTTTTGTTTGATATAGAATTGTAGTTCCCCTATATTTTTTTTGTTGTTCATACTTCATTGTATTTTTTAATTATGCTATGGTAAGATTATATCTTGTCATATGTCCCATGGTCCTATATGTGATTTTATAAAGTGGTCAAGGGTTCTCAAATGAGGTTGGTGAATGGGATGATTTAATAACAAAACTTTGGCTGATGTACTGTGTCATTTGTGCATTTCTTGCCATTGTACACAAGCTGTAAGTAAAGGTTACTTAACCTTATGTGTAGTATATGTTGTGGAATTGTTTAAAGTAGGAGACTTTGTTGTTACACAACTGAATAGAAAAAGCCATTTTTTGAAAGGAAACTACTGTCAGCATGTAGGATTTGATATTAATTGAACCTGCAGATGTGTCCTGTTTTAGTTTGAATTTAAATATTTGTGACAAAATTGTTCACTTTGCACCTCAAGCTATTTTAATAAAATTAAATATTTGTTCAAATGTAGGCCCCTATTTGACACACAAGTTTTTTTTTTTTTAAATCTAATGCTTTTAAAAGTAGAGCACTAATTAGTAAAACTACGAGATAATTGATGTGGAATCATGTTTAAGGTAGAGTTAATATTAAAATTATAATTTGGGGACAATTATGACTGATTCCTAAACAGCTTTCACCATTATAATGAGGGTCAAAAGACTGACTTATCAACTCAAAATCAGTCTGAGGTGCAAAGTGACTCAAAATGAAAGGTTTACATTTGGTTTTTTTTTGGCTATGCTAGCTGCACTGTTCTAGAACTTGGCATTCTGTTAATACACTCATAATTAACATTGGTTGTGTTTTATTTGCACAACAGAAGAAAAACAAATGTGTTGTTTAATACAGGGTTGTCGCCTAGTTCCTAAATATTACATTTTTAACAGCTAGTGCTCAGGTTTTTTGCAGCTTTAATATTGTCTGATTTAATAAGTTGTGCCAATTTATTTTGTGCAGTTTACATCAATATTTTTTTTTCATTGTGAGTATGAATATATATTTGTACATTTAAGAAGAAAATCTTTCTTTCCAGTGAACGTTAGATTGAAAGATTTTGTTATACTAATTTTAAATTTATCATAATTAAATCTGAAATGGGTCTAAGACTAATAGATTTTTGAGTCTGAGTTAATATTGCAAGTTACGCTGAATGTCGGAGAAATATGTGGGTTTACTATTGTTACCAGTGAATGTATTATGTTATTGTTAGTTAAACTGTCTGGTATTAGAAACTGTCATAATAAAATTTCCTTTACAATCTTTAATAGTACTTATAGTTTAAAATTTTATCAAGAAAGATTATAGTTAATTATCATTATGATCGTATTTTTTTATATAATGTCAGAAAAATGTATTACATTTTCTTTAGAAGTAAAATGTAATGACAATTTTTTATTCCACACTCCAATGTATTTAGTTCAGTATCCATTCCCTTTATGAATTTGTACATATACATTGATTTTCATATGCTTTATTTATGTATTTGCCCAAAATATTTTAATATACATAACTTTTGTATAATGTAATGTTTACCTGGGTAGGGTATTGCTAATTTCTCCTATGACAAGATACAATAACCTCTACAAGACATGTCACCATTTTCTTTTGTTTATCTTTCTACAAATTTATTTTTATTATCAGAGAAATCTTGTGATAAATGGGTGTGACCAATCACAGCCTTCCTCTTAACTATATCCAATCAGAATTTAACCACTTATTTTCTGTGCACAGATGGGTTTTTTTTTTTTGTCATTACCTGGCTATGCTCTATCAATATCAGTTTATGACATCTTAAGCATTTGTTTCTTTGATAGCCCAACATTCCAATGGACTTTAAAAAATAAATACTAGGTTATTTTAAAAAGAGGCTTTTAGCCACCTGCTGTGCAAGTTTTATAACTGTTTATTTATTTTAAATAAGTTTCTCTTTGATTAGTAATCATTCAATACTTTAGGTAAGGCATTTTTTTTTAATATTTTACTGACCAACTACTAATAAGAGTGTTCAATGGATTTCAAAAATGAATAAAGCTCTTTCAGTTTGAAAATATACATTCTTATTGCAGTTTTAAACTTTATTTTAGTAGCTTTACAATTGGATTGGAATGAATTAAAAAGTTGATACAATGTCTTTCCACTATTTGTCCTAAAAATGTACATGCAAACTTAAAGTATATTCTATGAATAGAAATTAAATGAATAGCAAACCTTTCCTAGACAATTGTTACAGGTAGTTGTAAATGCATGAATGCAATGGCTCATGGTTGAGAGATTTTTATTTAGAGCTTAGGTTATAACTTTTAAGGTTAGAACTAACAGATGAGCTACTAGGAGGACTAGAGCCTGGTTTACTGTATACTAACTGCTGTAATCAACATTTAATGACATAAAAATGGTGAAATTTCATTTTTGACTTTTTCTTCATTGTGGTTTTTAATACTTTAATATTACAGCAGACAGTCAAGTATTTAACATAAAATGATGATAGTCAACTACAAAATACATTTATCTACAACTTATATCCAATTAACATGTTTGCATTGCAAGATATAAAAAAATATCACTGCAAGTGCTACATTTTCAAAATGAGAACTCAGAAGTAGCTGGAAAAGGTAATAGGACAAAACCATTCACTAATTCTAATACAATAAAAAGAGAATGAACTGTCATATTAAACATTTTAATTTTTCAATATAATCACATTTTTCACACAAACACCTTGAATTTTTTTTTTAAAAATGAGCATAATAAATTGTAGATATTTTAATATACAAACTTAAAAATTTTTCCATTATAAATGTAAACATGTCCAAACCAAATTTCTAAGTGTCAAACTTGAGTTTTCTTTAATTTCAATAAATGTACAAATCAGTAGGTAGATCATAATATAGTGCAAGTTGAGGTTTTTCTACAAAACATGAATGATTAATTTTCTTTTGCTGTCATGAGTAAAATGATTTGCTTCAAATATCTCACTTTGGAAAAATGATGTTAAGCTGTGAATGTTGATCTGTCTCGCCTGAAATAAAAGTTACACTTTTTAATATCTTTCTAACCAAGTAATGATTGGACAAAATTTTGGTCAACTAACTGGTTTTAACCAGAAGCAAAATAACAAACATACCTTATCTGCTAAATCTTTTTCGGAAATCTCAATCTGCTCCATGTCTGTGCCATAACGATTTCTATGGAATGCTATCTGGTCTTGCGTTAATTGTTTCAGTATGAAAAGCAACAGCTCATTATTATCCTTCCTGAATGACAGGTAGCGACCAAAAGTCTGAAAATTAAAAAAAAAAACAGTTGAAAGAAATATAGTAGTGCAAGTGCAAAACAGGATGAATAACTCACAACTCCAGACAATAAGAGGAATTGCTATGACTAAAAATGACTTGTGTTCATGGAATATTAATCAGAACCTAAATTGATAATTATTTTTATTTTTTTTCTATCTTTTTCAAAAATTTGACTTTTTATAATTTATATTTTTCAAAAATTGGACTCACTTTTCTCATGGTCCTCATGACACTGAACTTCTGTGTGCTGATAAAACTTTCAAGCATGACACGAATGGCCATATTGACATCGTCTTCGTTGACATAATCTCTTAGGTGTATACGGGCATGTGCCTCGCTCATTCTGATCATAGACTCAATGTGACGTACTGTAATTGGTATGCTCCCAGTGGCCTAGAGAGAAGATGTCAACATATCATCAGTTAGGCATGAAGTAATGTCTTAATAATCCCACATCCAAAAATTCCTCATGTTTAAATGCTAATGTAAACTTATCTTTCTGTTTTAAATATATTCTTTAAAAGCTATTAATCATAATATTTAACTAACATAAAATAGCCATTACCAAAACATAAATACTGTTGAGTAAGTAGATCTATCAATCACAGGAAATTATGTTTGGTCCATTGTGGTTTTTTTTAGCAATATGTGGTTACAATAATCTCACCATGGATTCTCGCCTCAGCTCTGAATACATCCTGGCAACTTTGTCTTGGTCCATTTGGTTCAATTTTGGTCGTACTTTCTCTTTGGCATACATGATGTACTTTCGAAGAAGATCCTGGGGCACTGGCTCAATCTTAGAGTCTCCCAACTGTCTCTGAAGGCAGAAAATAGTGCAACAATTCAAACAATTTCAAAAAGCAACATTATAATTTACACTTCATTTTGACGCACAGATGTTTTAACATAAGACATTAAAAACTACCATATAAAGACTGCTAGACTGAAGGTAAAGTTCTAATCTGGGTTCAAGTCAGTAGAACGTCACTAAGTCCACCCAACTGATGGTTATCGAAATAACATTAGATTAAGTAAAGGCGGCTGGGCATAGTGCTAACCACACTATCTCTTATTTTCAGAGGTCACAGAAACAGGTGAACTCATCTTCACTTGCCCCATGGATCGTTAGGTTCAAAAAAGGAACTTTACTTTTCTTTTTACTTTTTAATTAACTGATATGGTACTCAAAACAGCTGGTAACAGTAAAAGAAAATTGATTACACATTTGTGGTGAGAAAATTAATTACATACTTGTGGCAAGTCTTCCATATCCTCTGCTGCGTGTGGGTGATGTTTCATGTGGCTACCAACCACAAACTTGGCCAAACGCTCATCCTGAGGAGAGAGACAAAAAATATTACATAAAAAACCCAACCATAAGTGATCATTATCACTCAAATGATATCAACCATACAGATATTGTTAGTTATAGTTTTTTGCTATTATTTCAGTACAAGTTGATAAAAATATTACCTGTACAGAATCAACAGTATCTCGTACAACACAAAGTACGTCAAAACGAGACAGGATAGGCTCTGTAAGATCAACCTATTAAGAAAAGCCCATTAAAAATCAGGTAGTTAGAAGAACATTTTTTAGCCAACACTTGCGAAGAGCATTCAAATGTCTATGCAAGCATTTTAATTTAACCACATTATAACCAGCATTTAAAATTAACTATAAATAAAATTTATAATAAACTAACATACATTTTCTGAGAATGTTAACGAAGGATCATATCTCCCTCCTATAGGATTAGCAGCAGCAATAATTGTACAGCGGGCCTGAAGTGATGTGACTATTCCAGCTTTTGATATAGAGATACTTTGCTGTTCCATTGCCTCATGAATACTTGTTCTATCCTGGTCATTCATCTAAGAAAAAATAGATGTTTTGAATACACTGTTCAAGCAGTTATAAAATACAAACTACTGCCATGACGAAGTCTTGTAATTACCTTGTCAAACTCATCAATGAGACAAACTCCTTTATCAGCCAACACAAGGGCACCAGCTTCTAGCGTCCACTCTTTGGAAATGGGATTTCTCTGAACATAGGCAGTTAAACCTACAGCAGAAGCACCTTGACCAGTTGCAAAAACAACACGAGGGGCAGTTTTCTCAATGTATTTCAAAAACTGGGATTTAGCTGTTCCTGGGTCCCCACAAACCAAAATATTTATATCACCTCTGACCTAGGAGAACAAGAAAATTTAGTTACAGCAAGTGTTTACAATGCTGCTTAGTTACACTTCAACAATTATAAAAATATGGTTTTAAACTTACTTTGTGTTTCTGTCCAGGATTTTTAGCTTCACCACCAAACAGGGCTAAAGCTAAAGCCCTTTTAATGTCTTCATGACCATAAATTGATGGGGCCATACTTGCAAAGACCTACAGCACAAAAATTAAAACATTTACAATAAGATTTATCCAACAAAGCAATAAATATTTGGCAATTATTTTAAAAAGTAAAGTAAAGATAATAGTAAGAAATCAACCAACCCTTTCGCCAATAGTTTCATCTTTAGAAAGAGCAACTATAGCTTTAATATCTTCATCAGTTAGTGAAGCAACAGCCATTTTGTCGTCTTTCTTAGTTATATAATTTGCTTGAATGACTGTTGCAAATACTGGAAAACCATTAGCTGTATTCAATGATCCATCATAGTTGTTGTGATATATCCCTGTCAACTCCTGAAAATATAAAAATTTCATTAACTTTCCCTGAAATGTTGCTTAAACGACACCAAATACAAAAATTAATCCATAGAACAAAAATAGTTTTATTTTTTTAATCTTTTGATAAAACCAGAACAATAAAACAACAAATTCCTTACTATTTCATCCCCAGGTTTGCATGTATCAACAAGATCTTCCAACAGAATGGCATCCTTAGACCTAGGTAAGCGACCTGCTGGTACTTTACCAGGACTTTCTTGCACTGTGATTCTTTGGTAGTTTTTGTACACAGTCTAGAAAAAAACAAATATTTAGAAACTAGTACAATTAAAACTCACATCCAGCCCTAAATATTAATTTACAGAGGAAAATATTTTATTATAATTGATTATTAAATCTTAATAAAACACATGAATGTTAAAATTTACAAGACTGATTTCCCTAACTAACAAAAAAAAATTATTCGACAGACGTACCTGCTCCATATTGATTTCAAAAGGTCCTTGAGACTGACACTCAGGACAAGAGCCAGGCTTGATTTCTGTATTTTGGGTTTGGTAAAATGGCCCCAACACAAAGGAACATTTGTTACAATCATATCGAATGACACTTAGTTGTGGAAGAACACTTGTCACACTGGTAACAACTCCATTGGTGCGGATCAGTTGGTTGAGATGCAGTTGCCTTAAAATACAATTAAAAAATTTAATCTTTTTGAACAATTTATTATAAAAGCATATAACTAAATGGAATGCTAAATGTATAACATACCTTAAAGATCTTATTTCTTCAATCAATGGCAGATCAGCTATTCTTACATGAATAGTTTTTGCAATTCTTTCATAATTTGGATACATACTGAACACAACTTCTTTAGCAGCCTATATAGAAATTGGTAAATTAAAAAAATATTTTATTATTACTTTTAGCCACTGTTAACTTTGTACAAAGGCAGCAAAAATACAGTAATAAATGTCATAATAAGTGGCCCATCATTTAAATAAAAAAAGTACATAAGAATACATTAGAAAACCAGCAGGCCAAAAGATTGAAAAAACTTTTAATATAATAAAATCTAGTTTACATTTTTTACATTACCTCATCAAGATTGTTAAGCATTTCTGTTGGAGCTTCTGGCAAAAAATATGCAAGAACCTGTTCCATTGATGCCAACATATTGTAGTCAATCACTAAACTCTCCTTGTTACCTGGCATTAAAATATAATAAAATTAATTCCTGATAAAAGTATTCCTGAAAAAATGTATTGATACTAATGACCATAGAAGTTTGTTTAAAAAGCACAATTCTCACCTTCTACCATTTGCTGAATTTTCTGCCTGTAAACATTAGAACCCTTCTGGTCGACATATGTTCGTAGAAAATTCTTGAATCTATGTTTAATCTCAGTTTTTGGACCAAGCATTGCAACCCATTCTCTTACAGAATGTCCTTTCATATCTTCCAGATTTTCAATACTTTCAATCATCTAAAACATAAAAAGCTTCATGATTATTCATATAAACAATGAATTAAGAATTATTACATTTAACCAGTAGATGAAACAGACCTCTTCTTCATCTTCTGCAGCAACACCTTCAGCAGCACGCTCTGCCAGTCTGCGCTTTCTTGCTGGTCTATCTTCATCATCAGAGTCATCTGTTTAAAATTTTAACAGAGCATTAGTCTTTCAGTTACAGAATTTTTTTCTAAAATGTCTAATATCTCAAAAGAAAACTGGAAAACAATCATTACCATACAATAGCCCTTTCCGCATGCGACCAGCACGAATGCCCTCTTCTCTCTCCCTATCACGAATTTCTCGCTCTGCTGCCTGACGTTGTGTCTCTGAGATGTCAGAGTACTCAGAAGTGTCAATGCCAACATTTTCATACACATCCAACTCAGGGATAGCCTGGTAATCTCTACGATAAAAACATGTAATAAGCAATGGATTTTAAAATTATCAAGCTAACATTTTTTTAAACTATTTAGTTTTAGGCCAACAACCCAAAGTGAAGCCTAGATCTAGTAATTCACCTCTCCATTTCATCTCCGAATAGGTTTTCACCCTCTTCCTCTTCTTCTCTATCAGGGTCATCATCACCAAGAAGTTCAGAATCATCCTCAAATGGTGGCAAATCTCGACCTGGACTTGATGTTAAGGGTTCTCTTTCACGTGCACGGCCAGGACTGCTTGCAGTGGAGAAAGGATCAGCATCAGAGGATTCATCCTACAACACAAAATTAATAAATATCATCCCACAGTACAGCATATAAAATCTAGATTTTCTAGTAAAATTAGTTAAGTTACACTAAGACAGCAACACGTAGACCTTACAGTACACTGAGTACAGTGACAGTCAATGAGTCATGACAGTGCGTATGACATGTCAAATGCACTAAAATTCTAAAAAAATTTACTAAAACTAAAACTGAACAAAGCAAGCGCCTTTTATCTAGATCTAGAAATTTACTTTTTGCTATGAAAAAAAATCAAATTACTAGATCTACTTACAGCCATTTTAGGAGATTAAACTATTTGGCTAGATATAGACAAGTAATTAAAATAGTAGATTACGGCCTCTATATTATTTATTTTATTTATTTATTTATCTAAGCAAAATGTGTGGAAACTACTGTTGACGACTGGCGTATATATTTTTCGCGGGAAAATGATCATTGTGTCACCTACTATTCACAATAACAAAATAGTTCTTGGAAATAATTGATTTTTTTTTAAATCAGAATATCGTTTTAGTGAGTTTATATTATTTTATCATTAAACATAACAATTCTGATTGCTTTTTATCATTTATACTCTTAAAATGTTATATACTCATAAATGTTTTTACACATTAAATGTAATCCTAAACAATAACACGGACTACATGAACGTGAACTTTTACACGAGGCACAGTATTTATTAGAGTAATATCCCTTACTTTAGTTGCTATAGAGATAAAATGGATGCCACACTTGTATAGAAAGTTATCTATAACTAGAGATAGATACATTTAATTGCCATTGAGTTTTTTTTTCCACACTGTTCAATATATAGATCTAGTATGTATAGATAGAAAGATAGATAGATCTAGATACGTATGTGTAGTGACAATAGAAATTTATTATTTCATTTTATTCCGTGTTTACTGTTTACAGGAGTTTACAGTTACACTGTAAACTTTACAGTTACAGCGGCTTAGCCTTAGCTAATACTGTAGCTAGATCTAGATTCTAGTAGACGTATAGTTAGGGCCTAGTCTAGACTCTAGTGGTACTTTACTACTTTTACTACTAGGCCTAGATCTAGATCTACTTACTAGACTAGATATTCTAGATCTAGAGTTAGAGATCTAGGCCCTACAAAAAAATATTTAAAATAAGTTTTAAAAAATGTTTGGCCCTAGTCTAGTAAGCCCCAGTTATTCAATTAATATTTAATAATAATAAATAAAGTAAATTAAATGATGAATGCAAATGTATTAAATATATTTATATAAGGGTAATCTATCGTTTTAAGTATGTAAAATGTGAAAAACAGGTGACTCCTTAAATTTTAATAATTATTTCACATATTGAGGAGGATTTATGTTTTAAAAAATACAATAATGTTCCCTTGTTTCATTTATGTACCTGTTTTTAAACAACTGAATTAACTTTTCAGTAATAAATGAAGACTAGCGATGTTTCCAACAGATGCAACCATGGCTCATTTACTATAGCAGCCATCTTGTTTATTTTTTTTTATTGCAAACTTATAGCTCAAGATTCAGGGGAAGCCACTCTAACTTACAGATGGTCGCTTTTTATATAGCAAATCCTGCTAGCAAACACTGCTGTTTAAAGTTAGTTTCTCGGCTATATTGATATATTTAGCCGTTGATTTAGGTTTATTATTCATTTATCTATAATATTTGACACAAATATATCACAATATACTTCTATTAAAGCCTTGACAATGAGGTAACTGTTTCGTACATTACTAGCCGCGGGCGATTTTACGTACCTAAAATGATAGATTACCAATATAATAAATATAGGCCTAGGCCTAATAATTTGTAATAAATAAGTAGGCCCTAAAGTAAAGTATTACTAAATATTTGAGAGTTGTAGTAAGTAGTATGTTATGGGCGTAAATTTTTATTTTTGGGGGATTTTTTTATACCAGTGTTTTGAGGGATTTTTTTTTCCCAGTGTCGAGACATTAATCATTAATATAAAAGAATCTTCTTTAAAGGGGGGGGGTGTTAGTTTTCTGAAAATACACACATGGCTTTCTAATTTCAATGCTAACCCTAGCCCCAACCCCAGATTACAATACTACTAAACACCTAACATACCTATTTTTGGAAGAGTCTATATCTTTAATAATTATGAGTATCCTCAATAATTCAGATTTTTTTCTTTACAGCTAGTCCAAAGATCTAGTAACAAAATGGCAGAAACAGAAGTTCCAAAGCTAATAAGTTCTGACTCAACAGTAAAAGTCCCAAGTAGGCCAAATTTTGATTTAACTTATACATATAATAGTAAAAATGAAAGTGTTGGTCACAGTGGGCCAATACAAGTCTAGAGTGACCAGTTCTATTTTTAATATTACCTTTTTATTTTATCTCATTTAGAAGCTAATTGTTATTATTATTCAAGATACAAATTTTATTTCACTAAGGTGTTAGAATTGAGATTGTTTAAGCAGGCTAGATAGTCTACAGTCTACACAGAGATACCAAATTGAATATTATGTGTCAGCTTAAATTTTACTACTTTTTAAAACTCAGGTGATGGTAAAGTTTCTGTTCCAAACATGCCAAAACTAACAGTTTCTGGTGTCACATCAAAATCTGGTGAGTTAGCTCAATGATCTTTTTTCACCATTTAAAAAAAAATGTCATTAATCATGTTGTTTGAACATATCTTAGAAATATTTCTTGCAGCAAAGTAAGGGAGGTCAGCTTATGAATGGATCAGGTGGAGCTTTCATATTTCCTCCTTATATGGGCCCATATAATAATGAAAATATTTATATTGCTATCTTTAATTGTAAAATACTAATCCGAACAGGCTTTTTCCAAAACTAAGATGGACAAGACATCCTTTAAAAAAGGATATAGGGAAGTTAGCTTTAATGATTAGTTGGAACTGATACCATTGCATTTTATTTCACAGAAAGTTCTCGTATGAAGAAAAATCCATTCAAAATGCCTCCTGATACAGATATATTTTTATTACGTGACAAGGAAAAGCAAAAAAAGTTTGAGGTAGGGCACAATGTTTTTTAAATTCAAATTTAATTCCAACATGACGGTGGTCATGGGTCACTTGTGTGATGAAATTTGTATCATGTCCATTCAATTTTACTTTTCCAATCACTGTATAGACTCAAGACAGGAACTAACTGCAATGCTGTTGATAGTGCACTGTACACATTATCACATCATCCCATAACATTAAATTACTCTGATGATGACTTATCTTTTAACAGGAGCGTATGCGGCAACGTGAATTAAAAGTTCATGAAAAGACCACTTATGCTTCTCGAGTGTGTTTTAGACCAGCTTCTCTTATTCATCCTCCTGAGTCAGACTCAGATGATGAAGTTGAAAGTGATAAAGCTGTAGCTGTAAAAGATGATCCACAGTTTACAATAGCAATTACTAGAGGTAAATAAGCTGCTTCATTCACTTTCGTAACTTTTAAACAGAGATAGAATACTTTGGCTTTAACTTACATCTTTTCTGCCTTATGCTCTACTGCATTCAAAATTTTAATAGTGTATATAAGCAATAATTGTTTTATAAATTATAATAATCCTCATTAAAACTTATTGTGCTTATTTCACTTTGTAGATCGTCATGTAGAAAAAGAGTCCCTTTCAGAGTATATTGCAAAGAAGCGAGAAATGTTTTTAGTTCAGGTATTTTTTATAGTATCATTTTCTTAATTCAAATGTCATTTTGTAAATTTAATATTATTTTTTTTTATGTATTATCTGATAATCGAAGAGCTTTATATATAAATAGTACACTTGAATAATTTTTAAACAAAATTTTGTTACAGTACTCCTTAGGTGTAAAAAGGGATGAGATGAGAAAACTTGAAGAGATAGCACAGGCAGAAGAGAGAAAACTTGAATTAGCAGAGCAGTACTTAGAAGAGGATGCTGCGTTGTTTGATGAGTTTTTGAAAGAAAATGATAAAAATTCTGTGGAAGCTATTAAAATGTTAGTTTAAGCACATTTTTCTGTTGAATGTTCTTATAAAAGTTGCTATTTTAATTCTTTCAATTAAAGTTTGATTTGATTTTTTTAAAACTGCAGTAATATGTATCTTAACATTAATAGATTAAAATTACTTTTTTTATATTAATTAAAAGAACGTTAAGAGCATAAACCTAAATGACTTCTATAATGACAGAGCTGAAACTGAGGCAAAACTGAAGATGGAAAAAGTTAATGAAATAAAAAGGATTAATGCACAGATGATGACTATCAAGTCAGAAATTTCTAAGTATGAGGACACACTCAAAGAATACCAGTTGTATAGAGCATTTTTGGAATCATTGATACCCCCTGTAAGTTGAACATATTATACTTTGTGTCAAAATTTGTCAGTAGTAAATCATGTATTCTTCTAAATTACATATACTTAAGAATCACTAGAACTGTTGGGTGTTTTCATACTTTTGTAGCAATTTAAGGGTTGTTTTTTTTTAATAGATTTTTTTTATTTTGTCCATATAGTGATGGCTTTTTAGTTTTGTTACTGCAGTTTGTTTCTTGAATAAAAATAATTTGTTAAACAATAGTTTTTTCTAGTCTGCATTCTATGGTAAGGCATACTGAGCACAGAAACTATTTATTTACTGGGTTCAATTTTATGGAGTAGAGTTGCAACCGAGGCAGTGTTTAGCTAGAGGGTTTATTTATACAAAAGATAGCATAATTTGCTTATAAGAAATGGCCTGCATATCTATATTCATGTAGATACATTGCTGTGGTGTCTGCCTTGTTATTCACTGGTCATAGCTCAAGGTGTGTGAGTAGACTGGACATCACTGGTCACATCTGCCATGGGTCAGGGATGTTGAATTATTTATGCATGCATGTGTTATGCTAGGGGTATAAAGTGGAGGGATTGCCATTCAGTGATGATGGGGAGAGCATAGAAGGTGTAGTTGTCCACCCCTATCACCATTCTATTCAGCCATTGCTTGTTTTTGAATTCACATTGATAATTTGTATCGCATTGCAGTTTTTTTAATTGTCAAATAGAGAGGAGACAAAATAATTTCAAAATGTTTAATTTCTCAGGAAATTCAAGAAGAAAGAAAAAAAGACAGAGCAAGAAGAAAAGAGGAAAAGTTAAAAGAACGTGACAGGGTGACTGTTAAAAGACAATCCATTGATAAGACACCAACAAGCAAACCAAACACAAGGAGAGGAAGCTTAAAGTCCTCGGATAAAGCTGAAAAGAGGAAAAGCAAAGAGTAAGCTATTTAACCACTATTAAAAATTATAATGATATTCAACATGAAAAAACATATTTCTTAGAACATTAATTAAATGAAAATGAGCACAAACAATTAATGTAACCAATATAACAGTATAATTATGAAACAATTATTTATTGAATCAAAAGATTAATTTGTTTATTATTTGAAGTAAAAAAGCTGATGAGTTAGATGATTCTGATGAAATGGAAGACAGTGATGAGGTATGTTACTAGTTACATTTTGTAAAATAGATCTGTTGTTTTCTTAGACAGAAATAGCTTTGGCATCTTTAATTTGAAATAAATGCAAAATTTTCCTGACACTTTTGCTTCTTTTTTAGGAGATGGAATTATACTTTACAGATCCCCATCAGCTTTTAGAGATATTTGCTGAATTAGAGGAACAAAATTTATCGCTAATTCAGAATAGTCAAGAAACAGAAGAGGCATTGGAAGAAATGAAAAATACAATAAAACAAACAAAAATAAAAATGTAAGCTGTGTTTTAAGGTTTTCATTGTTTTTATTCATTGTGATTAAAAGTGTTTTCTGTTTAGGTATAAAACTTGCTCAGTTATAGCTAAACATGACCTGTGTATTCACCATTTTTTTTCCAAACAAGTAAAGAAATGTAGCTACCTTCCTTATCATGGAGGACTGATTATATCAATATTTTATCAAAAGAGTTTCCTTATTATTTTAACACTTTCAAACAGTGTATAACTTGCTTATAAGGTTTGCATTTCTGAGTAGCCAGAACAATTTTTGGTGTACTTTGTTCTCATAAAAAAATGTACATGATTTTTTTTTTCAAAGGGAAAAAGAAACAAAAACACTTAAAGAACAAATTGACAGACTTCAGGCTCAGATACAAAAGGAAGAGGCTAAAGCTGCTGACCTGAAAGTAAAAGCTCGGTATGTGAAGAATTAAAATTATAAATATGTCATCACATTAGTATTCTTAGATAAATTAATTGTATTTTAATGTATGAACGAAAATATTTTAGTGTACGTTAGTAATAACAGTAAGAATGTTTTTTTCATGAACAGAATGTTCAATTATGGAGAGTTCAAAGCAGATGATGACCAAGAACAGAGGCTAGCTGACCTGAACAAAAAAGTTGAAGAAGTCTATAGGAACTGTATAGGTGATAATGAAGCTAATATTAGGTAACTATTGCAATAAAAACCTTTCTTTTAAAACTATAGTATTGATAGGAGATTATGTTATGTAAAATAAGTACAGTAACTACATAACCATTACTTTTATTTTCATTTTAGCTTTAATTTACACAATATTACATAAATATAAAAATACAAAATATTTTATTTGGATTTTAGCTTTAATTGTACGTAATATTACAAATGTCAGGTTGAGATTGTGCCTTTATTTTACAGCACACTTCAAATGTTGACAAACATAGAAAACAGATTAGAAGAGCTATTTGAAATGATAGAAACAATGCCACAAGATAAAGTTGAAGCTGCCGAAAAGGTGAGAACCAACCACTGTCCAGTATTTACTTTTAAAATATTCATTCTATTCTATTATTATTTAGTAGAATTATTTTTAACAAAGAGTTCACATCAAAAAAAATTCTAATTATATACAGACTAAACTTAGGTTATAATTATTCATTTATTGATTTTTGTCAGTCTTGTTTATTTTTTGTATTGTCAATTATTTGTCTGAAATTGTGTGTAAAAAATGTTGTTTTACAAAAAATGAGTTTTTATACCAAAGTTAAATCAACTAAAACTCAAGTTATGTATCTAAAAATTCAGGCCAAAGATAAAGAGAGGAGACTGAAGATGAGAGAAGAGAAGATGGAACAGCTGAGAATACACCAGGAGGAGAGAGTCAAAAAGGCATTAGAGAGAGCTCAAGCAGAACCCAAAAAGAAGGTTAGTATAGTGTAGTTTTCTTGTTAGTTAGCTTAACTATATATCTCCACAAGTAGTATCCTGCTCATTAGCTTAAATATATATTTCCACTAGTTATTTTAACTGGAACTATTTAGTATTTTAAATATTTAGTTAACTTAAATAAATGTATGCAATAAATAATTTAAAAAAAATAACTGTCTGGTTCATTCTAAAACATGACAATTGTTGTCTCCCTTGAGAGAGCTCTTCTAATAAAATGTGTAGGTCTTAAAATTCTCATCTAATCATTTGTTCTTGCAGCATGGCAAGAAACTAGTATTCAGATCAGAACCCCCACTACTGAAAAAGAAAGAGGATGAAGGAGCAGATCAAGCATCCAGGGAGGAGGAAGAATTGCAGTATTACTTTGCTTGGTAATCCATCAATGGTACATGCAGATAATAGCTCATTGTGGTGAATGATTGAGTAGGCTTTTTTTCTTGTATGTTGAGACAAACTTCCACATCATGTTACTTCATACATTGCAATCTATGTGTAATCTGCTGTTTTAAATTGTTTTTCAAAGGCAGCGGTTTTGATATGAAACTTGAGTATTTTGCTTGTTTAGGGTAAACTCCCTTTGCCTATTGAATGAGATTCAATTAAACTTCTAATTAGGAAGTTTTTGTTAATTTTCTTTGCAAATAATTGAATAAGTTGTTGGCAGCAAATACAAATTTAAAAGTAAATTGAGTGATAATTTAGCACATTAGAAAGAGAAAATGTTAATTGGCTTAATGATTTACACAGCTATTTTAAGAAACAAAATCCACAATGTTGTGTAATAATAGCTTTGATGATTTTTTTTAAGATGGTGATACTTAATAATTTTTACTTTGTAGTTTTCTTGCATAACCTTTATTTCTTGAACTGGGAATAGATTTTATCATTACAATAGATAAGGTTTAAAATGTGATATTTGTTTACATATATATGGGTATGTTTCACGTTACTCCTATTTTAATTAATACATTCTTTACATGAAAAAACTGTACATACATTTTATAATTTTCATTATTTTACTACATGTTTTGAATTTTATACTAAAATTATCTGTGATTTTAAACTACGCATTTGTTTTAAGATTTTACTACCATATAGAGCAAAACACTTGAGAGCAAGTCAACAGACACAATAAAAGAAACAAAATCTATCATTTGTGTACATCATATATTGATTTATTGTTTAATGGTGTAAATGACTATTTACAAGCTGTGTCAACTGTGTGGGGGGTAGGTCTATAGACAAATGATTAGAACTGAATGTACAACTTACAGATGTATCTTCTAACATTTGAGCATGCAGACACAATTAAAACAAGACATTCAAGCCTTCCAATTACAAATGATAATATATACAGATTGAAGTGTTAATATGTAAATGATGGCATCACAAAGCTCCACCACAAGAACAGCAGTCGGATGTTAAAGACCAGCTTTTTCAAATAATTAGTTGCGGCTGCAGCCAATAAAATAATTAAGTACACTGCCAATTTAAGTTAAATTAATTTACAACTGACACACCCATGGATGTCACTAGTGTTGAAAACCATGGCTAGAAAATAATTTTTTGATTCACAACCCATAAGATAAAGTGATTAAAATTTGTTTTAAATAAAATGACGGTCAAAAGAAATGTCACTCATTGTCTAAAACACAACCTCATTTTAATTTCACAATGTTGACAGTTTTATTATATAAAACTGTTTTCAAAAATAAAGAATATTTTGTTAAATGCTGGGCTGTACACAGTAAATCAAACATCTAAAACCAAAAACTCTCACCAGGCTAAATATTTGTGGATGGGAAGATTAAAAAATGACATTTTAGCCAATGATTTTGTAACAGTTCACTTGGTTAAAATATTTTAAACCACATAACATTGCTGAGAAATTTTATAAAAACAAACTCAAAACCCATAAAAGATAGCACAAGTTTTCTTGGATGATAAATTAACAGAAAGAAAAAAGCCCACTAGAGTAAGTTGCAATTAATGCTGTGTAACATGACTGAGTAGGCTGCTAAATGGCAAGTTATATCTAAAGTAAAATTAAAGTACAAGTTTAAGTATTGCATACAGCCTGATTACCACATTTAAAAAATAAAAAATTGATTATATAATTTAAATGACCAAAACTATTTGTGAGGAAAAATAAAGAGTGCACTACATGTTTGGCAAGTTAACAGTGTACTCATTAAATGCTATAAACACTTTGTACTCTTATGTCAGCGCAAAACATTTTTTCTAAGGAGTTTTTTTTTTTACATTTTTTTGAGAATTAAAAAAAAATCTAGTGCTAGAGAACAGTTTAAAGTCCAGGAAAAAGATATACGTTAATGAAAGAAGCAGGAAAATGTGGTGAAAACAACTATTTCTTTCATTGCTGAAAAGCAGGTGAATTTTTTTTTTAGTTGTTGAAATATATATAGGTTTATTAATCAAGAAGAAACTCCTTAATACATTCCTTCCTAAAAGCATCTGTGTGTGTTGAACTGATTATTCAATTCCTTTTTCTATAAAGCAAGAATAAAACTCTGTCAAGAATGACTTAAGTTGTAAAAAAAGCATTTGGTCACAAAGAAATAATATACAAAATACAAAAAAACAATAGATTATGTCTGGTTAGTTAAGACAGGTCAATCTGTCCACTCTATGAAATCAAAAGGAAAGGGATTTCAACAATCTTTACATATTTTGATTCACTCATTTCAAGATGGAAGGCAGTAGGAGACAAAACTATCACAGAAAATACACAGTGAAATAAAGTCATGCATAGTTTGATCATTTGTCTGTCACAAGCGATGAACTCACTGCTTATAAAGTCTATCATCTTTCTAGAACATGGAGACCACCATCTGTTTCAACTCACAATGTTTGAGGAAAAAAAGTCTTTGTGTCAGTCACTAAATGTTCACTACATCATCTCTTGATGTCCTCCCTCCCTGCTTGCACCACACTGGAATTATTTACACACTATGATACTCTTCTATGAAGTAAGTTGGCTTTGTCTAACCATTCACAGGGCCAGGCCAAAATGTCCTAGCTCTGGTACATTCACTGTTTTAAAAATCCATAAGCTTGCAACAAATGCAGCTTATAAGGTCAGTTGGTCACAATGATGAACAGGGAATACAAAAATTTGGTCACAAAGGTGAAAAAAAAACAAAAAATATCTTTAAATATCTGCAACTGATTTAGGAATTTCAAGAATTTATATATGCTTGAAAAATAGCAAGATAATTACAAAAATCTACCGCATGAAAGTTTTAGTAACTCCACTTTTGACAAAAGTTGGCAAAAAATGCATAGGATAATTGTATACTTTATGTATTTTACATTCTATATGTACAGCATCAATATGTGTACATTCTGGGTACAAGATGCTCTTGTGTACATTATATATACACAACATGGTCATTTTACAACTGAAAGTTTAATTTAGCTAAATTCAAATACTAGGTACAGTCTATTCCACTTGATCAGGGCACACTGACAGATTAGTTTGGCCCCAATAAGGCAGTTGGCACTAATATGCATAGAAAAAAAAATGCAATGTCTGGATTTGTTCCTAACAAAGTTGACCCAAATAGACGGCTGCCCCAATTAACAGGTGTCCCAATTAAGTGGAATCAATATGCACCCACCATCTGGTACAGCAAATATTTGCAGTTAAGTATATGTATATATAAACAGAAGGAAATATTGAATAAATAACTTGGGACAACAGATACTTGACTCTAATAGGCACTAGATCTTCAACAAATCAACACATAAGCTTAGCATGGAGGCCACTACTGCAGCTCTAGAAAACTATTTCAATAAAATCAATGAGGGTATGAAGAAAGTCCAATGTTGATATCTGTAGTGTTGACACTATAGGAGCTCTTCAGTAGTGGAAGATTTAGGTTGGCCCCTATAGGAGCTCTTCAGTAGTTGAAAATTCTGGTTGACCCACTAAAAGAACTCTTCAGTAGTTGTTGAACCTCAGATGCTGTTGAGATGGTGGTGGAAGTGGTGGGTAGTTGTGAAAAAATTCATTGGGGTGCGGAAGGTCTGGGGGAGGGGGTGGGAGTGTCTGCTGTCGTCTGGCCATGTGGGGGGAGCTGTGGCTGATGGGTCCGTTAGCCAGGGGTGGGATGTTGGGGGTGAACATGTTACCTGGTGAGAGACCTCCAGGTGAGGATGGCGGACCATCTGAAACAAAAAGAGAAAATGGAAATATTTCAAAAAAGGTATTTCATATTTTTTTTACTGTTGTTGAAGATTATGTTCAAGGCAAATTACTGAAAGTTCAGGCCGTTGATTTAACCTTGCTCTTTCCATTAATTAAAAAAAAACATTTACAGTATTCTATATTTTCTATATTTTCTAGCCAACCATTAATAAAAAAAAATGGAAAAAAAAGGCTATTTCGCAAACAGGTTAATTTAAGTCAACATTGGTAAATAACTTTATCATCAAATTTTTTTTTATTGACTCAACAACTTTAAAAAAAACCTACCGAAAATTGGAGGAGGCTTGTTTGTTCGTCTCATTAGCAGCCTGACCGTAGGGCCACCATTTTGTATAATATCAATAGCTTCAGTGTGAGTCATGCTGTCAGTATTGAATGAATTAATCTCCAGAATTTGATCCCCGACCTTTAACCTTCCGTCAAGATCTGCTGCTCCGTCCTCTGCTATCCTCAACACAAACAGTGGCATGGCATTGAACTCTCTGCCTCCTCTGATGGAGAAACCAAAGCCACGAGAGCCACGATGTAACTCCACCTGGTAGATTTCCCCACTGTCATCTGACCCCTGAAACACACAAGATATGGCTTCACTTTTTGGACTCACCTCAAGATATTTACATAACTGATTTTAACAATCACCACAAAAGATACAAAATTGATTCAACTAAAGATGTTTGTAATACTATTGTAAAAATCACAAGATACTTAGAACAATAATGCAACGATACCAACAAAATTATAGACACATGATGCTCTTGTTACAACAAATTTCTCAATTAAATTTAAGTAAATAAAAAAAATGGGACGGCATGGCCTAGCGGTGAAGCTAACCCGATAGTTTCGAGTTCGAACCCGGGTTCAAGTTAGTGGAACATCCCTGAGTCCACCCAACTCAAGTTAGGGAAAGTAAAGGCAGCTGGGCATAGTGCTGACACATAATCCCTTTATATGCTAAGGTCAAGAAACATATGAACTCCACTTCATCTGCCCGACTGATTGTTAGGTCTGAAGAGGGATCTTTATTTTTTTAAAATAAGAAATAAGTTACCTGATTACTGGGAGTTCTGGGCCTGTCTCTTCCCATACCTGGCTGGTTCCTGCAGACAGCACAACAAATTTTAACCATGTATCCACCAGACTAATGCTAGTTAAGTAATCATTTTATTTATCATAAAGTTACATTCATTTAGTGAAAACTACCACCAATATAAATGTTTAGTTGAGAAATAGAAGCTTGCTATATTTATTATTAAATAGGATTCGTACTGCTTTGGTGGAAAAAGAGATTACCAAATTTCATTTTTTTTAATTGAATCTCAAGTTGAGTTGTTTTTTTTTTTAATTTGCTCTATTAACTCAGTGAATTCCTATCATGGCCGATGTTTTACATGTGATAGTTCAGAAACGGGCCCATAGATAATAAACTGCACTTTACCTCTCCCAAGATTGAATGTTCATGTCAGGTCTGTCAACTGAGTATAAGGGAGGGGGATTTCCTGAGGAGCCAGCTGAACTCTGCTGATTGTAATTAACATTATAGTTAAAGAACAAAATGTTTCAACAAACAATTCAAAATGTCGCAACATTCATCTAATGAACTATAAAGACAATAGCTTCTAAGTATATTATAAGAAATTAAATTTAAGGTTTAAAAAATTCAAAGATTTTTTAAAATTAAAAATTTGAATAGAAAAAAAACATACAACTAACATTTTTTTTAAAATAATATATTAAAAAAAAAATTTCTTAAAAATCTGAACTGTTTTGTTTAAAGGTAAATCAAATGTGAAGAACAAGGAGCATACCCTGTAGGATGTAGTACTTGAGTTGTCATCTGTAAAACAAAAGTTCATAAAGATTGACATTTAGATTTTTAAATACACACACTCTCAAAGTAAATAGATTTTTACAGTTCTTAAGGGGCAGGATAAAATGGAAGTTTATGGTTGAGGCAATATGCTCCATAAGGAGTAAAAAAGAATGAAGTCTAAGTCGTTACATTGTAATACTAGTTAACCCTTAAGGCGCGCCAAGCCACATAACTTATAACACGCAAGGCCACATGGCGTGCTTTTTAACGGCTAAAGGCAAGTTTTATAACTGTCTTAAGTCCAATAATTCAGCTGGACAACTTACCAGGTGGTGGTCCAATGGTCAAAGCAACAGAAAACCCTGACTCTTTAATAAGACTGACCACATCCTTATGGTGCATGTTTGAAGTGTCCACCCCATTGACCGCCAGGATCCTGTCCCCAATGTGAAGTCTGCCACACCTGGCTGCAGGGCTGTTCTCCTGGATGTGACCTGCAAGAGGGAGGGGTCAAACGCTGGTCAGTACATGGACAAACTGGGCAATCTACTGGTACACTGGAGGAGAGACTCAAGGTCAAATCAATCATTAAAATTAGCTGTGTTTATGAATGGAGGTCCAGTGAATACCTACTGCCATGATATTTCCTTATTTCAGTTCTACCATCATTTTAAAAACATTTAAACAAGGCAAGCATGCTAGTGATGTGTGCAGATATATAATTAGAATACTACAGATATCAAACAGCCCAATAGCATGTTACATCCCACCACATCAACATTTTGACTGTACAAACTGGCAAGCTTATAGCAAGTTGCCAATATAGGATGACACAACATCCTGAACAATAACTATTTTTTTTATTCCTACTTTTTTAGTAGCTGATAAAATTGGAAGTAAATAAAAATCTTTTATTAAATTAACGGTTTAAAAAATGGTCTAACAGTGAAAACTGGAAACTATTAACCCTTTACAGTCCAACAAAACAATATCCTCAAACTAGTTACAACAATTTAGGCATTTCATCACTACGATCAGACTGTAAAAAGTTTTTTTAAAAGTCTTCCAATATGAAAACACAAAGCTGATTAGACACTGCACTACACAAGAGTTTAGGCTGGAGCTAACACAGCTCAACACACGTCTAAGTACACAGTAAAGTGTGGTCTACAGAAGATTCCGCTGACACACAACACATCTAGGACATGCAAAAAAAAAGTAAGCAACAACAGTCAACACACAATTATTGTCTGCGTCACGATTTTATCAGAACAAACTGGTCTAACTTACTAGCTCATCTGGTCTAGTATGCATGTCCATCTGTCTGATTTTATATCATGAGGTCAAGTTTGTATGCAGTCTAATTCATTTGATCACTACACATATTCTGTTCTAGGTATTTACAACAATGCAACACACTCTAGGCTAAGTGGTTTATTTTTCCTAACCAACCAAACTTTAATGAAAAGTAAGAATTGAATGGCTGTTTTATTTTTTAACAAATTCATACAGATTGGATGGCAAATTTTTTTTAAACCCGCAGGGAAACTAAGAAAACAATGTTTATATTGTTTATGTTAGAGCAACAACACAGGACAAGTGTCAGCTATAGAGGCTATAGGAGACAACAACAGTGCTTGTCATTTCATCTGTCAACATTGCCTGACATGTAAATATCACAGCTGGCATGAAAGCTGAATATATTTAGCACTGCAGTTGCTTGAGAGGGGAACCGATAATAACATAGGCTGAATACTTTTTTATACCATTAATCATTAATGTATATTTTTTATGTAAATACCTACAAATTTTTGTATTTAAAAAAAAAAAAGAAAGGTTATTTTAAAATTTTCAAAATGTTAAGAAAACACTGAAAAAATGGCTACAACTTGGTGTAACTTTAAAAGTTAAAAAGCAACACATTTATAATAAAAATTTAAAAAAAAAAACAGAAAATTATTATGAAATGAATTGAAATTCAGATTTAGAAAATGTGGGAAAAAAAAGCTATGCAAATAAATTATGCTTAAAACAGGAGAGAAGAAAACTAGGCAGCAAGGCAGAAATTATATGATGTGCAGTCTGCTATAATTCTCCGGAACCAAAGCAAATAAAAATTTGTGACTAGTTCATGTCTTTCTGCTGTTGTCAAAGAACAGTAGTTTTTTTTCTTTAAAATAGATGGACATGTTTTTATGAACATCCAATTAATCTCACTTTTTTGTTGATGAGCACATATAACTGTCTGAGTGATGCAAATAATTTTTTACAACCTACAAAATACGGAAAGTTAATTTTTAGGGGTTTACACAAGTTAGGGGTTTCCTTTTGATGGGGGAAGACAGAAAGACAAATTCAGTGTTACTGTCACAATAATTTTATGGATAGAAAAGTATTATTTTGGTGAGTGTGACAATAATGAAACAATAACCCCACAGTTGCAAAATGGCTCACCGATCCAGGGGCAGACAACTGCCTGGGCCGAATGAATATCACTGCCATCTGAAAGTGGTGTTTTATCAAGTACATCATGAATAAAATCAGGGGAAACACAGCCAACACAGTAATGACACAAATTACATTTTTCGTACCATTCAATAGCCCTTCATTGCCTTCATAAATGTATAGCTTTAATTTTTAGTGTCATAAGAATATAAGTAATGTATTACTGAGAAAAATGATTCTTTTAAATTACAAAAAAAACCACACAAATCCAACCAACAAAGACATTCAAATAATCAAAATCAAATAGTGTGTGCAGTTATCCACAACAATGTAGGTAACAGTTTGCCTTGATGAATGTTTACAGATTCCTGCTCATGAACACTCTAAACAAGTTACAACAGACGTGGTGCAAAAAATGGCTGGTTGAACCAAAGCTGGATGATAGAAGAGACAAATCTAAGTATGATGGCATGCCATGTTGATGTAGAAGTGTACAATGACCAGCCTGGGGTGGCTGGGGTCAGGACCTACCAATAAACTCATCCACACTGGCTCCCTTGTTGACTGATGAAATTATGACAAATCCAAAGCCTTCATTCTCTCGGCGGGACACGACAACATCATAAGGGTACTGGGGGCCATTGCCTAGATCTGAGGGTAAACAAAATGTGACTGGTTAGATTTTATGTGTGTTTGTGTGTGTGAGGTGTGTGTGTGGGGGGGATGTAACTGTACACATAAACATATTCATAAACACATATAAACACATATGAACACATACAATTGTAGGCTTATTTGTATATAATTATATACAAGTATGGGGTCACCGCGGTCTGGTTGATAAAGCTCATAGTTGCTTAACCAAAAGGTCCTTAGTTTAAACCCTGGAAAGATGTTGCTTGATAGCTGGGGAAAGCAACTCATCTATAGGAGAATTTACTAAGTGTAGCTATGGTTGATCTAAAGCCATAATTACCTGGTCCTAATACCCTTCTAATAGACAATGTTACTCTGCCATTGAGGGCAGCGTTGGTCATGAGCTGAACGACTCTATGGTGAGAGGCGTTGAGGACACTGTTCCCATCTACATGAGTGATCTCATCAAACTGCCTGAGCCTGCCGTCAACATCAGCAGCTCCCCCCGGGACAATGTGGCCCACAGATACCTGCAAGTACAACAACCACTCTCTTTATTTCACTAGCACAGCATGCGAATGCTCAATTCTAACAAGTCTAGATTACCAACTGTAAGCCTGCATTAAGCAAGAACCTAAATATATATTTGAACAATAAACGGCATTGTACATTTATCAGATATTCAGCTATAAATCTGAATGGGATAAAAAAAAAAAAAAAAGAAGAAGAAAAAAAGAATGGCTAACATTGATAATTTAATCCAGTAATGTTAAATTAATTTAAATATAAAAAAACTCTATATATTATTCATTGGCACCACAGACAACTAAAAAAACCACATAGAGGAAAGTGAATAGCTATGAGTATTCAAAACATGATGTTGAACATTGCGCTATACAGAAGCTCAAAGCCATCAACTTATTTCCCTTGAGACAATTAGTATTGTTTTTATTTAGGCTGCACTTCTATCTAAAGTGAGTTTCATCAGGTAGCTAATTGATTCAAATTGAGGGTTTTCACATTAAACAATACACCTGCTTGGCACCCTGTGATCTAACTTTCAGGTAACTTAAAGACAGTGTAGTAGAAATTAAGCAAGACCAAGGTTAAAGCAGTACTAAAACAGTTGTAGGGGAAAAAATGTAATACTGAAGCTGAAGCAAACTTTTTTTATAAGAGAACTTTTTCTATATTTGCCTCCCTTTGATTACTTAGTTCAAAAAAACTTGTGATAACTTTTTTTGTCTTTCATTTAACCAGAACACATAAAAACTAATTACAGGCATCTTGCTGTCCTCATTGCTTTTATTATCACCCTAAAATACCTGCTTTACCCCTTTTATTTTTCTACCTTTAAAAAAAAAGACCTGAAATTGTTCTCACATATTTAAGCCAAAGTGTTGAAATATAGCAAGTAAAAAACTTTTTAAAAGCCCAATGATGCTGCCAGAGATTGAAAGGTTGCCAAAAACATTTTTTTTTGTTTGCTTTAAACAAGGAGACCAGACTACACAGTTGAGCTGGGAGAAGTTTTGTTGTGTACCACCAGCAATTAAATAGTTACTAAAACAGGTTACTGTACGCCTTCCATTAAAGGAATTTCAAACTAAATTCAATGCCTAAATATTTTAAAAACTAACTTTTAAAGAGAGAGTTGGAAATGTCTTTTTAAGTTGCAATTTTTGTATTAAAAAGTTCCAGTTCTGAACTGAAAGTCCTTTAAAATGGTGAAGTAGAGTTCATCTAGTTCTTTGACCTCAAGATTGTGTGATGGTCAGTACAGTTCCCAATCAATATATTTATATTAATACATAACTCAACATAAATAACTTGTACTATATTTAATTAGAGAATAACTTCAGTTCTTCTTTGTTATTTTCATTAAATGAAAAAACTTAAATTTGAGGTTAAAAACAAAGCTAATTTAAAGTTTCTGACTTTTAATAGTCATTATAATTCTATTAACAAGCTTTTAATAAATTCCTATTTATTTCATTTAACGATATATTTATTGAAGTAACAGAAATCATGTTAGAAATTTCTAACAAAATAAGTCACCAGTAAATAAACACAAACTTTAATAATCCTCTCGATTTTTTTTGTTCAAAATATACACAAGTATGAAATAAATACTCGATAATTTGGAATTTAATTTTTCCACAATAATTTCTGGAATTTGTACAGGGAAAGGGTGTGTAAATATTCTGATAATCAAACAATTAAAAAAACAACAAGCTGGTACAGACAAAGAGAGATAAAGCAATTATGTGAACATTCCTCTCCCCTGCAGCATGAATTGGTCTCAGCAGGTGACACCTACCTACAGCCTGAGGGAGCTGGCAATTTGGTTGGCCACCAGAGTAAACAGCAGGTAGCAACACAACTCCCAGGGGGAAGTTTTATAACAAACTTGGAAAACTAATGCCAAAAACACAGGGGGTTTTCACGTGCTTCCATTCTAGTGAAATTCTGCAACCTTTGGTGAACCATCTCTACAATAACTAAAAGCTTATGCTAGTTTAAGAATTTTTAAGAAATTAGTCTATGAAGGGAAAAAAAACTTGGCAAACTTTTTAATTGTAGTATCTGGCAAAAACAACTACAAGCAAAACAGAGAGGAAAATGGAAATCACTTCAATAAAAACAAACGGAATCACTGTGTATAAAGACAAAAAAAAAACATCACATTACAACATCGCTTAAAATGGACTATGAAAGCACAACTTATAAATTTTTCTCTACTTGAATGAATGAACCAAACATAAGGGTGAATAAAATAAAACTTATCACTTCCATAAATACAGTTTAATCTGGGTGGAAATGTTGGCAAAACTGTCCCGTTTTCTCCTTATCTTTGCAACCATTACATTATCATTTTCTGCCATTTTAAAAGCCATGCAGTGTAGAATGTTGTACACTATCTAAGCTGAAAGTGGAAAGGTAAAAAAACCACACAGACAACAGGTGCAAGCTCTGTGTGTTGAAGCCAGAGAGAACTAGACATGCTCAATTGTGGAGGGCAAACATGTACGATAAATAACACAACTGCTAGTGGAATATAAACCAAATAAATAACACAACAGCTAGTGGAATATAAACCAAATAAATAACACAACTGCTAGTGGAATATAAACCAAATAAATAACACAACAGCTAGTGGAATATAAACCAAATAAATAACCCAACAGCTAGTGGAATATAAACCAAATAAATAACACAACAGCTAGTGGAATATAAACAAAAACTTCCACAATCACTATTTTAATCAAACCTAGTGTAATTAACCCTTCTATTGATCCTGGTCTAAACAAATCAAGTGTAATTAACCCATCTATTGATTCTGGTTTAAACAAAGCAAGCATAATCAACTCTTGTAATGCAGGTCTAAACTAATCTAATGAACCCATCTACTGCTGGTCTAAACAAATCATATTATGAACCCATCTATTGCTGATCTAAACAAATCATATTATGAAACCATCTACTGCTGGTCTAACTATATTAAACACAACACTAATTTACTGTGTGTTGTCTACACAACTTCATTAACAATGGTGCAAATACAAACAGAAGTACACACCACAAGTCTATCTAAGCATGGCATATTCAAAGATAAAAATTAACTGAAAATCCAAAAGGAAACAACAAACACATAATGCTATTACAGATAGAAAATCTGTGAAAGTTAGTGCTTCCCAACAAAACATTTACTATCAGATTAGTCCAGTATTTCCTTGTTTATAGAAACAAACTTGACTTACCTGAGAACCCTCTTCAGTCCCACCAATGATACGAAATCCATAGCCGCTTTCTTGTCTATGTAAAGTGACAGCCATCTCAATGACCTGCCCTTCTTCAGGTATACCCCCACCCTGTGATCTGGCTTGGAATGCTGGGTGGGGGGGTGGCTTTCTTGGCACCCTGGTAATGCTGCTGGGCGCTGGGTTCTCACTTTCAAAAGAGGTACTTTGTCGCATGGGCCTCCCTGGTCCTATGGAGCTTTGAAATGGGGAGGGCCTTGCAAATTCACCCGCATAGCTTCTGTTGAGGGAAGAGTTTTCAAAAGCTTCAAAGCGCCGCTGTGTAGGGGGGGAGGAAAAATCTGGCCAGTTGCGAGCGTATTCTTGGTAGGGTGATCTGTACTGGCGACCTAGCTCTGAGGATGGGTTGGGTGTGTAGCGCCCACTAGTTCTAAAATCCCCCGCTCCGTACGAGTGGCTGGACATGGGAGGTTTGTTGCGCATGTCTGCTGCTGTGGGAGTTTTTGGCCGATGTACTTCAGGCCGGCTCGTGTAGTCTGGCCCTGGGCCACCTCTAGCCATCATTTCTGGGCCGGGTGTTCTGCTTCGGAACTGGCCAGGCTTGACATCTCGACCAGCCCATTTGTCATCCCCATTGGTGTTGTTCTGCATGGATGGGGCGACTGAAGATCCATACGATCTAAGGAATGGATCCCGGGGATCAGTTCCTCTGACCCTTGAGTCATAACGAGGGAAAAACTCTGGCCTGTTTGGTGCAGGTGGAGGCCTGCCAATGTTACTCCCATCCACATCAGCACGGGAATGGTTGCTAAATTTGTTGATGTCCTGATAGTCTCTTCTCCCCTGCTGCATGTCCATGTAGCCTGGCCGCGGGCTGCCCAGACCGCTGTTAACTGTGGGAGTTTTAGAACGACCACCATCTAGTGGGGTCTTGGGCCTCTGTGGTCTGTTGGCATCTTGGGGGGAATTTTTGTTCTGTGATCTGCCGCCATCAACATCGTCTGGGTCTGTAATAAGATATAATTTTATAAACTCATTATCTTAAAGGCTAAATCTAATTTAATTAACGATAGTTTAATTTTGATAACTTTCTTTACCATAACTCACATCAGCAAGAACTAACAACAACCAAAGAGCTCATAACTGTAATCCTAATCTTTATATATTTCCTGAACACAACATTAAAGTTAACATAAACAAAAGTAAAGTGATAAGTTTGTGATGGCTCTCAGGTGGGATAGATAAGAAATGGGGCTCAGTAAACCTAACATATAGAATGTAGTTATTTTGGTATTTGTGACTGAACATAGTGTGTGGGTCACAATGTAACTCCACACTTTTATTGTACACAGTAAAAGGCTTATAATCAGCCTAATAAAACACAACACAACTGTAAAGGTTAGTGGATTATCGCTGATAATGCAAGACATTTACATATCAACCCCAGCTGTAAATACATGCACGTTGGGTCAAACACATGCCCATTACTTATACCATCAGATTACTGTATAAGTCAAATGGTACTAGAGACCACACATGGTAGCATGACCTACAATGTATGTCAGAGACTGCGAACTAAATCTTTCACCGCGTCAGATCATGTACGCCAGTTTTAACACCTAGTTTTAACACTTCTGCAGCGCCGTAAAAAAAAAAGTCTATGGCCGTAAAAAAAAAAGTCTATTTGCGCTACCCCAACGTTTGACACAGCGATCAGAAAATTGAGATGAGTCCCGGCATCTGTCTCTACTGACTAATAAATCACAACAAGCTAGCAGCAGTAGCAGCGTTTAAAAAAGTCTTTGGCACGAGATGAACTTGGACTAGATGACGACACTTCGAGCCGAGAGTAGAAACAAGATTATCCTGCACTACCATTTTTTCCCCACAGGTATGTTAGCTACAGGTCTCGTCTGGAGCCAATAGTGGTAGTGTTGGTCATGTTTGGTACGCGGGTCTGATCATTCATCCCTCTATAATACTCCAGTCTTTTCGTGTATCTACTACAGTTCCTGGAATGTTAAACAGCGGCACGCGGCAATCATCGACCAACACAACATTTACGGCAATCATTGACCAACACAACATTCACGGCAATCATCGACCAACACAACATTCACGGCATTCATCGACCAACCCAACATTCACGGCAATCATTGATCAACACAACATTCACGGCAATCATCGACCAACACAACATTCACGGCAATCATCGACCAACACAACATTCACGGCAATCATCGACCAACACAACATTCACGGCAATCATCGACCAACACAACATTTACGGCAATCATCGACCAACACAACATTCACGGCAATCATCGACCAACACACCATTCACGGCAATCATCGACCAACACAACATTCACGGCAATCATCGACCAACACAACATTCACGGCAATCATCGACCAACACAACATTCACGGCAATCATCGACCAACTTTCATAGCATATCACATGAATATCACTATTTTAAACAACTGATCTAACTTTAACAAAGGTTAAGTTTACATAATAATCACCCGGTTAAAATCTCGTAGGTACTAACCTAGGTCTAGACTAGACTGCTCTAAATGACCCGTAGAGATTAGTTAAACTAGCACCAACACGACTAACACGGCAATAACATAGAGTTCTATACCATAGCTTCGCTCTAGCGCTTTAGCCACCTGTATACACGAAAAGTTAAACTAGCACCAACACGATTAACACGGCAATAACAACATGTTAGATCTCTATACCATAACAACCATCTACCAACACGACTAACACACACTACAGTATCAACAACTTAGATCTCTATACCATAACAACCATCTACCAACAAGACTAACACACACTACAGTATTAACAACTTAGATCTCTACACCATAACAACCATCTATCAACACGACTAACACACACTACAGTATAAACAACTTAGATCTCTATACCATAACAACCATCTACCAACAAGACTAACACACACTACAGTATTAACAACTTAGATCTCTATACCATAACAACCATCTACCAACATGACTAAAACACTATATAGTATCAACAACTTAGATCTCTATACCATAACATCCCTCTAGCGCCTTGGCCACCTGAATACACCACATTCTTGAAACAACACAATCCGGTCTCCAGACTCCATAGAACGGTCAAGCTTCAGCAGACCCGAAACGTGCCCGTACTGTCCATGTGGCCGCGGGTTAACGGTCCGGGTTGACGGAAGGTTAGATCACCATGTTTCCCGTGCGCGTACCACGAGCAAGAACCCGTACACAAGAAGGCAGGGTACACACGTGAGAACACTCACTATCTTTGTTGGCTCTACCTGAGATGGTCAGGGAGAAGCTGTTCGATGGGGGGGAGGGGGTGGGGGAGAGGGGGGGGGGGTAGTGCTTAAAACGGATCTATTGACTGGTTCGGTACAAGGAGGTTTGTATTTGTCTGCTGGGAGAGGGTACGAGTGCGTCCATTATTAGAAGCACAACATTTGTTTTTAGTAAAAAGCATAATGTAAACAAGTTCAACCCCACAGGCACGATGCGCATTGCAACTACGTGAGTAAGAGTGCTGCGACAGGTAGGACTGGAACACACCATCAGGAAAAAATTTACCTTCATTACCACCAACATTGGGCCGTTATAGAAAAAAGGCAGCTTTTTTTTCTTACGTGGAAGCGACTTTAAAACAGTGTTCGTTAAAAACTAAAACAGCAAAAACGACTAGCAAGTCATTTACTTTTAAAAAAAAATTATATCAGTGCGCTAGAAGTTTCAAAGTTAAACTGATGTAAACATTTTTTTTGTAAATACTGATTATGTAAATAATTATCAAGTTGTGTAAGTGTGTAGAATATGAGAACTATCAGTTATAAAAAGTGTTGAACGTAAGCCTACTTGTTATGTACGTGGGTGTTCTTTAATGTCTTTTCGTAAGTGGACGCTTTCTTAGAACCTATCAGATTTTACTTAAATACGCCATCACGCGACATAAGACCGTGAGAAATACCTCTGTTTTAATTGAGTACACCATCATGTGATATAAGACCACGAGAAATACCTCTGTTTTAATTGAGTACACCATCATGTGATATAAGACCACGAGAAATACCTCTGTTTTAATTGATTACACCATCATGTGATACAAGACCACGAGAAATACCTCTGTTTTAATTGAGTACACCGTCACGTGATTTAAGACCACGAGAAATACCTCTGTTTTAATTGAGTACAACATCACGTGATATAAGACCACGAGAAATACCTCTCATGCTGATCATTTATAGCAGGTAAAACATCCACTTAATGTTTGCTGGTATCAGCAGTGAGCGTAGATTTATCACCCAGAAACTTGATGTATTCATCAATGCCAGAGTTTCTCAATGAACATCGGCCACCTGGCCTTACACATTAACTTAATAGTCCATTCCGTTGATGGTGCTGTTATTTTTTCCCGAAAATTTTCTGCCAACTTTCATTCAATATACCAGTACTTAAACGAGTCTAGTTAGTACTAGGTAAACAAAGTTGAGACGGGGATCACTGAAAGCGGATTTACACACCAGACCACAGCGGTGCTTGGGTCTCTGAACTATTTTATGGCGCAATAGTAGCAGTCACCTGGTACAACAAGAAACCAACGGCCCGTCCTATCCACGGCAAGCACGCGGCAGGGGAGAGTAATCTCACAGCGCAAAGTTTACAGCGTCGTCGAGCTGGCTACGTCATCCACCTATCCTACCGTTACACTTGTCTAAATAAATGAAACCGATCATCCGGCTGTGTCAAGTTTTGACATGTCAAGATAAGAGTCAAGATTAATCTGTTCACTCACTGAGACTTGCCGCTATTTTTAGACACATTTTTACATGCCTTGTAATTGTTTTACTAAGTGTTTTAGACAGAATATTACAAGCAATTGAAACAACGTGTGACGGGGTATTTCAAGTTCAGCGCTTGCCAATAGATGAATAGGTGGGATATGAACCATCATATTCTAGCACCAGCAGAAAACAGACTCTTAAGCTTCTGGCAACTGTAGCCAATACACCGTCAGCTGCTCAGAACCAGTAGCACAAGGAAACATTTAGATGCTGACCAACAACAGTGGGTGTTAATTTATAGCAACAGTTTTTCATAATAACAGATTACTTCAGAACTCAACAGAGGCTCTAACGCCAATGTTACTGAAGCTAATATTACTGAAGTCAATATTACTGAAGCCAATGTAACTGAAGCCAAAGTTACTGAAGCCAGCCAAAGTTACTGAAGCCAGCCAAAGTTACTGAAGCTAATGTTACTGAAACCAATGTTACTGAAGCCAATAGAGGCCCTAATGCCAATATTACAGAAGTCAATATTTCTGAAGCCCTGTCCAGCGCCAATACCACTGAAGCCTTCCGGCTAGAGCAACCTGTAGTCCAAAAGTTCTCCGATTGCTTACGATTTTTAGATTTACAGCTTTTCATTATTGCAAATGTGAAAAAGACGTAATTCAAAAATTAAAAAAACATCACAGTATTACCTGGGTTAAAATCCCATAAATAGACAAATATCAGATGCATGCCGACAACTGACGCAGTTAAAGTGAACCCCTAAGCTGTAACAACATGAGTAAAACGCTGGGCGGGGATGCTCATACGTTATATGATCATGATGAATAAGGGGAGAGAATTAATTCCCGGCCATTACAATAGACATGCGGGCGCGTCGCCTCCCTCTGCGAAATGAGACTGATGTAATGCTTTTTATTTGCTCCCTGCCCGGGGTAACTACAATTCCCAGAGTCAATATGCAGCCTCCATTCCTCGCGTTACAGCTGCATTGTGGGAAGGGGGGGGGGGCGTATTTATATTTGGGGGTTTTCCTAGAAATTTCTAAATAGTGATTATTTATTGCAGGCAAAAAGTGTAAATACAGTTAGAGTAAAGTTATGTGCTCTCACTTTGAAAATTTTTTTTAAAAAAAAGCACAACTACTTGAGCCGGCATTGAATATGAAGGCCTGAAGGGAAGGTTTTTTGTTTTTTTTTTGGGTTTTTTTTTTTTTGGGGGGGGGGGGGGAAGGGGCGGAGTAACAGCAGAAGGGCTGGTCACGTACAGTGCTGATGTTATGAATCTATTTTATTTTTATCAATAAAATTTGGTTTATCCGTGAGGTAACATCTAAAACTGTTTCATTTATGCTAGGCATAATTTTAATTAGAAAACATGTTCATTTACCAGAAGTAATTAACCATTAACAAAATAATTAGGAAAAAACCTAGATCAAACTTGCTATTTTTTTTAAAAAGCAAGCACCCAACAGCAAAAGTAATGTTGGCCCACCTTTATGAAGGCCCAGCCTGTAGGATAATTTTTAGACCAGCTATGTCCAAGTCCCCGACCAATCCCCACAAAGCTCATCAGAGAATATCATTATGCCAGACCCCACTTCATTTCACACAGTAATCAGTGCCTAATGGCGCGAATCTCTCTTGTGTAAATACTCAAATATTACACGTCTCCCTTTCGCTGCTCCTCCGGTAAATGATTGCTTAATGGCAGTCCATTTAGATGGATTGATTTTTGGATGTGCAAATCCTATTTTTGTTAGGATGGACTTGCTGCTTTTAACTGATGAGTTACATACATGTGGGGGGAGGGGGGGGGGGGAGAGAGAGAAGAGACAACACCACAAAAGTACTCTAGTGTGTGTGTCTGTGTGTGTAATTTATACACATGCATGTAGTATGCATGTGTATGTGGTGATGTTACTGTATATGTATAGGTCTAAAATATAGTTATGTATGTTGTGTTTAGATGGGATTTTTTTTTTTTATTTATTTGTGTTACTATATTGATGTATGTGTATGTATGTTTAATAGGGAATGTTTATGTATAAATTGATAATTTTAAACTCAGGAACTGTATGATTAGGTAAAAATAGTGTACAGCAAGTTTATATGTACACCTGTATGTTTTTATTCAGACATATACTATAATTCTCTATGGTAATAAAGGGAAAAGTAATTTATCTTGTATAAATATAATCAGCCACAGTGGTCAGTTCAACACTGGTAGAGAGGAGGAAAGCAGGTAATAAAGAGTTCAGGTATTTGGTACTGTGGGTACAGGGGATGCTGAGAATGGGAAGGTGTAAGGGCAGGTATATTTTACAGTTGGGCAAGTATATTTTACAGTTGGGCATGTATATGTTACAGTTGGTTAGAGTTTTATGTAGGTAGGTGGGTCTTAGTGTTTGTTCTTCTGTTATTATTGTACATGGTTCCCCTAACTGGTGATTAATTAATTATAGGAGCTGTTAACTAGGTCTTAATTAAAAATTTGCCTTGGTGTAATGACAGCTTGAATGTAATTAACACCAAGTTTAAACAAATATAATAGTGAAAGCAGCAAGCAGAGGGAAGCATAGCTTAACATGAAGCATACTTGTTTGTTTGTGTATGTTAATTGATCAAACCTGATATGTGATGTTATGTTCCCTGTGGACATACATAGTTTAATGTAGCTAATGCATGAAGGCTTAAAGACTAGCAGGCTACAGCTGTGAAATATAACTGGTGCTCAGGCCAACACTATCACACACGTTTAGTTACAAAATACAGCATCATGCATGTTTTTAAATTAAGTATCAGGAACTAGATTTTTAATTTTTTATACCTACATTGTTAGTATTTTCCCAATACCAAATAAAAAAAATTTAAAATTAATATCCATCTGGGTTAATGTAGCCATGTTAAGTTTGTGAACAAAAATCACCAGAGTTTATTCCCTTTATAAAGTTGATACAAAATTGTGGGGGAAATCTTACCCTCATCACCCTCCTCTGGAGATGGGGGTGGCAAATCAGCATTAGACATGTCTCCATTTTGGATTTCTTCATCCTGGTTGTTGGCCAAGCCATTCTCCATTTGCTCTGCAAAGGGGAAGAACCAGAGACCAACCATAGTGATATTTCAAGTCAGATTACTTCCCATGTGAGTGCAGTTTTATACTTGTTATAATAAGTGGTAGTGCAAAATAGAAAAAAAAAGACAGCACAAACCCTAATTTATTTAGAGTCAATAATCTAAACATGCTGTATTCTACTTAAGTATTGTGTGACCAAGCATACATGTGTAGATAAGTAAAGTAAAATAATATTGATTTGATAATTTTATAAACTTTAAATTACATATAATTTTTTAAAAAATGTAAATATAATTCTAAATTACCCAATCTTATTAGGACAAATCATTATTTTAAATCTCAAACACACTCAGAAAAAAACCACCCTGGTTAAAATATTGTAATTTGCTTTAAATTAACATGTAAACAGAGATATATATTTTTTTTATAATCAATCCCCTAACTAAAATTTAAAAATAATTTCTTGAACATTATGTCTGAAATCTTGTTTCAACTAAGCTGAATATTTTTTAAAACAAGCTGGCTAAATTCTTCTTGCTAACCTAGCCTACAAGCTATGTACTCTACTATTTTAATGCATTACTTCTGTGATGCTGCATCTTGTATTCTTCTAATCTATGTGATCAGTTTGCAAGAGTTAATGTATAAAACCAACACAGGAAAATCACTAGCACAAAAATATGACATAAAATAGCACAAAGCAACAAAAAAAAAAATCGCTGTTAAACCATAGCTAAACTTAAACCTTTTAAAATTAAAATTTTTAAGTTTGATTTTCATTACTACTATATACAATTTATTTTTTTATTAATATATTAATTGGATTCTTAAGAGTTTAATTATATTTTTTTTAACAAAATGACAAAATCTAACTTGCTTTTATATTACTTTGTAATATCGACCACAAAGAAGAAATAAAGAATATATGGGTTCCACACCACAAAGTTGCGGTAAAGATGTGACCAAAGCCAAAAAAGCCAAAAATGAAATGTATTTACCATTAAAATTTTGTTCTTGATTTCTAAAGAAGTACGCGCCAGGGGAAGATGGGCCATTGCTGTCTGGTTGTTGCTGTCTCTCATCAAAACTTCGAGACTGAAATCAAAGTCACAATGGTTAACTTATACTGATACATCATCCAAATGATATTTATTTAATAATACATTTTTAATGTAAATTATAAACTTATTGCAGTTTTTTTTTTTTATTTCTAAAATTTTATTTATTTTAAATGTATGTTACTAAGTTACTTCCCTTTAACCAGTTTTCAAAAAATTATGACTATATTATTACATTGAGTCTAAAAACCATCAGTAGTTAAAACAGTTTTTATTTAACAATCACTATTTCATCATAAAACATTCTTAGATACTTCAACCCCTTAACTATAACTAACTTTAATGCTGAAGAATCTGGGTGTAGGCAATGTAGCTAATCAATTAGAACGGTCACTGTGCACCAATGGGCAAGTATTTTTCTGAGTATTTATACTAAAATAATACAAGCAACAGCTGCTGTGTCTTACCATTTTGATAAACTTCTTGCCTTTACCAGGAGGTGGTATACCTGTGTAAAATACAAGGACTTTTTGAAAATTTGGGTAGGATAAAATTCTTTGAAAAATTATATTTTCAAAACACGGTGCAAATACATTTGAAATGATATTGTAATCAACTTGATTTTTTAAAAAGTGCATATACTACACTATTTTTTAAAAGGAAGTAATTAAACTAGAATTTAAAATTTACAATTAATAATTTATAATAACTGAATTTTTAAAAACTAATGCACCATGTTTTGATTATTTACTAGATCAATAGTTCATAATAAAATAATTGTATTTAAAAAACTACCCAATATTTTTTTTTAAAATTAAATGACTTCTTAGTTTGCAAATCAAACACTATTTTAACTTTTTTATCATAGATCTTAAAATAATTTTTCCAATGGTCAATATTAATTTCAAACACTACCTCGTACAGTTGGATATGAAGACATTATTGGCTGCACTAATCTAAAGACGTAGATTGCACTTACCCCCTCTTTGTACCACAACAGCTGTCTCTTGATCCTGCTTACACTCCTTTAAAACCTGCACAGTCCTCTGATGGGGTAACTCCCTGACCATCACATTGTTTATCTGCAGCAGTAAATCTCCCTCGGCTAAATTTTTACACCTGCCTTGGTCAAGAATTTGCTTAACTCTTTGGCCATACGGACTGTCTGCTATTGTAAATCCAAACCCCATGGGTCCTTTCACAATAGGGATAGTCAATATCTCCGGCTTGCTGATGGAGAGTGAAACTAAATCTGGGATGGCATTGCCATCTTCGTTGCTCATGATGCCATGCATGCCCCCCTCATCTTGGCTGTTGGATGGGGAGAGACTGGAGGTGGAGTTGAGGCCTGTGCCTGCGGACCTGGCCAGGTCAGGTAAAGACTTCAACTGCTTGTGCTGGTCCAGGTAACCGTTGGAGTTGGAGGGCGTGGCAGATGTGCCCGCGTCCTGGGGCAGGGTGACGGCCACGGTGGTCACAATTTCTGTGTTTGGGTCATCGGGGTCAAAGTTCAAAGGGTAGCCCCTGCAGGTCTCGAGCTCAACAGTTTCCCCTGGTGCGATAGATTGGAACAGCCGCACCACATCCTGATGTGTAAACCCCAACACACAGGTGTTATTGACTCGAACTATTACATCACCTGGGAAAATATTGTAAAATATTAACATGGATTGTTTAAAAGAGAACATAATACATAATTATAATTGCATAACAATACTAATACATTAAATTATTGAATTTTTGGTAGCAACATTATTTTCTATCTATTTAGGGGGAATAAAAAAAAATTTGAAAGTTAGTGGAAATAAAGACACAAAAAAACATTTGTAAAAAGAAAATCTTATAATTACCAGTTTTAAGTTTCCCACTAACATATGCAGGTCCATTTTCAACAACATTTTTAATCTGAAGAAACTGTGTGTCTCTGTAGTTGCCACCCACTATAGTAAAACCCAGACCCCTCACAGATTTTACTAGTGATGTCTTGGTGAACTCCCCTTTCAGCTCTTCTGGGTTTTTGGTAAAAAACAGGCGACCTGTAAAAAAAAGATAATTGGTGACTTGTTACAACAGGTCTTTAAGTGTTGACATTTTGGGCTAAAAAAGATAATTGAGGTACAGTATTTTATATGGATGACAATAAAAAAGCAGCTAAAATTTGACAATTTTAAAAATAGAAATTCACTTGTCATAAATAGCTGACAAAAGATTGTAGTCTTACAAAAATTCTTGGCTTGTTGCTTTTTTTGTAGAAAAAGCTTGTATATAATATATGCTCACACCCATTTTGCTGTTAACTCTGATTGCTATTGATCAAGTGATTGTCAATAGTCACCCTTTTGACATTACATTCTCTATTCTAGATTAATTACAGATGTTTGATAGACTGGTATTAGATCAAAGAATACATTTGATTTACATAGTAAGAATATTATCTATTACTCATGTTTTTGTAACAATACTAGCACCCTCACCACCTCTACCATTGCTCTAAGAGGAAGTTACAACAATAATTTACATATTTGTCTACAATAAAATGAGTTACATTTGTATTTGTATAAGCCATAAGGCAAGCCTGAAGAGAGCATCTGAAGTCTTCAGATGTCAAGGGCACACATTGTACTGATAAAATCCCAGGTTAGAGAGATAACTGCCTCTACCTGACATGGTAGGGCAAGGTGGATGGTGCCAATGTGGAATTGTGGATTTAGATCAGGGTTAATTAGTGCCCTACACCAACAACTTCTGTGTGTTTTGTTGGTGCATTGATTTGAAGCAGCACCTGTACCCTTGTATTCCAGATCTATTTCTATTTTATTCAGCTGCAATGCACAGAAGCAAAGACAACAGCCAGAGCCTGGAATGTCAGCTTTGAGTGATTGATTAGCCTTCCCAGTTACCTGTCTGTTTCATAGGTCAGGCTCAGGCATGGCTGGAGCCAAAATAACCCAGGCATATTACCTAAGTATTCCTGTTAGATCTCACTCTAATTCCCCCAGCCTGGCTTCTCCACTAAAACAAACTTTTCCATTATAAATTGTAATGAGATTGAGAACAACAACTGCACCATTTGTTAAAAGGGAATGACTTACAAGAAACTTGAGCTAAATAATGAAGCCTTCAGATGATTATATCAAGTGTCTCAAACTACTAGATAAACAATCCAAAGGTTAAAGGTCAGCTGGAGCTAGAGAGGGCTCCCATACTCACTGCTAGCCTGTCTTCTACTTAATGGCTTGCTATTTTAGTGCTAGCCTGGGGTCCCTCATCCAACAGAGGGGAAATCTAAAACAGGTGCTCGTGAGCAAGTGGTAGACTTCTGCCAGCAGGTAAACAATAGCCACATTGTTTACAGAGGTATCCATGACAATAGTAGTTTAACATGTTTACAGAGGTATCCATGACAATAGTAGTTTAACATGTTTACAGCGGTATCCATGACAATAGTAGTTTTACATGTTTACAGAGGTATCCATGACAATAGTAGTTTTACATGTTTACAGAGGTATCCATGACAATAGTAGTTAAAAATGTTTACAGGGGTATCCATGACAATAGTAGTTTAACATGTTTACAGAGGTATCCATGACAATAGTAGTTTAACATGTTCAGGGGTGCCACTCATTTTTAAAGTGAATCCTGAAAATGAATCCCAAAATTTTACCAATCCTGAAACTAAAATTTGAAATTTTTGAAACCCTGAAACTTAATTCCGCGCGGAATTCAAAATAAAATGGACTATTATTTCATTATTTTTTGAGACATTTGATTCATATTATGTTCAATTTACATTCCTTTAAAATGGATTTATTTTCTTTGTAACAAGCTTCAAATAAAAATTAATCTTTAAAGGATTGTGCTTACAACAAAATTAGTTTACAATGTTAGTCCTATATCTAGGCCTACCCCATAATGTGCTATTGTAGAACTCCCCCCCCCCCCCCCAGCCAGCTTTTATAACATAACTATTTAATTTTTTAGAACTTCCTAGCTTGAGTTAAAGTGTGTGTTTAGTCAGCCAACTGTTAAGTAACAAATATTTTGCTAACCTCTATGTCTTGTTATTGAATAATAAGCCCACTATATGCAGACCCCTAATAAGATTGTCACTGTATTAAAATACAGGGTTGACTTACTGTAGCTATTCAAGGCTTTAATTATTAACAGCCAGAACAAAAACCTGAAACCCTGTTTTCCCAATCAACACCAATGGGGTCATCCATAAATGATATTGATGTCACGCTTTTTTGACGATTTTTACCTCCCACCTCCCCTCGGTCACATATCGTCACAAAAAGCCAGACCCCGCCCTCTAAAATGACGTCACACCTCAGCCTACCCCCCCCCCCCCCCCCCCCAAAAAAAAATTGCAGTCGAATTTTTCTTAAAATACGATATTTTTCCAAAAATCTTGTCTGACCTGTCAACATAGAGTATTTTAATCAATTCCTATTACACTTTATTGAAACAATTTTCTAAAATTCGTTTTCTAACATAGCTTTTGGATAATGCAAAAGTGTGATGTCACACCATCTGAACCCCTCCCCCTCATGACATAATTACGGACCCTCCTCCCCCTACGAGTGTGACGTCATTTATGAACGACCCCAATGCCCCCACCTTTGTGTAATACTCATGTCAGAGATGTAGCCGCCCGACTAAGTGAAAAGCTGATTTTTTTTTACAAGCGGTTGGGAGGGGGCAGTGATAGCGGCTATTTTCTCAGACACGGTACTTCAAAGTTTTTTAAACATTTCAATGACGTTTTACCAAAGTAAAAAAAAAACCATTAGATGTAGACCCTGCTAGATTGTATAACTAAACTATAGCAGGCCTACATATTTTGTTTAATGATATAAAACGATGCAGTTCTAGTTTTTTTTCTTTTATCTAGAAGTAGGCCCTTATTTAAAAAAATAACCACGTTAAAATTAAACAGCGCTTGTAAAACTGCCTTGACCGAGAGACACGACTCAGACTGTGCTTGCGTGGTCTCGTGACGTAGGTCTTACGGTCAGCGCGACCTTGAAGAAGCGGGTAAGACATGGTAAAAAGTGACGGTAAAGTTGAGTGAAAACAGCAGTTCTATTTCATACATAAAATAGTTCTTCAAATAGTTTTTTTCTTTTCTTTTGGTAATACCAAATACAAAAATCGGAGCAAAATCTTTCGGTTGTTTTTTTTAAAAAGACGATCGGCGATGCTAGTGAGCTAGATCTAGTACTTGTAGGATTTAGTTGTTTTTATTACACAGCCTAGCGGTATCCCATTGATGACATCACGTAAAAATTGCGAGTTTTACCCCCAACCCATATCGTCATAAATAGCCAGACAACCACACCACGACTGACATCAAAAAGTTTCGTCTACAGCCTCGCCCATCTGATACAGCCCATTTGTATTTGGTCCTTGGCGCACGCGTGAGATTGTTGCTGACGTCATTTACTATTCATTTTTTTCGGAAAAGGCCATTAGCGGGAGTGTTGACGATAAAAACGATTTTTACAATGCAAACCCGGAAATTTTCAAACTCAAATCTTGCGAATCCGGAAAGGGATAAAAATATGATTCTCGAATCCGGAAATCCGGGATATCCCGGAAAAGTGGCACCCCTGCATGTTTACAGAGGTATCCATGACAATAGTAGTTTAACATGTTTACAGAGGTATCCATGACAACAGTAGTTTAACATGTTTACAGGGGTATCCATGACAATAGTAGTTTAACATGTTTACAGAGGTATCCATGACTACAATAGTTTAACATGTTTACAGAGGTATCCATGACAATAGTAGTTTAACATGTTTACAGGGGTATCTATGAAAATAGCAGTCTAACATGTTTATAGTGGCATCCATGACAATAGTTTAAAATGTTTACAGAGGTATCCATGACAACAGTAGTTAAACAGTTAAACTGTCTAACACAGGTGGGTGAATTACCTGAAGAATAGAGTTGCCCGTTCATGTTGTTCTCACTGGCTGACCGTTTGGTGCCACTTTCAGCTTGTTTTTTCTGGCGTGGGTATGTGTTGGTCACTTCATCTGAAAAAAAACAGAATGAACAAATCACATCCTATTCTACTGTATAATAATGTAGCACTGTGTGACTAACCCCAAACAGGTATTGTAGAAACACTGCAGCGAACATCCCAACGGCAATAATTTGTAGATGAACATTCATGGGAGGTAAATGTGAAGAACAGAAATACTCCCACATTTTATGTAACTTTGTACCCATCATGTGTACCACAGCTAGTGGGGCACGATTACACTCTGGTGCCATGGCTAGAGGGGCACCACTACCTCCACACAGGGTGGCAGCTAACAGATTCTATTACCAGCTACTTTCATCTTGTTATTAAATGTCACAGAAGGGAAAATAAAGAGTTACAACATAGCAACACTTACAGAATGTACTGATGTAAACAAGTCAGTCATGTGAATATATGAGTGGGACAGCACAGGTAAGAAACACCCAAGGTATTGAACAGATGGTTGCACAACACCACCAACTTGTGGGTTTTGTTACATGTGAGTCAGTAGACTTTTATCGTAAATTCTACAGGATTCAATACTAAGACTATACATTCTGAGTAATGTATGTTATATCTATCACATGTATACAGCTTTTAGTGAAGAATACATGATTGTTCTAATACAAGTATTTTAGTCCTCAAGCAATATGTCTAAAACTTCTAACAATTGAACTACATTTTTTTACACTGGACGATAAGACAACTTTACTAGATCAACTTCAAAACTGTTATTTACAACTAATATTTTCAAATATATATAAAATTGGATATGTGCAATTAGGTGTTAATTTGTAAATAGAAAGTTGAGAGTACTAATGCTACAGTTCTCTCTCCACATAAAGAGTGCTGTGGAGACAGAGAACAAGGTTAGGCTGTATGGCATATTAAAAGAAGAGAATACAGAAAATGAAATGAATTATATAATTACTTAGCAAAAATAAAAACAGTTAATTTCTGATGACAATGAAAGAATGTTTCATATTACCGAAATAAAAATTAAATCAGCCTTTGAAAATTGATTAAAAATGACTAAACTCAATTACAAAAGGTGAGATAACTAGGTAGAGAACTTGCTCACTCACTCACTCAGACAGGTGAGCTGTGTTTAATGGTGTTTTCAAAATTGGGATTGTTTACAAAATATGACCACTTATTACTAATTATAAAGCATTAGCATGACATTTCTTTAACATATTTTAGTGCCCAATGCTTTAGAGTGATATATCTAAAACAAAAAAAAAGAAAAGAAATATTTTGCTATTTATAGTGTATTCAAATGTGATTTTTATAGCATGGTTTTTATTAATTCCAATAAACCAAATGTTTAGTGAAATTTTGTTTCTCAAGAATAAGATTTTTTTTTTAAAGTAAATGTTACATTTCTGAGATAAAAACAAGACATCTACAATTAGCAATATGGCAATAAGATAAACTATTAAAAAAGAGCAACAAAGCAAAACAATAAAACTTTAGATGGAAGAAAAACAATAAAATAAAGATAGCAAGCAACAATACAACAGGAGCTAGTTTAAAAACCAGGAAGATGAAGTTATCAAAGCAAACAAAAATCAGGGAAGATAAAGGCTTCCCCATTTTACAGGATGGAAGAAGAGAAAGTTAAAGACATGGTAACCAACTGGGTGGAGAGAGGGGCTAACCCAGTATACACTACACCAGCCCGGGGCAGGGGCAGTGGTGGCGCGACCCCCTTTCCCCGGGGCAGGCTGACAGTGAGCAGAAGAAAGGATCAAGTGCAGATAATGGTGTTAAGCCAGTTTGTAAGCAGGCATTGCTTTCACGATCCTTCTGTGTGTTACACGGTGTCATCATCTACATAAGTTACGTCCCTTTATGTTTCACAGTAACTAATATAGTGCTGCTGGTGACTGACAGATACGGGGGGGGGGATACACTGACGGTGGTTGGCTGCTTCTTGTTAAGGAAGCTTTTTATGTCTTTGTTTTTTATCAGTAACTCGTGGCAAGACACGAAATATTACACGTGTCAGACAAACGTGAAGAAATAAACACCTTTCGCTGATGTTAAATACCCAAAAAAACTGTTAACCCTCACCATACTACAAAACCCACACGGGCTCCTACAATTTTAAAATACCATCAAACTATGTTGGTTGCGTGGCTGACACAAGAGGGTAGCGTGTAATGTATCCCAACACACGCCATCAAAGACGGGAGACCGCGAGCTACACGCAACCAGCAGATGGAGGTTGGCTAAGTTCATGGCACAAGTCACTTCCGCTGGATGAATAGGTCAAATTTCAAATTATACTCTCCACCCCGCACTAAATGTGCTGCCGTGCGTGATAAATTGGTCCAGTTGAGCTGACTTGACAACCCATGATAGGTCATAGCTAGTGGTGGATCTGACCTAAGCTGCGACGTGGTAGGTCACAACTAGTGGTGGATATGACCTGAGCGGTTACGTGGTAAGTCATCATAGCTAGTGGTGGATATGACCTAAGATGCGACGTGGTAGGTCACAACTAGTGGTGGATATGATCTGAGCGGTTACGTAGTAGGTCATAGCTAGTGGTGGATATAACCTAAGCTGTATCCAGAGTTTCCTTCAGACATATTTCCGCCCACCTCTCCCCCACGAAGCACGTCCACCCGCCACCCACACCCCGAATGAAATAGAATGTATATACTGGAAATTGTGTCGTCGTCTTCTTCCCCCCCCCCCCCTCATAGCAGGTCACAGCTAACGGTGGATTTGACACAAGTTATATCATGTTGTAATCAAAGCGAACACACAAAAAAAAAAACGTTCGTTGGGATAAAAGTTAAACTCGGAGATAACCTGAGTAATATTTTACTGCGTTACTGCTCACAAACTCGTGAAAAAAGGGGGAGATTGCTAATTAGACCTGACTTAATTACCTCCAGCTCTTTACCAAATAATGAAGACACTAGATTACTACAAATATTTTAGAATTTAACTCTTATTTCATTTTGTTTCGAAGCTCAATGTTAGCAATTAGAAAATATACACCCATCCCACCCACCCGAATCGTCTTAAGCATTTCCTTATGAAATAATACCCACGCATGTTTCAAACAAAGCCATTGATACGTTAATAACATTTTACAGAAATGGTCGGACTTTTGTCGCAATGGGAATCGCTAACACGTCACGTGCCTATTATTACAATTGTAATGTGTAGCATTGGTGTGTGTTGGGGGGGGGGGGGGGGGTATGAAATCTGAAGTTGCACATATATTTTTTAAAATTTCTACTTGGGGGGGGGGGGGTGTTAAGAAATATGACGTTGCATTTTTTAAATTCAAAACTTCAACTTGGTGGAAGGAGGGGGGGTCTAGGTTGTTACTTAGAGGAGATTATGATTTAGTGTAGCCTACATATCAAGTAAAAATAGAAGACAAGGGTTAGAAAACCGCGCTGTTTTTTAATTTATTTTCCACACAGGATGTTTTCACTGTGAGACCAAGCACACGGGTTTCAAATGTTTTTTAATGGGGGGCAGGGCTCGAGGCAGGCCCCGGCGCTGGCTGTGCGTGTAATAAGATGAGCACAGTCAGCCGTGAGCACACAAAGGATTGACTCGCGGGGTGAGCTGGTCAGATCAGAGGCGGCACCATCCAGAGCCATGGTGAGCTGACCCGCCGTGATAACTGCTGCTAATCATGCCTGGCCAAATGTTTACATTGGAGGGGGGGGGAGAAACCGGTGGCAAATATGGACATTTGATGGCGGGCGGGGGGGGGGGTGTCAATACCGGGTCATATAAAAATACAGCGAAGCCCATAATATGTAGCCAGAAATAGACAATGGCTGTCTAGACTGACGAAAGTTGAGACACACCGGCATAAGGATAAAATTTATTGTGGCAAAATAACAGACTCCTATAATGCTTAGTGCATACATATACAACTGTATACAACGATCATTGTGTGATACTATCTTACGGCTGACTTATAAAAAGACTCAATCAAAATGTATAGACTACTATCGACTGTTTACTTGTCCTACTGAACTGACCTGTTTGTTTTTTAGCCGTCTGTACTGGGTTTTCATACTGTGTTCTTCTATTTACATGGCTGGGGAACGAAAAAAAATTGCTTTTAAAACTACACAATTTTTTAAGTAAACAAGAAACATTGTAATTACTTAACTAGCAAAAAAAACTTCACTTTAAAAAAAACGTAAACAAACATTACTTGCTTTGAGTAGTAACTGGTTACTGAACTAGCTAAGAAAAAACCTTCAATTTTTTTACCGAAAACAAGCAACTTTGTTACTAGCTCTGACTTAACTAGCTAAAAACTTAAACACTTTTTTGAGGTAAATACAGAACATTGTTACTTTCTATAAGAAGTTATGTAACTTACTCGATGTAATAGACGCCATAATGAGGATCCTCCACCTTCTCCCAGCCAAAAGGAAGTTCTGAAACACAAAAAAACAGGATAAAATATGCCAGATAACGCGACTATTTATATCAGATGTGTGAGGCGCTGCCGTGTGCTCGCACCAGTGCCCTGCATGGCGTTAGCTCACCCAGCAACTGGAAATAACCGTTCATAAACCGTACAACAACTCATTGGACCTCACGTCAAGACTAATTTACCTGGGCTCTCATTAAAGATCAAAACACTAATTAATCAAGAAATAATCCAGAATTAAACACATCCACACAAAAAACGCGTGTAAAAACGAATGAAGATTGTGTCTGGTATCACAGCTGTGTGGATAAAGTTGAAGGTAATTATCCTAAAAGAGCATCCGTCTGTAATCCCCACGTCCACGCTAGAAGCCAGCAGCCCATGTAGGAGCCAGGGGTGAACTGTGATCAGTGTGGGGGGAGGGACGGTGCCGGTGCTAACATTACCTATCTAAGTCTGGGGCTACGGGAAAACGCCGGGGTAGAGACTGTAGGTGGCAACAACAGTATCCTCCAGGGGCGGGCCTTACAATGACGTAAACATTAAACCTCACCCCGTTTATCATCTACTACGCATGTTTCACACCGACGGCGCGACCAGGCTTAAAATAGCCTCCACTGGCTTATCTGAAGTGAACACAAACAACTCACCAGCCTTTTTTCTGTCACTACACTAACACAGCATAGTTATTACATCACTTCCCTCCTACACAAGAGAAAACCGGCATACACAAAAAGGCGCAGTCTAAAAAAAAACACTCAAAACAGCTTTCAAAGACTTCCCCTGATTCCGCCCCCACCCTCCCCCACCCACCCCCTGTGCTACCACAGGCTGGGGTTATTAACAACAAAAGGCGAGTGGCGTTAGCATGGACGTTGGCTTTGTTATCTGGCTGATGCGTCACATCCCCCCCTATCCCAATCCATTGACGACAAAGAAATTCCAAGAAAACCTATGCCAAGTCCAGCTCTTCACCCAACTGTACAGTTGGTGTAGTAAATAGGTGGGGGATGTCAGTTGGCCTGACCTTACTTCACCCAACTGTACAGTCGGTGTAGTAAATAGGTGGGGGATGTCAGCTAGCCAGACCCTACTTCACCCAACTGTACAGACGGTGTAGTACGTAGGTGGGGGATGTCATTCTGCTAGCCAGACCTTACTTCACCCAACTGTACAGTCGGTGTAGTACGTAGGTGGGGGATGTCATTCTGCTAGCCAGACCCTACTTCACTCAACTGTACAGTCGGTGTAGTACGTAGGTGGGGGATGTCATTCTGCTAGCCAGACCCTACTTCACTCAACTGTACAGTCGGTGTAGTACGTAGGTGGGGGATGTCATTCTGCTAGCCAGACCCTACTTCACTCAACTGTACAGTCGGTGTAGTACGTAGGTGGGGGATGTCATTCTGCTAGCCAGACCTTACTTCACCCAACTGTACAGTCGGTGTAGTACGTAGGTGGGGGATGTCATTCTGCTAGCCAGACCCTACTTCACTCAACTGTACAGTCGGTGTAGTACGTAGGTGGGGGATGTCATTCTGCTAGCCAGACCCTACTTCACTCAACTGTACAGTCGGTGTAGTACGTAGGTGGGGGATGTCATTCTGCTAGCCAGACCTTACTTCACCCAACTGTACAGTCGGTGTAGTACGTAGGTGGGGGATGTCATTCTGCTAGCCAGACCTTACTTCACCCAACTGTACAGTCGGTGTAGTACGTAGGTGGGGGATGTCATTCTGCTAGCCAGACCTTACTTCACCCAACTGTACAGTCGGTATAGTAAATAGGTGGGGGATGTCAGCTGGTCAGACCTTACAGGCTCAGCTAGGGCGCCAACCAGAAATTATATTACAGAGTTTGTGGTAGATCTAAAGAATAATCTGGGTACTGGATATAGAGTTATACGTTAGATTATCGTAGAGATATATTGAATAGGAAAGATAAGCGAGTTATGGGGGGGGGGGGGCTGAAGATATTCGCAACAAAAACAGCATAATCCTTAACTAATTAGAATAAAAACATAAAACTAAGTCGTTAGCTAACTTAGTACTGGACAATTAACTAACATGCCCATAGTTAAATACTGGACAACTAACTTCCCATTTAACCAACAACCATTCCCCAGTTGGCCAAGTACTGGGCCATTAACTGAATTTAACTAGTTCACACTAAACCATCAGACCTCCACGTTCTCGAGCTGGACTAAGATCAGTGTATATAAAACCACAACAACCATTCCCCAGTTCGCCAAGTACTGGACCATTAACTGAATTTAACTAGTTCACACTTAAAGCATCTCCACAATCTCGAGCTGGACTAAGATCAGTGTATATAAAACCACAACAATCGAAAGCAGAGCCGAGGGAAAAACTTGAATCAACAACAAGCAGCAGAAACAGCTAGGTCTGCACACGTGCGTTACCTGGATTCTCCGGGCTCAATTATTCTTTTTTTTTTTTATACACGATCAAACTGGCCGCCTCTTTATACCGTTTATCTTTCACAGTGGTTGGCCTACGATCAAACTGGCTGATTTTACAATTTATCGTTTACAATTTATCTTTTACAGTGGTTGGCCTACGATCAAACTGGCTGGCTCCTGATACTATTTATTCTCTACAGTGGTTGGCCTACGATCAAACTAGCCGACCCTACCATATATCTTATACAGTGGTTAACCAACAATAATAGTAGTGATATTGAACGTAACAGGCCCACACCAATGTAAGCTAGTGAAAAAAAACATTGTTCTACAGAGATTTCATCTGTTTTCATTAAATTACAATTTCTATTTGAGTAGCTTAACTCGAGTGAGATCGACATAACGTTCTATCAACACCACAAATTTCAAACACGACATGATGCTAAAATAGGATGGTGGGTAACCCTAGACTTGAGCAGGTGCTGAGAAACTAATGATGAGGCCGGTGTTAGGTCGGCTAATACTAAAGCTAGGCATGGTGTTAAAATGATAAAATAACCGCTAAGGATGGGAGGGGAGGGGTGGCTATTTCTACATCGATATAAATACATTGGCGGAGCAGCAAAACCAGATAATGAGCACTAGTTAAATAAGGATAACATTGTTATGAATGGTATCCCAGGATCTAATTGCTTGGGGAAGTTAGAGCAGTCTTCGTCACGCTTTGCTAGCGTGTGGAGATATTCGTCCGTCGTCGTGAATGTGGTCAAGACTTCGTTTAAGTTGTGAAAATCGTCGTCCGTGTCTATCTAGCTAGTGCAATAAACCACGGGTTAAAGCTATGCAATCCTGTCAAGTCATTTGCCTCAGATCGTTTGTGTTGATGAATCTGTTATGTGTGGTCGACCACGTCCTCAACTCGCTTGGCAACAAACAGACCATCCAAACACAACTGTGCTCCTGTACCTAGGTCGTCTATATAAGCTAAAGCAGAATTCCGTTTTTTTTTAATGGCAAAGATAAAAGTTAAGCAGAGAGCTACTCGGATGACGGACTATACGCTGTCATCATCCCGCCTCCATGTTTATTTGGGTGAGTCGTGTCAGAAGTAGACCTGCACCTTTGTCACGTCACATGCATGTGTTAGCGCTTCCAGCCAGACCAGCTTTAGGGTGTCATAGTGACAATGACACAGGTAACATTGACACGGCACAAGCATGTGTTAGTGCTTTCAACTACCACTAAGGTGAGTACCATCATGACACGTGACACTTGAAGCAAACATTCAGCTAGGTCAAAAATCTCGCAGTATGGTGCAGTGACATTTGAGTACAAGCATTGCTCGTCTACACCCTATTTTACTAAATCAGTATAAAATCATGATATTTTCTTCTACAATCCTACATCATATCTTGATATCGTATTCTACAATACCTAGATCCTATCCTGATATCCTATTATATAAGATCTACATCCTATCCCAACCCCTTATTCTACAAGATCTAAATCCTATCCCGACACCCTATTCTACAAGACCTACATCCTATCCTGATATCCTATTATATAAGATCTACATCCTATCCCAACCCCTTATTCTACAAGATCTAAATCCTATCCCGACACCCTATTCTACAAGACCTACATCCTATCCTGATATCCTATTATATAAGATCTACATCCTATCCCAACCCCCTTATTCTACAAGATCTACATCCTATTCCGACACCCAATTATACAAGACCTACATCCTATCCTGCTATCCTATTATACAAGATCTACATCCTATCCCGACCCCCTATTATACAAGACCTACATAATATCCTGATATCCTATTATACAAGACCTACATCCTATCCTGCTATCCTATTATACAAGACCTACATCCTATCCCGACCCCCTATTCTACAAGATGTACACCCTATCCCGACCCTCTATTCTACAAGATCTACACCCTATCCCGACCCCTATTCTACAAGATCAACATGATATCCAAACACTATTCTGTTCTCTGTACACTGTACACAGCACTCAATTCTCCTTTACCTTGCGTCGTGAATACAAAACACACGATTACTCATTGCTATACAGCCTGAAAACCTGATGCTGGTGTAGTTGGAGATAAAAATAAACAAACATTTACAAACAATTTCAAGTCAAAGAAAACCTTCTATAACTAAATTCTTTTGGCTTTAAAAGAAATTGAAAACATTTCTAAAAGAATGTTCGTTATATCATTCAGTAGCCTACTGTACCAATATGTAAACAAAAAAATATATGCATGTGGAAACTATCTAGTAAGATAATTCAATTTAATTCCGCAATATACAATGAATTTTAAGTACGTATTTGTTGGTATCCAGAATAAGACAAAGATTTCGTTGCCAAGTATGCATGCAAGTGTGTGTTTGCTCGTAAGGTCTTGACCACAACCCCGCTAACTATTCCCCAAAGCAAAACAAACAAGATAACTGTCTCAGGCAAAAGAATTTAAATTCGCTAAGTACAATTAAAAGAAAAGATGCATCAATTAAAATATGTAGGCAACATACACATGATCTTATTTTTAAAATTTCAACAACACT